CCAGCACCATCACCTATCTCTCAGTCGTTCCTATCCTTGTGGCCCCAGCCAATCACCTATCTCTCGGTCGTTTCTCTCCTTGTGATCCCAGGACCATCACCTATCTCTCGGTCGTTCCTCTCCTTGTGGCCCCAGCACCATCACCTATCTCTCAGTCGTTCCTATCCTTGTGGCCCCAGCCAATCACCTACTTCTCGGTCGTTCCTCTCCTTGTGGTCCCAGGACCATCACCTTCTCTCGGTCGTTCCTCTCCTTGTGGCCCCAAGACCATCACCTATCTCTCGGTCGTTTCTCTCCTTGTGGCCCCAGGACCATCACCTAACTCTCGGTCGTTCCTCTCCTTGTGGCCCCAGCCCATCACCTATCTCTCGGTCGTTCCTCTCCTTGTGTCCCCCGCCCATCACCTATCTCTCGGTCGTTCCTCTCCTTGTGGCCCCGGACCATCACCTATCTCTCAGTCGTTCCTCTCCTTGTGGCCCCAGGACCATCACCTATCTCTAGGTCGTTCCTCTCCTTGTGGCCCCAGGACCATCACCTATCTCTCGGTCGTTCCTCTCCTTTTGGCCCTAGGACCATCACCTAGCTCTCGGTCGTTCCTCTCCTTGTGGCCCAGGACCATCACCTATCTCTAGGTCGTTCCTATCCTTGTGGCCCCAGGACCATCACCTAGCTCTCGGTCGTTCCTCTCCTTGTGGCCCCAGGACCATCACCTATCTCTCAGTCGTTCCTCTCCTTGTGGCCCCAGGACCATCACCTAGCTCTAGGTCGTTCCTCTCCTTGTGGCCCCAGGACCATCACCTATCTCTCGGTCGTTCCTCTCCTTGTGGCCCTAGGACCATCACCTAGCTCTCTGTCGTTCCTCTCCTTGTGGCCCCAGCCCATCACCTATCTCTCGGTCGTTCCTCTCCTTGTGGCCCCAGCCCATCACCTATCTCTCGGTCGTTCCTCTCCTTGTGGCCCCAGCCCATCACCTATCTCTCGGTCGTTCCTCTCCTTGTGGCCCCAGGACCATCACCTAACTCTCTGTCGTTCCTCGACTTGTGGCCCCAGGACCATCACCTAGCTCTCGGTCGTTCCTCTCCTTGTGGCCCCAGGACCATCACCTATCTCTCAACCGTTCCTCTCCTTGTGGCCCCAGGACCATCACCTAACTCTCTGTCGTTCCTCGACTTGTGGCCCCAGGACCATCACCTAGCTCTCGGTCGTTCCTCTCCTTGTGGCCCCAGGACAACAACGTCAAGGTACATGGTTTTCGCCCAACTCCTGGCCAAATGTATTGAAAGGGGCAATGAGTGAGTGCCAAAAGGACAATCTGTCTTGTGTTGCCCATTGTCTGGTTAAAACAGACAAGTGAACGATCACTTTTAAAAAAGACCATATCTTTGGGCATATACAAACTATGTATTAAGTATTGGAGAAAACACTTTCCCTCGGTTTTGGTAGACAGAGCATGCCCTGGGGAGAGGGAAAAACCGCGGGGACTTCGCCCCCTTGGTTTTTCCCTCTCCCCAGGGCATGCTCTGTCTACCATAACCGAGGGAAAGTGTTTTTCCTTTCTATAAACCGAAAAAAGAAACTTTAAACAACATTTATCAACATTATTTTATGTTTCGAACATACTTTCCAGGAACCTTAGGAAACGCACGTAAAATATCTCTTGCTGGCGTGCGGATCTTGAAAAGGACATTTTAAAAACCAGTGTGGCATATCAACAAACCCGTGGTACACTCACTGGGCTACAGAAATGAAGGTTGCGAGTTAGATCCTCGGGAATATAAAGAAAACATTTGTCACTTGATTTTACATTTCATTACATGTTACAATCTGAACGGAAGTTACATTAATAAAATACCCAGGACATTACTTAATAGCGATCCCAATGAATAGGTTTATAAGTAGGTATAAAATAGACTCACACTTGTCAGTCAGGGCTTGATGGTTATGAGATTACATATCTGAACAATTCTTTGTCATGAAGATTTCAGCAATACACCTGAGCCTGTACCAGTTTGGTATACGTTTTATTTAGCACTTTCGACAAAATAGGGGTTATTCTGTCCCAATCAAAACTTCTAGTTATAAATAAATGAAGTAAAGATCCAGACAAGCTCTACCGATCTGATTATCAAAAATACTTCTGAAAACGACGACCAGTGACCACCAGTTCGCATCCTTTTCCCATCACACCCTTTACCGAAAACATCCCTGTTTTAGTATATGCATGCTCTCTACGCATTGACCGTGCCGAATCCGAAAAGTCAGCACAAATAACAGTGGATCCGACTAAATATACTTTCGGATCGCCGTTTTCTCCTACGGCCGGTCAAACTTCGTTACTGTCGAAATGGGTTCATCTGACGTAGCCTTTCCGTGGATCCGACATTGCATTCATTGTTCGCTAACGACGCGCTGGCGTTTAGGCCTCAGATCCGATTTTATGTATCTGAGCGCATGACTTCGGATTGGATCCGAAATTAACTGCAAAACAGCGGTTTGAAATGGTGTTTGTCGCACTAAGCAATCTTTTCCAGCTGTTTGAAAAAGTTTACAGAAATGGGTGTGTTTCCGTCAAACGCAATTTAATTTCTTATATGGGTAGTGCGATAATAACTTCTTTCGAGTGCCTCACGGAGAGAAAAAATGATAAAAATAAAACCAATATTGTTTGTCCTTTCTGCATGTCAGAATGAGATCTGATTGGTTCACGTGATCTCAATTTAATACTGGGTACCTCTGATTGCAGGGATTATCTCAAAACCCTATGCTGAAAGAATAAAACCACATTACCCCTCGTGATACTACAACAACTTATATTATCCCAAAGAAAGTTTTATTTGTTGTTTTCATTTTTATTTGAACCAAGCTATTTATAACAAGAGGACAAAGTCATCGATATTCCCACAATGGTAAAAATACTTGTCGTGAATTTCTCAAGTAATTTTATTAAAATTGATAATTTGAGCTTCCATGGCAACATTGTTAAATTGTTGCCATCTATTGACCCATCCATCTATGCAAAAAGCCGTTTCCTACCCCAACAAAGGTCCTGTTTAAGAAGAATTTATTCTGCTTCAATCACCTAGTCTCCATCTTGCAGCAATTTGTGTAAAATAAAAAAGTGAGTTTAACACCGATATGAACAGACTTCCAGTTTAGGACCGGTCATTTATATATTATGTGGTGTGTGGGGGTTCTTGTTGCACTAACATACCGAACCCTCCCCTCCAAATGCTTGTCAGAAATTTGGATGACTTTCCTATGTCCTTGTACATCTTGTTCATAACTCTCCCCAAAGACAAAATGAAAAAGCACTTTATATTATAAAATGTCAATTTAACCATGACCGTCCCCAAATATATGTAATATTTTCTTAAGGACACATTACAATAAATTGTCATATTTTGGGGGTGACGACCTGCTCCCCAAATAATATATGACCGGTCCCCTATATCATGGTGAAGCAGCTTAATGCCGAGAAAAGTCCGGGGTGTTTGTTGTTTGTTGTTTAACGCCGCACTCAGCAATATTCCAGCTATGACGGCTGTCTGTAAATAATCGAGTCTGGACCAGACAATCCAGTGATTGATATCATAAGCATCGATCCACGCAATTGGGATCGATGACATGCATCAACCAAGTCAGCGAACCTGACCACCCGATCCCGAAGTGATGCAGGCCTTAAATATTTACTTTGGCGAAACCCACAAGGATGGGCATGCTGCTGAAAACCTAGAAACAAAATCAGGAGAACTAGGATTCAAACCCACGATCATAGCTTTCTGGCATGCCTAACTGGACCAACTCTGCACAGCCTTATGCGATTTGACCTCCTGTGCCCACATATAAGAAAAAGAACACGAGATTCAGTTGACTTTATTTACACATTCTGTACAGCATATGCATAACACCATATTGCAATCATAATGTACAAAATATCTTTACAGGGCAGTTACGATTAGCACTTAATTTTCAAAAAAAAGTATGGTGGGGTGATGCAAGTACAAAGAAAATGTGTCAGTTGATTCACCAAAGAAGTTCTAGCTGACAATGTTAAACTGGTGAGTGAGTGTGTTGGGATTAATGTCGCTTTTAACAGTATTCCAGTTATATCGCGGCGTGTCAGCTTAATGTGGGAGGAAAGCCCGAAGTGATGCAGGTCTCACACGTTTATCACTTCGGTGAAACCCACGAGCACGGGTATGGTGCTGACAAACCTAGAAACATAATCCGGATGAACCGGGATTCGAACCCACAATTATAGGTTTCTGGCATGCCCAAGGGACGCAACTCTGCACAGCGAACCGCGGCGCCTTAAATGCCATATGGTGAGTGAGTGAGTGAGTGAGTGAGTGAGTGAGAGTGAGGTTTTAGACCGCTTAGCAATATTCCAGCAATATCACGGTGGAGGGGGGGAGAGACCACAAATGGGCTTCACACATTGTACGCATGTCGCGAATCGAACCCAGGTCTTCGTCATGATGCATACAAATTGAAAACAGGCACAAAAACAAAAATACAGAGTGCATACACTGGGACACAAAAAAATCTAATGAATGTTCAGAAAGGAATGCTATTTCATAATTTGGTACCACAAAAAATTAATTTCTGTATGTAATAACATAAAACATACAAAAGCTTCACAGTCTCCTAGCACCAGCACTAACTGTTTCATTTTGGGATTTCCATATGTTTTATTAACTAATGAACTCTGAGTGCGCAATCTTACATCACTTGGAGTAGTGTATTCAATTCAGTTCTATTAATAACATTCGACACCCCCCACTCCCCCCTTTTTTTTTTTAGCTTGGGACCCCAATAATTACGCTTTGAGTCCCCTGGATACCCAAAATAAATAACTAAGGTTATTCCCCAGCCGATTATCTTGAATTGGCAGACAAAAAATGAGTTTCACATGGCACCTACAGTGGTACTTGCCACAAGGCTATGACAAACATATGTGAATTTCATTTTGGAAATTGAGGGCAAAGCCATGCTTTTGAAATCAGTGGTAGCTATTTCATTGATATCTTGAGAAGAGTGAGTGAGTGAGTATGGTTTTACGCCGTTTTTAAGCAATATTCCATCGATATCACGGTTGGGGACACCAAAAATGGGCTTCACACATTGTACCCATGTCAGGAATCGAACCCGGGTCTTCGACGTGACGAGAGAACGCTTTAAACACTAGGCTACCTGACCCCGCCCATCTTGAGAAGACATGGGTTATATTCTGTAGCCTGGCCACTAGCTGGTGACTCGAGACACTGCTATTGCCGGGTTCATGGACAGCAGCCACTCCACCGTTTCAGCCAGCAGAGTCATCTTGTAATGGCTGCAACAACAGATGATGAGACAGTGAGTCGACAAACATTCATTGAAACAAAAGTAAGAGTTCTCCGACTCTGTACCAATGCCAAAAATCAAGAAGGTGAGAAAGTAATAGGAGATCTCCATCTGCATCACCAGCAAACACCCAAACTCACCACAAATTATTGGTTGCATCCTTTGGATATGTCAGAAACCTATAACTGTGTCAGGTTAACGGCCTTGACTGTACTTAGCCCCATCCATCAATCTTGCTTCATGCAAATCACATCACACTAAATTAGGTGAAGTGAAATGGGGTTTAACGTTGCGTCCAAGATTATTGCACTTATATAGCGACGTGCATGTAAGTGTGTGTGTGTGTGTGTTTGCTTGTACTAGTCCGGGCTGATGCCGATTTATAGTGCTAGCTCACTGAGATACCATGCCGCAGTTTAACATACCCCACTCAGACACAGTATACTGACTCCGAGCCGACCAGTCCTTGTTTTAGCCCCTTAATGCCGAGCGCCAGACAGGGTAACAACAAGTACTATCTTTTAACGTCTTTTGGTATGATGCGGCCGGGGATCGAACCCCGGACCTTCCGATCTCCGGGCGGACACTCTACCACTAGACTACGGGGCGGTCTCACACTAAATTAATGAACTTGATGCCTTGAACAGTTTGTTAAGAAAACAAATAATAAAATACTGTCTCCAGCTACACAGTTTTGAACAGTCTTATTGAAAAGCAAATAATTAATTCCATGTGGCAGAATAAAAGAACTTTTTTTATGAATATGATTTGTGTGCAACGGATCACAAGTTTATCATTGTTTGTTTGTTTGTTGTTTAACGCCGCACTCAGCAATATTCCAGCTATATGAAGGCGGTCTGTAAATAATCAAGTCTGGACCAGGCAATCCAGTGATTGATACCATGAGCATCCATCCACGCAATTGGGATCCAATGACATGTATCAACCAAGTCAGCGAGCCTGACCACCCGATCCCGTTAGTCGCCTCTTACGACAAGCACAGTCGCCTTTTACGGCAAGCATGGGTTGCTGAATACCTATTCTACCCCGGATCTTCACGGGGCAACAGTTTGTTTAGAAAACAAATAATAAAATAATGTCTCCAGCTAAACAGTTTAGAACAATCTTATTGAAAAGCAAATAATTAATTCAATGTGGCCGAATAAAAGAACTGTTGTTTTTTTATGAATATGATTTGTGTGCAACCGATCACAAGTTTATCATTGTTTATTTGTTATTTAACGCCGCACTCAGCAATATTCCAGCTACCTGACAGCTGTCTGTAAATAATCTAGTCCGGACCAGACAATCCAGCGATTGACATCATGAGCATCTATCCATGAAATTTGGATACGATGACATGCATCAAACAAGTCAGCGAGCCTGACCACCCGACAAGCATAGTCGCCTTTTACGGCAAGCAGGGGTTGCTGAATACCTATTCTACCCTTCAAGGGGCAGTTTATCATTGAGATGTTGAGATATGCTGAAGGAAACAAGAGTCATCAGAAGATGACAATCCCCCCGACCCCCACATATTCGAAAGCACAACTGATCTGACTGTCAAATTAAGTCCAACTTGATGAGAGAGTTTCTATCTAACCTGTCTGTCCGTATACAAGACTAGTTATTGAGCTCTCAAAACAATACCATGGAATTGGGATTCCGAACTTTGTATTTCTATAGCAGCTACACACCAATATGAACAGTCAAAATCAAAGTTGTTGCCATGGAAACAGATTTATTAAAAAAATAATTCTAAACACCCCAAAGTAGCAAAAGGTAACTGGTCCTTGTGTGTGCAAAGTGTCATGAAAGAATACCTATCAGTTTTAGAGATATGGTCGGGACAAACACACCACTATGAACAGAGTCCAAGTCAAACTTGTTGCCATGGAAACAGGAATTTAAATTTTTTTCTTAAATTCCTCAATAACAAAAAACACCACTTCGGCCATTGGTTAATAGATGTACGAGGTTAGGATGAAAAGTCTTTCAGTTTTCAAGATGTGCTCCAGAAACGACACCTCCCCCTACCTTTTGAGAAAAAGAAAAATGCCCCAAATCCGCAAATAACAAAAGGCACCGCATCAGGATCTGTTTGATATATCTGCCAAGTTTTGTTGAAAAATATAGATCGGTTTTTGAGTTACGCTCCAGAAACCAAAATCAAGTCACGCAAAATTATCCTTGAAACTAGCAATCGTGTCCTTCTTTCCATTAAGATTTTTAAAAATTACAAAATAGCAAAAGGTATCACTTCAGCATGTGACTGATACATTTTTCAAGTTTCGATCAAATATACTGAATGGTTTTCAAATTCTGTCCCAGAAACGAACCCCATCCCAAATGGAATATATGTCCAACTTCTTTCCCTAAATTTTTAAAAAAAATAAAAATTCGAAAAATCACAAAATATCAAAAGGCACCACTTCAGTATGTGACTGATACATTTTTCAAGTTTCAATCAAATATACTGAATGGTTTTCAAATTCTGTCCCGGAAACGAACCCCATCCCAAATGGAATATATGTCCAACTTCTTTCCCTAAAAATTTAAAAAAAATAAAAATTCGAAAAATCCCAAAATATCAAAAGGCACCACTTCAGTATGTGACTGATAGATTTGCCAAGTTTCGATCAAATACACTGAATGGTAATCGAGTTCTGCCCCGGAAAAGGAAATGATTATGGACGGACAGATGGAGAGACGGACTGGCTGATCGCTACATCCCCCCGCATTATATGCCCTGGGGATAACAAACATCCAAGTTGGACAGGTGTGAAATTGTTGGATTTGTTTAGGTGTGACAATACCTGGCTATTCCTGAGAATGTCTTGAGCTGTTTGCCGAAGTCAGCTAGAGACACGGTGTTGGAGTAGTCCCCTGCACAGGAGCAGTACCGCTTCATGTTGTTCTCCTTCACCTGAACACAGACGTCACACACTGTCACAGCAACACAGAGGTCACAGGCACACAGGTCACACACAGAGGTCACACACACAGGTCACAGGCACACAGAGGTCACACACTGTCACAGGCACACAGAGGTCATACACAGAGGTCACACACAGAGGTCACACACTGTCACAGCAACACAGAGGTCACAGGCACACAGGTCACACACAGAGGTCACACACACAGGTCACACTGTCACAGGCACACAGAGGTCACACACTGTCACAGGAACACAGAGGTCACACACTGTCACAGGAACACAGAGGTCACAGGCACAGAGGTCACACACTGTCACAGGAACACAGAGGTCACACACTGTCACAGGAACACAGAGGTCACAGGCACAGAGGTCACACACTGTCACAGGCACACAGAGGTCACAAACTGTTACAGGAACACAGAGGTCACACACTGTCACAGGAACACAGAGGTCACAGGCACAGAGGTCACACAGAGGTCACACACTGTCACAGGCACGCAGAGGTCACACACTGTCACAGGAACACAGAGGTCACACACTGTCACAGGAACACAGAGGTCACAGGCACAGAGGTCACACACAGAGGTCACACACTCACAGGAACACAGAGGTCACACACTGACACAGGAACACAGAGGTCACAGGCACACAGAGGTCACAGGCACACAGAGGTCACAGGCACACAGGTCACACACTGTCACAGGAACACAGAGGTCACACACTGTCACAGGCACACAGAGGTCACACACTGTCACAGGAACACACGGGTCACAAACTGTCACAGGCATACAGAGGTCACACTCTGTCACAGGAACACAAAGGTCACACACTGTCACAGGTACACAAAGGTCACACACTGTCACAGGCACACAGAGGTCACACACTGTCACAGTGTTGCAAATAACAAAATTTGATGTTTTCCACAAAAAAAATATTGTACGATCATACAATGCGTGATACTCTGTCCATATAGACCTGCACTGAATAAATTCAATGCTGAATAAGAACTAGGCAATGAACTATATTCAATGTTTAAAATTGAATTTTCTGCCCTCCATGTTAAACATCACAATCTTTTTAAGCATTAAAGTTTCTGTGGCAGTGAATTATTAGTATGGATATTCTTAAATGTGTATCGCTACAGCATCGTCATATCACAATTTCTTTATAGCTAGATATAGGACATACCTACGACTCAATTTTCGTGAGTGAGTATGGTTTTACGCCGCTTTTAGCAATATTCCAGCAATATCACGGCGGGGGACACCAGAAATGGGCTTCACACATTGTACCCATGTCAGGCATCGACCCCGGGTCTTTGGCGTGACGAGCGAACGCCTTATCCACTAGGCTACCCGACAGCCCCCAAAATACAAATAAGATCTTATAAGTACAGCATTGTCACACCACTAATTTTTTTATAAATCAATACCCCGATATTTAGGAAGACATTCCTGTGACTCACCCCTTTACACTTGATACACTTGAGATCCTGGAGGATGTAGGCCATGGACTTCCGATGTACCGCATCCACCAGGCTCTGCTCGATCTCCTCCACATCGTACTCTGCCCGGCACTGCACACACGACCACACACTCCTGACACACAAACACAGATGAAATAGGTTACTGTGTGTTTGTTGTTTAACTTCGCACTCAGCAATATTCCAGCAATATTCCAGCAATATGAGGGCGGTCTGTAAATAATCGAGTCTGGACCAGACATTCCAGTGATTGATATCATGAGCATCAATCCACGCAATTGGTATACGATGACATGCATCAACCAAAACAGCAAGACTGACCACCCGATCCCGTTAGTCACCTCTAAAGACAAGCATAATTGCCTGTTACAGCAAGCATGGGTTTGATGAAATAGGTAAAATCTGAAATCTCATTTTCATCAGATTGTTAAAAACCAATTTGATACCTTTGACAAATCCTTCACATATACAAATACAATAACAAATCAGAAGTTGGAAAAAATATATCTTAAACTTAGGTAGAGACGACCGTTTGAAATAGCTTGATAGGCCCGAAAAGCGGAAACTGTGAGAAATAAATCTTCGGAATGATTGGCTGGGGCATGACGTGTAAGCTCTAAATATGGCAAGGATTTATTGAATACACAATCCGGGCCAAATAAATTTAGTATCAGAAGAAACCAAGAAGTGGCCATGTTACGCTGTCCTTGTCGTCGTAAGGTAAGCAGTGAATACATTAAGGAGTAATGCAGGATCAGTAAAATAATGAAGAAATCATTTGCATCAACAGCGTTATTGCCGAGAGCTGGGATTTTTTTTCTACTCATAGCTTTGTCTGTAAACCACTGTCCACGCTTCCAGGTCCCAAATAACAAGAGTTTGCAACTAACGTGGCTATATCCCCCGCCCCTGTTGCAGAATTTATGACATAACTAAATCTAAACAAACCCTAACCTTTTTTAACAGAGGTGGAACTTGTCATGGAAATTGTAAAAAAAAGAAGAGTTTGGAACCTAAGTCCATCTTGTTGCCATGGAAACGTAAAAATAAAAATTTCTAAAATTTCTAAATAGCAAAAGGAACCAGTTCAGCATGTACCTGACAGACCTGCAAAGTTTCATGAATAAATATTGAATGGTTTCTGAGTTATGATCCGGAAACGAACACTACCCTCAAAGAACCTAAGTCCATCTTGTTGCCAAAAATAAAAATTTCAAAAATTTCTAAATAGCAACAGGCACCAGTTCAGCATATACCTGACAAACCTGCAAAGTTTCATGAAAAAATATAAAACAGTTTCTGAGTTATGCTCCGGAAACGAAACGTGACGGACGGACAGAGCCTGTTTCTATATCCCCCACCAATTTTGTTGGGCAAGGAATAATAAATATAGAAAGGTGACATCTGATCTGATTTAAAAATGTTTTCATCCTTCACTCAGGGTTCACTTGATGTAACTAAGCTTGTCAGTTATAGACTAAGAGGGGGATCACTCAGCGTAAAAGAAATGATTTAATCATACTGGCACCTTACTTATCCAGCCTTATCATGATTAATTATAACTTTGGCAGTATTTGCTACAAACGAGGACAAATGACGAAAAGTTCAGTATTACTCAGGTCATCAAGTTTCCCTCAGCCAATAGGCAATCACATTTTGAAATCTTGTTAAAATATAGCCAACAGAAGGGGACATTTTTAATAGTCTAGATCTTTCTCCTCTCACACAAACTCTAAACACTTGTCGTATCTGACTGCTTATTTGTGAAAAGATTGATTGCCTCCATGGCTTGATTCAGGATACCGAAATAAAAGAGAAATCATCTTAATTATTTTCTGAAAACTTTGCTAAATGATAACAAACTGAAGATTGTTACTCTTTCTAGTTGATGACCTACCCTGCACCATCTTGACTGAGGTATGGGTCACGGCAAAGGTCAAGGTCACGGATGTGGTTACATGATTTACAGATCACCTGCAATGAGAATGTATTATTAATTCATTTACAACAGGAAGAGAAGAGTGTGAGGTTCTGTTGCTTAACGCCACACTCAGCTATATTAACTCTTTATATATTAAATGTAATTAAATGTAATTAAATGTTATAATATGTTATAAGATAGAGGTCAAGATAGATAGAGTTTCTAGATAAGAATGGTCCAGACTAACGCTGTTACACTGTATATCTGACTCACCTCTGGCAGCACATAGGAGAGACAAGGGTCGGCAAACTGAGCAGCAGGTGAAAATTCCCCCACGCCGATCAGTTTCAGGAGGTCACGCTTCAGCTTGGTGACCTGGATTGTGACGTTAGTGTCTAGAGCCAACACCTGCAACACAAACAAGGGGAGATCACTCTTCATGTGTAGGACAAACAAGGGGAGATCACTCTACATTTGCAACACAAACAAGGGGAGATCACTCTACATGTGCAAGACAAACAAGGGGAGATCACTCTACATGTGCAACACAAACAAGGGGAGATCACTCTACATGTGCAACACAAACAAGGGGAGATCACTCTACATGTGCAAGACAAACGAGGGGAGATCACTCTACATGTGCAACACCAAGCTCCTCACAGCGATAGTACGTTCCCGGAGCTCTCTATACTATCGCTGCCACCAGTCAAAACTCCCAACTGTGAATAGGTGGCCACAACCATGCTTGGAGTTTGACTCGCAACCGAATGACCGTTATGTTTACAAACAAGTGTCGACTGTCGTGCACCGAATACACTTATCGCTGCTAAATTACTTTCTTCGTTTGTCAATTTGAATTTCTGTTTCATTAAAACTATCGTGTTATTGATATAGTAAGAATGTAAGGGAGAAGTTGGTTGATTTTCCGTTGGTCTGCAATCTCGAACCAATCTGATTATCAAAACAACAAAGTAAATTCGTCTGGAAAACATGGTCAGTCGTAAACCTTTTCAAATTGAAATATGATGGCATTCCCAAAGACATAAACAAAAGTATAAACGTTACTACATATGGGGTTTGAGGGCAAATTTCAAGATTCTTGTAATGGCTGCGCCCACACTGGTGGCAGCGATGTTACCGAGAGTGTAACGAAGGTGTCACGCGCTGGGAAGGAGCTTGGTGCAACACAAACAAGGGGAGATCACTCTACATGTGCAAGACAAACAAGGGGAGATCACTCTACATGTGCAAGACAAACAAGGGGAGATCACTCTACATGCGCAAGACAAACAAGGGGAGATCACTCTACATGTGCAAGACAAACAAGGGGAGATCACTCTACATGTGCAACACAAACAAGGGGAGATCACTCAAAATGTGCAACACAAACAAGGGGAGATCACTCTACATGTGCAACACAAACAAGGGGAGATCACTCTACATGTGCAACACAAACAAGGGGAGATCACTCTACATGTGCAAGACATACAAGGGGAGATCACTCTACATGTGCAACACCAAGCTCCTCACAGCGATAGCCCGTTCGCGGAGCTCTCTATATTATCGCTGCCACCAGTCAAAACTCCACACTGTGAATAGGTGGCCACAACCATGCTTGGAGTTGAACTCGCAACCGAAGGACCGTTATGTTTACAAACAAGTGACGACTGTCGTGACGCCGAATACACTTATCTCTGCTAAATTACTTGCTTCGTTTGTCAATTTGAATTTCTGTTTCATTAAAACTATCGTGTTATTGATATAGTAAGAATGTAAGGGAGAAGTTGGTTGATTTTCCGTTTGTCTGCAATCTCGAACCAATCTGATTATCAAAACAACAAAGTAAATTCATCTGGAAAACATGGTCAGTCGTAAACCTTTTCAAATTGAATGGCATTCCCAAAGACATAAACAAAAGTATAAACGTTACTACATATGGGGTTGGAGGGCAAATTTCAAGATTCTTGTAATGGCTGCGCCCACACTGGTGGCAGCGATGTTACCGAGAGTGTAACGAAGGTGTCACGCGCTGGGAAGGAGCTTGGTGCAACACAAACAAGGGGAGATCACTCTACATGTGGACACAAACAAGGGGAGATCACTCTACATGTGCAAGATGAACAAGGGGAGATCACTCTACATGTGCAACACAAACAAGGGGACATCACTCTACATGTGAAGACAAACAAGGGGAGATAACTCTACATGTGCAAGACAAACATGCAACACCAAGCTCCTCACAGCGATATCCCATTCGCGGAGCTCTCTATAATATTGCTGCCACCAGACTAAACTCCCCACAGTGATAGATGACCCCAACCATGCTTGGAGTTGAACTCCAACTGAAGTGTAACTACCTTCACCCAACGAACAAGGGGAGATAACTCTAGATATGGAACACAAATAGAGTGTTACAGCTCTTTCTACATGAGTTTACCAGGGTTGTCAGTCTTGTGTTTGAAGCCAACACTTGCAACAGAAATAATGGGCAGTAAGATACAAGACGGCAAATCAAGGACAAATATCTGTCCAGCTGATAGGCACATATTAACACTTTCTACATCAATTTGTTTTCTAGACGGCAGAATGGTAGGAGAATAGAAAAGCATATATTCCCAGAGCTCCAGATAAGCTGCGTATCTGCGTAAAATACGCATCAGAAATGCAGAAATACGCAGTAAAATAAAATCCAAGCGTATCAAATACGCAACGAACATTACAGATACGCTACAAAAATAAAACTTGTGCGTATCATCAAAATATTGTGAAGTAACCCTGCGTATTCGGTTAGCAAATCAGCAACGTATTTTGAAATTATAAACAGGCATTCCGTCAACCTTGCCAAACTCCACGATGACAGTTACATCATGATCATTTGCCATCACACTTATTTGTGGACGTATCGTGGTATTTTTGAGTCCTATAAAGCTCTCGAACCCACACGACCCCAGTTTGCAGGGACTAGATGAATAGTGTATTTAAATATTTAACTTAAATACCCACATGTGTAAAAACTAGTGGGTAACAGAAATTTGAATACCCAGATAGAATTACTGATACACAATGATTTTAAAATGCATGGGTAAAATACCCACAACACCAAAAGCTTATCTGGAGCTCTGTATTCCTAAACTAGTGTATTAGAAAGTTCCCCTGGCACAAGCTACCTTCCATGGAGGTGTCTTCAGGAGTATCGTATCAGTTTCTTTGTTTATTTAACGCCACACTCAGCAATATTCCAGCTATATGACAATGGTCTGTCAATAATTGAATCTGGACAGACAATCCAGAGATTGACATCATGAGCATCGATTCACACAATTGGGATATGATGACATGCATCAACCAAGTCAGTGAGCCTGACCGCCTGCTCCTCTTAGTCCCTTTTTACAACAAGCAGTCACCTTTTACGGCAAGCATGGGTTGCTGAAGACCTATTCTACCCCGGATCTGATCTCATCATCATCATACCATGCCTCACCTTACACACAGCCTTGACAAATTCCAGGGAGGGGTTGTTGAGGGGGAGATGGGAGCCGGGCAACTGTGGGAATTCTGCTGCTAGGTTGCCTTGGTTACTCTTGCTTCCTGCAAGTTTCTTTTGAATCTTTTGGGTGATTCTGTAAAAAACAAGAGTCATCAGGAGATGACATCCAGAATTATTCAACAGTTTTAGAGTACTGCTCCAGAAACAAGCACTACCCTTCACCTAGTCGTCATGAAATTTAATTTTACTGAAATTAAATAACCCCAAACCATCATTTCTCCACTAGACTGATCTATATGGCAAGTTTTAACAAGAACCCCCCCCCCACCACACACACACACACACACACACATAAAAGGGGGATTAAAAACCTGACGCTACATCTATAGCACAATGAATGTCCTTGTAAAAAATGTGCTCATACTTATATATATATGTACCGTATTGGACGTAATAAGCGCCCCGCTCTAATAAGCGCCCATGGCAATATTTGCTGATATATTGGCTAGTGAACAATCCCAATTAGCACCCCTTCCAACTGATCAATGTACACAAGACTTATTTATTCGTGTATAATACCCACTCGTGTGTTATATGCACCCTTAATTATGGGCAATTAAATTTTGGAAAATATATCTGTCGTATATAATCAGTGTTCGAAATACCTGCCTGCCCGACCGTCCGAGACGGGTTGATTTCAACTCGGGCTGCCAGATTTTCAAATACCCCTGCCCGACGGTCGGGTTATATTTCATATGTGAAAATATTCTAAATATTTCCCAATGATAAGCATTAATTCACATGTAAAGATGAATGATAAAATGTAACCAAAAAGAAACCCCGTTAGCTTATCCTGAGAAACATATGATTATAGTGGGCAGGCAGGTTTTGGTCAGGGCTGGCAAGTATTTCAGCTAGCCAGTCCTGTGGTCTGGCTGAAATTTTGGGGAGTTTCATATCCTGTTATAAGGTAGGCACAATTGATGGGCAATTAAATTCTGGAAAAATATATCTGTCGTGTCTAATACACACAGACTTTTTTTTTGTAGCATTATAGGCTGTTAGCATAAACCACGAAATTTACGATCTTTCAACTATTTTTTTCACCAAAATTTTATTCTAATAAGAGCCCCCTATTTCCAAGTTTGAGAGCGCCCTGGGCGCTTATTACGTGGAATACGGTATATTATATATGGATTGCTGGATCGGGTGGTCAGGCTTGCTGACTTGGTTGATGAATGTCATCGATCCCAACAAACTATATATGGATTAATCAGAAACAATACAGAGATGTTTAGATTTTGTCTTTCAATTGTTTGAAGGGGACAAGAAACTGAAAAATAAAAACAGCATTGCCTTAGCATACATACGCAAACATCTGCTGTGCAAGCTCCCCTTGGACAAGATCTTGGGCAAACGACACAGTTGACGGGGTGGCCGATGGATCAAGGTGTTTCTGCAACAGGAAATAAATATAGCAAGTGATTCCATGGCATTTGATCGGCTTTCCATCAACTGAAAAACACCCTGGCCCACTGACTGACTACTGTATGGGTGGGGATTTTGTTGGAATATTGTGATGAACGATTTCACAGCTATATGGCAGCGGTCTGAAAATAATCAAGTCTGGACCAGACAATCCAGTGACAGACACTATGAGCATCGATCAACGCAATTGGGATGCATCAACCAAGTCAGCGAGTCTGACCCCCCGATCCTGTTAGTTGCCTTTTATGGCAAGCATAGTCGCCTTTTATGACAAGCATGGGTTACTGAAGACCTATTCTACCACAGATCTTCACGGGTCCCTAACTACAAAGTGAGAATCCGTGAAAATTTTCAAAAGCTGAATACAGTTCTCTTCCACGGTAATGAAAGATTGCAGATGCTGAAAGATTCAAAACTGAAACAAATCTACAAGCATTTGACTATGTGTTTTCTTAAATGATTACGTACAGAAATTAATTATAAGTGGCACCAAATTATGAAATTGTAGCATCTATTTTCTGCGTCCCATTGGATGCAGCATTTTACCTGTGTCTGGCTGCTGTCTCGGCGTCGGATGGGGGTGTTCCCCGGGGTGAGGCGACGTTGCTCCTCGTCTATCTGGTTGTACACGGACAGGATGTAGCCAGCAACTATCATCTGTAACAGAGACACTTTGTTTGTTTGTTTGTTTGTTTGTTTGTTTGTTTGTTTCTAAACTCCACACTCAGCAATATTACAGATATATAACGGCAGTCTGTAAATAATCGAGTCTGGACCAGACCATCCAGTGATTGACATCATGAGCATCGATCTACGCCATTGACATGCATCAACCAAATCTGCGATATTGATGAAAGAAAATAGAGGAATAATGGTGAATAAAAAATTACAACAAGAAAGGAAAAAAAGTCAGCAAGACTGACACCCGATCTCGATAGTGGCCTCCTTTGACAAGCATGGGTTGCCGAAGACAAAGTCTAACCTGGATCTTCAAAGGGATCTGTAGCAGGAGTACAAAGCTTTGAAGGTCAGGGAACTACATAAATGTTTTAGCCATCGGGTATTTACTCTCATGTCATCATTCATGATGGGCATTCAATATACTTTTACTACTGTTGGGTATTTTTCAACCAAACAGCAAACTTTTCTAAACCTAATTCTGCTTAAAAGGCTGATTTAGGTGACTTCTATTTTGCATCTATCCATGTTCTGCTATAAGGCTAACAGTATGTTTAGGGCATTATCATTTGCAGAAGCCCGAGGTCATAAATTAAGTGCCTGACAATGTTCCTTCTAGTGCTGAGATAGAAGGTGAGGGTCTCTACTAACTCCCCATCTGCCTCCGGTACTGAATCTACTTTTGATCTAGACTACCAACATGGGCTGAAGGCTGAAGGTGTGATTTGTGGTACTCACGCTGAAGTTAGTCTGGCATGCTGCAGCCTCGGGGAGGAAGTGGACAATGTTCCAGTTCATCTCGATTTCCGGCTGCAATCCAAGTAGTGATAATGTGCAGTGTAAGATACCCAGCATCATTAAACAAACAGTGTGAAAATTGAAAATGTTACTAGTCTGTCTGGCAAACGTATATGTTATCGGGTATTGGCTGACCTGAGATGTAGGCTGACCTGAGATGTAGGCTGACCTGAGATGTAGGCTGACACCTTGAAATCACTACCTTTGTATGTTTGTTTGTTTGTTTAGCGCTGCACTCAGCAATATTCCAGCTATATGACGGCGGTCTGTGAATAATCGAGTCTGGACCAGCCAATCCAGTGATTGATATCATGAGCACTGATCCACACAATTTGGATACGATGACATGCATCAACCAAGTCAGAGAGCCTGACCACCCAATCCCGTTAGTCGCCTTTTATGAAAAGTAGGTTGCCTTTACGGCAAGCATAGTCGCTTTTTTGGCAAGCATGAGATATTCATGTCAACAAAGACCTGGTGTATTGCATATACAATCTTCGTTTTTATTTCTTAGGATTTTGTAATAAACAAATTTACTGTTCAAAGCATCCATGTAAAGCTTAAAAAAATAAAAGAACAGGTTCTTAGGCAATGGCTTTTGAAATATAGTGCGGGCGGGTAGTGTTCTTTTTTTGTTGTTGTTCAAACTAGAATGTAACCAAATAAACAGTTGTGTACAATCAACCTGGAAAATGGCCCCCCTGTAGAAAAGTATTCTTTGACAAGTAAAATACAGGAATGCAGTTCTTGGCAAGCGTTGGACTACCAGTGTGTTCATAATACACACGCAATGAGCTTGACAACGTGAAGACATTATCGTGAGCACACAACACCGGAAGAATCATGGCAAGACATCTGTACTGAAGTACGTAAGTTAGTTCTGTTATTACACAATCTGGCTATAAAAGTGTTCGTTGTGTATCTGGACTTACGTTGTAATCCATTATACTACTTTAATGCAAGACTTCATTCAATTTTGTTAACATTAATTTTGGCAAAATCGTGTATGAACTGATCGGCAGATCACATCAACTCACTGTGAAGTCGCCTTGAAATGAACATTAGTCGTAAGAGATCGAAATATGATTTTGGTCATGACATTAAGTAATTTTAATACTAAATCAACTATAGATCGGGGAGATGTGTGACAAGCTGACTGCTATTTCCGGCTTATTTTGCAAGGCTTATCACATGTAATCATAATCTCTGCGCGTGAAACATCGTCCAGCATGCAGTCCCAAAATACCATTGAATCATGTCTAGTGATGTTTTATTGTAAATTTCATGTTTTTCATTGAGCAAGTTTACAAACGGCAAAGCAAGCACACAAAACTCCTATTGTTGCCACGACTATAACACCAGATACACAGTAAAGCAGTGTGCATGTAAAGGGAAGTATCTGCACGCTATACTGGTTCTCATTGTTTTGAAGTATTGTAGCATTTCACTGACAGGGTCGCGTGGTCGACACTCGGAAAATTTACGGATGTTCTTGTGTTAAAAATGGAAGTAAGAATTTATGTGGCAGACCTTTTCAGGATGCGGGCGGTCCCCGAGGACAAGCCATTTTTTTTTTAGGCGTAAATTGAATTTTGACCGACACCATTCAGGTCGCCGAGTTTTCATCCCATGACAGTACCTCGTCCTCAGTGTCCGACTTGTTAAGCTCTTCCCCATCGTCCTCCTCAACGGGCAAGTCCTCATCACTGTCGTCCTCTCCCCCAACTTTGTGTGTTTTGTTCCCCCCTGGGAGGGTCGGCAGCTTCCCTCGCACCCCACCATGATTGGCCTGAAAAACAGACATCCTTTGAAATTCACGCTAGTCCGCTAGCCCGTGACTGCTAAATTGTGCTGAGGGCAAGTCTAAATCCTGTGATGGTCGTCCTCATTGACTAGTATCATTTTAGAGCTATATTTCTGAACCAGTCGATATTTCAATTTTGCTACAAATTGAAGCTGAATAAAATAAAGATTTGAATATAGTACACATTTTTGTCTCGTTCAAGCAGGCTCAGTTACAGTGAGTGGGTGAGTGAGTGATTGCGTGAGTGAGTTGGGTGTAACGCCGCTTTTAACAGTATTGCAGTTATATCGCAGCGTGTCAGCTTAATGTGGGAGGAAAGCCCGAAGTGATGCAGGTCTCACACGTTTATCACTTCGGTGAAACCCACGAGCACGGGTATGGTGCTGACAAACCTAGAAACATAATCGGGGCGAACCGGGATTTGAACCCACAATCATAGGTTTTTTGGCGTGCCCAAGGGACGCAACTCTGCACAGCAAATCGCGGCGCCCTCAGTTACAGACTGAAACTAACCAGCAACCTTTAGTAACAGCTGGCCTTGTTTTTGGTTACCAGTCCCCGCCTCCTTGGTCTAGTGGTAGAAGCGTCCGCCCAGAGAGCTGAAGGTTCGGGGTTTGATCCCCGGCCGCGTCATACCAAAAGACGTTAAAAGATGGTACTTGTTGTTACCCTGTCTGGCGCTCAGCATTAAGGGGCAAAGACAAGGACCGGTCGGCTCGGAGTCAGTATACTGTGTCTGAGTGGGGTATTCATGTTAAACTGCGGCATGGTATCTCAGTGAGCTAGCACTATAAATCAGCACCAGTCCAGACTAGTACAAGCAGCCACACACAGACACATACATGTGCATGCACGTCGTTATATAAGTGCAATAATCTTGGAAGCGACGTTAAACCCAATTTCACCTCACCTCAATCTATGAGACTGAGTGAGTGAGTATGGTTTTACGCCTCTTTTAGCAATATTCCAGCAATATCACTGTGGGGGACACCAGAAATAGGCTTCACACATAGTACCCATGTTGGGAATCGAACCCCGGGTCTTCGGCATGACGAGCGAACGCTTAAACCACTAGGCTACCCGACCGCCCCAAATCCATGAGAGGCAGCTATAACAGCGATCAGAAACACAAGACTTACCGGATCAAGCCACATGAGAAACTCCCAACACTGTTCGTACGTGATATCGACGAGGTGGAAGAGTTCGCGAGACTTGATACTGTTGGTGATGTACTCCACATATGCCAGAGCGTCCACCAGGCGGCGCTTCTTCGTACATAGTAGTAGGCGGTTGAAATTAGCGTACACGATCTGCGATCCCAGTCGCTTGAACTCTGCTATCAGCTGACAAGAAGAGGAATACATGTCAAACTTACTTAATTCTGAGTTCCGAGATACCAATATACAAATTTCAAGATTAATGCTAGAGTACATTGTTCAGTTGTTCTTATAATCATACAGACATGAGTGAGTGAGTGAGTGAGTGAGTGAGTGAGTGAGAGGATGTGAGAGTGAGTTTGAGTGAATGAGAGAGTGAATGTGAGTGAGTGAGAGTGAGTGAATGTGAGTGAGTGAGTGAATGTGAGTGAGTGAGTGAGTTAAATTTTAACGACGCACCATCATTATATGACATGTCGGGTGTGTGCAATGCATTAGCTCCTGTGAACTATGTTCACTGGGCCTTTTTGTAAAGAAATATAGTACGTTTTTCAAGATCTGCTCCAGAAACGAGGACTACCTCAATTTTCAGTCTAAATCAAAGTCGGTACCATGGAAACTCGAAAAATAACTTTTTTAAAAATCCCAAACTGTCAAAAGGCACCAATTTACCACTAGATCTATCTATGTGCCAAGTTTGGTGAAGAAATATGGTACGTTTTTCAAGATCTGCTCCGGAAACGAGGACTACCGCCTTTTTCAGTCTAAATCAAAGTCGGTGCCATGGAAACTCGAAAAATAACTTTTTTTTAAATCCCAAACTATCAAAAGGCACCAGTTCACCACTAGATCTATCTATGAGCCAAGTTTGGTGAAGAAATATGGTACGGTTTTCAAGATCTGCTCCGGAAATGAAATGTGACGGACGGACGGCACCCATTCCTATATCCTGCTTCCACTTCGTGGCGGGGGATAAAAAAATACTCAGCAATGAGTTGGCTTAAAACACTGGTTGAAGATAGTTACATTGATTATGATAGGATTACGCGTCACACAGGGGAACAATAATTTTACAGTACTCTAACCTCCTGGACAGAGCCTTCAATAACGTCAGTTGATAATCACACCAAATTTAAAAACAAGCATTTAATTATTCACATATTTAAAATTCTTTCAAGTACCGTATTCGACAAAATAAGTTCCCAGGGCGCTCTCAAAATTAGAAATAGGGGGCTCTTATTAGAATAAAATTTTGGTGAAAAAAATAGTTAAATGATCGTAAATTTCGTGGTTTATGCTGACAGCCTGAAATGATACAAAAGAAAAGTCTGTGTATTAGACACGACAGATATATTTTTCCAGAATTTAATTGCCCATCATATGGGGTGCATATAACACACGAGTGCGTATTATACACAAATAAATAAGTCTTGTGTACATTGATCAATTGAAAGAGGTGCTAATTGGGATTGTTCACTAGCCAAATATTAGCAAATATCGCTGTGGGCGCTTATTAGAGCGGAGCGCTTATTACGTCAAATACGGTAATTTATAATGAGATCCCCGCTGACCCGGGAAAAGAGATCTTTCAGATTTACGCTTTGTAATATGGTCCGGGAGGATAAAAATATCATCATACCTGCATAAAGACTTTCTTCATCATGTTGTGGAGGGTTCGTCTCAGAGCCGGGTCGTACAACAGGCCATTTGGAGAACGTAGCCATCTACATTGAGGAGACAGTGAACTGATGATGGTTTGCTGTTAAACGTGACACACAGCAATGTTCCAGCAATATGACAGGACTGTAAGTATTTTGGTCTGGACCAGACAATCCAGTGATTGTGATCATGAGCACAAATTTACGCTGCCAGGGTACAAGAACTCAAACTTCCAGTGAGTGAGTGAGTGAGTATGGTTTTACGCCGCTTTTAGCAATATTCAAGCAATATCAAGGCGGGGGACACCAGAAATGGGCTTCACGCATTGTACCCATGTTGGGAATCGAACCCTGGTTTTCGGCGTGACGAGCAAACGCTTTAACCATTAGGCTACCCGACAGCCCCCTTAAGTTCAAGTGAGCTTTGCTTGAAGGAATACACAATTAAACCCAACAAGTACGAAAAAGACTTAATTTTGATTTTATATTTTAACCGCAACTTGACATCGCCCTGTGATAATGGAGACTGGAACAGACAGTCCAGTGATTGATATTGTGAGCAGCGATCCATATGTAATCTAGCAAGTCATATTGTTTGTTTATTTGTTGTTTAACACCGAACTCAGCAATATTCCAGCTATATGACGGCGGTTTGTAAATAATGGAGTCTGGACCAGACAATCTAGTGATTGATATCATGAGCATCGATCTACACAATTGGGATATGATGACATGCATCAACCAAGTCAGTGAGCCTGACCACCTTATCGCTTTGGTCACCTCTTACGACAAGCATAGTTGTCTTTTACGGCAAGCACAGGTTGCTGAAGACCTTTTCTATCCCGGATCTTCACGGGTGTCACCTTCTACTGCACCCATAGGCTGCAGGAACCTATTCTAACCGGGGATACCCATGGGGTTCCACATATTGTGATGAGAGATGAGATGCTCACACCTACAAGGGGGCACGGGTGGGCCAGTTGTCTAAGGCGCCGCGATTCGCTGTGCAGAGTTGCGTCCCTTGGGCATGCCAGGAACCTATGATTGTGGGTTCGAATCCCAGTTCGCCCCGATTATGTTTCTAGGTTTGTCAGCACCATACCCGTGCTCGTGGGTTTCACCGAAGTGGCAAATGTGTGAGACCTGCATCACTTCGGGCTTTCCTCCCACATTAAGCTGACAGGCCGCGACATAACTGGAATATTGTTAAAACTCACTCACTCACTCACTCACTCACACCTACAACTTCAGATTTGGAGATTTCAGTGGCGTGCGGGTCTCCGGTCGTTTTGAAGTAGACATTATATCCCATTATGTGGCTACTCACCTGTAGAAGTGAATGATCTGGTTGTCAGCGAACACGTTGCCATAGGCTGTCACTTCCCTCACCCAGCTGTGGACCATACTCTTCAGAATCCTGCAACAGATGACGCGCGTCTTAGAGTGTGAATACAATACACTTTGTGCAGCATTTACTGCAATAACAACCAAATCTCGTCGTAGCTACATGGTGGCTGTGTGTTTACCTGAATGTTGAGGAGCACAGCGCGGTCTCGTCATAGCTACATGGTGGCTGTGTGTCTACCTGAATGTTGAGGAGCACAGCGCGGTCTCGTCATAGCTACATGGTGGCTGTGTGTCTACCTGAATGTTGAGGAGCACAGCGCGGTCTCGTCATAGCTAGCCAGCATGGTGGCTGTGTGTTTACCTGAATGTTGAGGAGCACAGCGCGGTCTCGTCATAGCTACATGGTGGCTGTGTGTCTACCTGAATGTTGAGGAGCACAGCGCGGTCTCGTCATAGCTACATGGTGGCTGTGTGTCTACCTGAATGTTGAGGAGCACAGCGCGGTCTCGTCATAGCTAGCCAGCATGGTGGCTGTGTGTTTACCTGAATGTTGAGGAGCACAGCGCGGTCTGGTCATAGCTACATGGTGGCTGTGTGTTTACCTGAATGTTGAGGAGCACAGCGCAGTCTCGTCATAGCTACATGGTGGCTGTGTGTTTACCTGAATGTTGAGGAGCACAGTGCGGTCTCGTCATAGCTACATGGTGGCTGTGTGTTTACCTGAATGTAGAGGAGCACAGCGCGGTCTCGTCATAGCTACATGGTGGCTGTGTGTTTACCTGAATGTTGAGGAGCACAGCGCGGTCTGGCCATAGCTACATGGTGGCTGTGTGTTTACCTGAATGTTGAGGAGCACAGCGCGGTCTGGTCATAGCTACATGGTGGCTGTGTGTTTACCTGAATGTTGAGGAGCACAGCGCAGTCTCGTCATAGCTACATGGTGGCTGTGTGTTTACCTGAATGTTGAGGAGCACAGTGCGGTCTCGTCATAGCTACATGGTGGCTGTGTGTTTACCTGAATGTTGAGGAGCACAGCGCGGTCTTGTCATAGCTACATGGTGGCTGTGTGTTTACCTGAATGTAGAGGAGCACAGCGCGGTCTCGTCATAGCTACATGGTGGCTGTGTGTTTACCTGAATGTAGAGGAGCACAGCGCGGTCTCGTCATAGCTACATGGTGGCTGTGTGTTTACCTGAATGTTGAGGAGCACAGCGCGGTCTGGCCATAGCTACATGGTGGCTGTGTGTTTACCTGAATGTTGAGGAGCACAGCGCGGTCTGGCCATAGCTACATGGTGGCTGTGTGTTTACCTGAATGTTGAGGAGCATAGCGCGGTCTGGCCATAGCTACATGGTGGCTGTGTGTTTACCTGAATGTTGAGGAGCACAGCGCGGTCTGGCCATAGCTACATGGTGGCTGTGTGTTTACCTGAATGTTGAGGAGCACAGCGCGGTCTGGCCATAGCTACATGGTGGCTGTGTGTTTACCTGAATGTTGAGGAGCACAGTGCGGTCTCGTCATAGCTACATGGTGGCTGTGTGTTTACCTGAATGTTAAGGAGCACAGCGCGGTCTCGTCATAGCTAGCCAGCATGGTGGCTGTGTGTTTACCTGAATGTTGAGGAGCACAGCGCGGTCTCGTCATAGCTAGCCAGCATGGTGGCTGTGTGTTTACCTGAATGTTGAGGAGCACAGCGCGGTCTCGTCATAGCTCGCCAGCATGGTGGCTGCTCCCTGTCCCTGCATCATGTCCTCTAGAGACGTCTGTGGCATCGTGTCGAAGCTGACCGCACTCGCTCCCTCCTGGTCGTTGACATGCGCAGACTGGAAACAGGATATCTTGTTACTGCACTCGTCACTACTGTATCGGTTTGTGATTTTATAAGCCTCATTCTATCATAGATTGCTCTCCATCTAACAGTATTAGGAATCTTACATTGTCATGACTCTCACATTGTTATCAATCCCACATCGTCAGGAATCTCACATTGTTATCAATCGCACATTGTCAGGAATCTCACATTGTTATCAATCTCACATTGTTATCAATCGCACATTGTCAGGAATCTTACATTGTCAGGACTCTCACATTGTTATCAATCGCACATTGTCAGAAATCTTACATTGTCAGGACTCTCACATTGTTATCAATCGCACATTGTCAGGAATCTTACATTGTCAGGACTCTCACATTGTTATCAATCGCACATTGTCAGGAATCTTACATCGTCAGGAATCTCACATCGTCAGGAATCTCACATTGTTATCAATCTCACATTGTCAGGAATCTTACATTGTCAGGAATCTCACATTGTCAGGAATCTCACATGGTCATCAATCTCACATTGTTATCAATCTCACACTATCAGGAATCTCACATTGTCAATGATCTCTCAATTTTACAAATTTCTCATTGATAAGAACCTATCGCTGTTATTGATTTATCATTCTATTGGTCATCATTCTATCATGTTTATCATCACTCAATAAATAACAGATATCATCACTTTATCACTATAGAAACTGTGGTTCATCGCTTTATTTGTTTCTGTCACCTCTCTACACTTGTTATCATTCTACCATCAAGTTCATTGCTTTCAGTACTTCAAGGGCAGTGAATGTCTATGATTTGTGGGCGTACCTCGATGATGGTGTTGACTGCGAGACTGGCGATGTCAAGCTCCACACACACCGTGGGGTAGCAGCCGATGTTGTTTACCTCCACAGATGAGCTCTCCTCAAGCTCCATACACAGCCTACAGACATACATCAAAGGGAGGTTACTCTCATGGCACAGTCAAACAGAAAATGTCAAATGCTAATCTTTGATTGTTTGTTGTTGTCTGTTGATTAGTGCTGCACTCAGCAATATTCCAGCTATAGGACAGCAGCCGGGACCAGACAGTCCAGTGATTGACATTATGAGCATCAATCCACACAATTGGAATACGATGACATGCATCAACCAAGTCAGCGAGTCTGACCACCCGATCCCGTTTGTCACCTCTTACGGAAGGCATGGGTTACTGATAATCCGTTACCATGACGTCACAATCAAATTGAAATGACTCACTAATCTGGTTGGTTTTACTTTTTACACACCAGACCCTGCTCATTACTGTTTACACACAAAAAAAGTATGAAAGAATGATTTTGAATGATAAATAGAATCTAATCCTCTTGTCTTTTGACATCAAATATATCAACCATTGTCAAGCCTTTCAGATTATCATATATTGCCATCTATTAAGCGACCCCACATGTAAGACGACACCCCTGTACAAGCCTTCAAAATCGATGCTAATCGGGATGAAGCACATCACCAGCACATCACCAGCACATACACAATCCCTACATTTGCAATAAAAACGTGTTTCTCTTCCGCAGAAAAATATTACATCGTATCCCTTCAGTGAATTCAGGGAAACGAACAGATAACAATTAAACTTGGTCAATACAAATTTAAGGTAAAAGAGATAAAAGAAACACCAGGCATAATGATTTACCGATTAAATTGTATTTCCTGTTCGGATAGGCATTGTTTTACATGCAGAGATTAAGATTACCGTGTGTATTTTCTCGTAAATTAAGCCGAAAGCAACAATCAGCTGTGCACACGTTTCTTGGTAACTACCGGTGATTCGGGTAAAAATTACCCATTAAAATAACTTTAAAGAATTTTGATACAATGATCGGAAGAATTGTATCTGAAACTATGCAATAAAACAACTAATAATTTATTCCTCTATCATGTTATTTTAGTAGTATTTTACTGTATATATTTGAAATAAATTAATAACCATAAGCGTAGCACTTTGGTACAGCTGACTGGTATTGCTGCATATTTTTTCGTATGGAACAATTTGACCAATCACTGTCGAGGCTCCAGCGCTTGCGATAGCGAAAACTTTATGTTGACATATTATGGTCGAACTACAACAAATATGACTTTCAGTGAGTCAATGTATGGCATTAATGATATATATATCCATTCTCTATCCACTGAAGTTTGTTTCAAGGCGTCAATAGTGGTAATATGACCGTGGTTGCTGTAAATATTGGTGCGTTGTGCGATCTTCAGATCCCTTCATATATGATTTCGCCGAAATGAATGTTTACAATCTTGAATGAAATTTGATTAAAATTAATAAAATAGATTACAAACATAAGTCCAGAAATATAATGAATTGTTTTTAAAACAGATTTGTTGACATGGTATTTCCGGTGTTACGTGCTCACAGTTATGTCTGTTGGGGAGAAAAACATCAAAACTCTTCAACCCTGTGTATAAGACGACCCCCCTTGAAAGCCCCCTAATTCTGGTTACGAAACATTCGCCTTATACACAGCCTTACCTTATGTGGTACATTTTCTATGGTGGGGTGAGGTGAAATGGGGTTTAACATCGCGTCCAAGATTATTGCACTTATATAGCGACGTGCATGTACGTGTGTGTGTTTGTGTGGCTGCTTGTACCAGTCGGGACTGATGCCGATTTATAGTGCTAGCTCACTGAGATACCATGCCGCAGTTTAACATGAATACCCCACTCAGACACAGTAAACTGACTCCGAGACGACCAGTCCTTGTTTTAGCCCCTTAATGCCGAGCACCAGACAGGGTAACAACAAGTTCCATCTTTTAACGTCTTTTGGTATGACGTGGCCAGAGATCGAACCCCGGACCTTCAGCTCTCCGGGCCGACGCTCTACCACTAGACCACAGAGGCGGTATATTTTCTATGGGTGAGTGAGTGATTGAGTTGGGTTTAGCGCCGCTTTTAACAGTATTCTCGTTATATCACGGCGTGTCAGCTTAATGTGGGAGGAAAGCCCCGAGTGATGCAGGTCTCAGACGTTTACCACTTTGGTGAAACACACAAGACGGGTATGGTGCTGACAAACCTAGAAACATAATCGGGGCGAACCGGGATTCGAACCCACAATCATAGGTTTCTGACGTGCCCAAGGGACGCAATTCTGCACAGCGAATCGCGGCGCCTTAGACGACTGGGCCACCCGTGCCCCCACATTTTCTATGTATTGGAGAAAACACGATTACGAGGTTTTGGTAGACAGAGCATGCCCTGGGGAGAGGGAAAAACCAAGGGGGATATTATAGCAAACATGACTTGAATATCCTATAAAATCCCTGGGATATTATATAAAATCCCAGGGACATTACAACGTCCCTGTTTATGAGATTTAACCCGACTGGAAAGTGAAACCTCACAATAGGTTTTAATGCCTATAGAAAGAACTCTCTTACTTAACAGCAATCCCAATGAATAGGTTTATAAGGACTTCTAATGACTTATCTGAACACATAAAGGCACTCAGGTGAGATTCTGTGTACTTGCTTACCTGTTGTCGTCGGCCTCCTTGCCGCCAAGGTCCGGCCTCTCGGTTGGCGAGCACCACAGCAGGTGGTTATGTTTGTGTAGGTGGCGGGCGAAGAACAGATCACAGCCAAATAGAGTGATGTCCCTTGGCATGTTTCCGATAGGGATATGGAGGTAGCGACACTGTTCCATCATTGCCTATGAACGATATTGATGTCAGCTCTCAAATTGATCATGTTGAGTGGGTTTGTTTGGGTACGTGTGTGGGTGACTAGGTGAGTGGGTGGTTGAGTTGGTGAGTGGGTGGTCGAGTGGGTGGTCGAGTGGGTGGTCGAGTGGGTGAGTGGGTGGTCGAGTTGGTTTGTATGGGTATGTGTGTGGGTGAATGGGTGAGCGGGTGGTCGAGAGGGTGAGTGGGTGTGTGAGTGGGTGTGTGAGTGGGTGCGCGAGTGGGTTTGTATGGGTATGTGGGTGGATGAGTGGGTTTGTATGGGTATGTGTGTGGGTAAAAGGGTGAGTGGGTGGGCGAGTGGGTTTGTATTGGTACGTGCAGGGGTGAGCTGATGTGTGGGTGGGTGGGCGAGTGGGTTTGTATGGGTACGTGTGTGAGTGGATGGGTGAGTGGGTTTGTATGGGTACGTGAAGGGGTGAGCCGATGTGTGAGTGGGTGGGTTTGTATGTTGTTTAATGCTACAAACAGCAACATTCCAGTTGTACAAGATAACAGTCTGTAAACTGGGATGAGATATCCTTTTATTTTAAAAAAACCCACTGTACCTGTAGGATGATCTCGCCATTCATGTAGTGCTGCAGCAAGCGTCGACTCCCGACTCTCTGCCAGTCCAGGACATTGTACAGGTTCTCACTGGACAAACAAGACCACACACACAGGTTATACTTCCGGGCTTCAGGATTTGTTCCTTGCAACATCCTTGGCACCCATTCCACAAAGCATGCGTAGCGCTACCACCGTGGTAAGTCTATGTTAAAGAATTGGAGTTACCATCATCTTAGCAGTACGATCGCCTCGTGGAACGCGGCCTTGGGTCCCGTTCCACAAAGCGATCTTAGCACTAAGATGATCGTAAGTCCCATACTTTAACATAGGTTTACAATCATCGTAGCGCTAAGATCGCTTTGAGGAACAACGTCCTGGTCAGTAGGCAGGAAGAAATAAGAAAAGACATTTCAGATTCTGTTCTTCAAAACATTATCCATCTTCCCGAGGCAAGAGAGTTAACTGACTACAAAAGTCCAGTTTCCAGCCTTGCCGAACTTGTCTGGAATTCCTGGGCTCGATTGTAGCGCCACCAGTGGCTATTACGATTTATGTACTTTCTAAACCTCTCCTATGGACCAATCAGATTCCACCTCTCGTTTCACTTGCATTTGCTTCAAACAAAACGGCGGCGCCCAGTCAAGACGATCTGATTGATAATCAAGATCTATGCTGTGTTAAAAAGGGTCTTACACCGCAAAGTGCATCAAATCACACGTGCACCTTGATTAAAAACATGAAAAGATTTGGAAAATATCTGTTGACAGTGAATGGGCGGTGCACATGCTTTGTAAATCCTGCAATCGACCGAAATCTACACGGCGGTTTACGAACCGGATTTCAATTTCGTTGCACAATTTTGATTGGACAATACATATACTTGTTAGTCCAGCCAAAATGTAACTCCATAATACCAGCCTAATTCGGCAAGGGTGGAAACTGGACTTTTGTCAGTTAACTCTCTTGCCTCGGGAAGATGAACTTTATCCTATAATGATGCCATGTTTGTAGTGATAACATTGTCGAACTTGGTCTTGTTTGTTATTGTTTAACGCCGCACTCAGCAATATTCCAGCTATATGACGGCGGTCTGTAAATAATCGAGTCTGGACGAAACAATCCAGTGATTAATATCATGAACATCGATCCACACAATTGAAACACGGTGACATGTATCAACCAAGTCAACGAGCCTGACCACCCGATCCCGTTAGTCGCCTCTTTCGACATGAATAGTTGCCTTTAACGGCAAGTTTGGATTGGAGTTGAGTGAGTGAGTAAGTGAGTTGGGTTTAACGCCGCTTTTAACAGTATTCCAGTCATATCGCGGCATGTCAGCTTAATGTGGGAGGAAAGCCCGAAGTGATGCACGTCTCAGACGTTAACCACTTCGGTGAAACCCACGAGCACGGGTATGGTGCTGAAAAACCTAGAAACATAATCGGGGCGAACCGGGATTCGAACCCACAATCATAGGTTTCTGGCGTGCCCAAGGGACGCAACTCTGCACAGCGAATCGCGGCGCCTTAGACGACTGGGCCACCCGTGCCCCCTGCAGTTTGTAGTCACGGCAAGTTTGGGTTGCTGAGTGAGTGAGTGAGTATGGTTTTACACCGCTTTTAGCAATATTCCAGCAATATCACGACGGGGGACACCAGAAATGGGCTTCACACATTGTACCCATGTCGGTATTTGAACCCGGGTCTTCGGCGTGACGAGCGAACGCTTTAACCACTAGGCTACCCGACCGCCCCCTTGGGTTGCTGAGGACTTATTCTACCCCGGTTTTCAGGGGTCCGGTGGTTTGTATGTACCTACCTGTCCGTTATGTGGATTGGCACTAAGGGGAAGTCACACAAGCCGGGCATCACAGAGGTCAAATGGGAGAAATCTGAAGGAAATTTTAGCATCATGGAGTCATATTGTGAATGAAAGCAAAATAGAACAATTTTTTATTTAGCTCTCTATTTAGTAACCAACATGGCCACTATGTCTTCGTATGTCACTAAGTTTTTCAGGAACAAGTCCTATAGCTGCAGTTTGTCAAATTTTGTGATGACCAATTTGTACCCTTTCAGCTTATGAGTCAGTGTGTGAGGGTGGTTTTACGCCAGTTGTTTTTAGCAATATTCCAGCAATATCATGGAATTGGGCTTCACTCATGGAACCTGGGTCTTTGGCATAATGAGTGAACGCTTTAACCACTCGGCTACCCGACCGCTCCACCACTAGTATGCAGCCTGAAGCAACATCTCGTAAATTATCTTTCCTTCTTGTAATTTCAGCTAATACATAGTTGAGACAAAAATTCACAGAAGAAATCTAAAAGGTCTAAAGCAAATCGTTTTGGTCTGCATTGCTTGGAATCAGTCCCAGGAAAAATCATGCAGTGATGTTTTGACAAGTCACTAAGTCACTAGCATGATCTGGTGCCCTGTGAACTTTTGTACTGAAAGCCTCAAAGTTTACATTTTAACCAAGTAGCCAAGTGGCTTAAAGTATTTTTTTCCAGGTAGCCAATGGTAAAATCAAGAAGTCAAGCCAATATTGTAGGCAGCCAAAAGCATTTGAAATTATCTTTTATCAAATAACTATTATATGTACAAGTCATAGCACTACTCTTGGAATTGTATATTCGTGGAAACTACTTGATTTTTGTTATTTGTGACTCAAACAATGATGCAATTTATGTTATTAGATTATAAAGGTATATCCTTGCTTATCCAATAAAATATCAACTAAAATAAAATACTGATTACATTGATATTTATTTATTTTCGGTTCATTGTTGACTTTAGGAGGAATTATTTGCAAGTATAAATAGTAGCAGACATGTTTATTTTTGTAACTACAGACGTATAGCAATAGAATTTAGTTGCCACAAGATATTTTTCAAGGTAGTCATTTGGATTCCTCTGAATTTTAGATAGGAGACGAATTGAAATTTAGGTCGCATTGGCGACAATTTAGTGGCAACTTTGAGGCCTGTACTGGTGAAATATTGCCTAAATACTGCTTAGATATTGCTAAGATACTGCTAAGATATTGCTAAGATACTGCTAAGATACTGCTAAGATATTGCTAAGATACTGCCAAGACATTTTTAAGATACTGCTAAGACATTGCTAAGATATTGCTAAGTAACTGCTAAGATATTGCTAAACCATGCTAAGATACTGCTAAGACATTGCTAAGATACTGCTAAGATATTGCTAAGCCATGCTAAGATACTGCTAAGACATTGCTAAACCATGCTAAGATACTGCTAAGACATTGCTAAGATATTGCTAAGTAACTGCTAAGATATTGCTAAACCATGCTAAGATACTGCTAAGACATTGCTAAGATACTGCTAAGATATTGCTAAGCCATGCTAAGATACTGCTAAGACATTGCTAAACCATGCTAAGATATTGCTAAGGTATTGCTAAGATACTGCTAAGACATTGCTAAGATATTGCTAGGTAACTGCTAAGATATTGCTAAACCATGCTAAGATACTGCTAAGACATTGCTAAGATATTGCTAAGCCATGCTAAGATACTGCTAAGACATTGCTAAACCATGCTAAGATACTGCTAAGACATTGCTAAGACACTGCTAAGATATTGCTAAGCCATGCTAAGATACTGCTAAACCATGCTAAGATACTGCTAAGATATTGCTAAGCCATGCTAAGATATTGCTAAGATACTGCTAAGACATTGCTAAGATACTGCTAAGATATTGCTAAGCCATGCTAAGATACTGCTAAGACATTGCTAAACCGTGCTAAGATACTGCTAAGACATTGTTAAGATATTGTTAAGAAAACTAGATAACCCCTAAACCTGGGAAAATAAACCTGGGGAGGGGGAGGGGAAAAGTAAGGCTCAGCAATCTTTTTTGAAAACAACAACAAAAACTGACCAAGAGGAGACTGGATAGCGATGAATGTTGGCCCTCTTTTCTCATCCTTGTATGCGGACAACATCCTCTGGATGGCTCGGTGGGCCTGGCGGACATCTTTCTCCAGCTTCACCTCAAATGTGTAGCCTGCTTCTGGGAGAGTTGTCTCGTCAGCACCTTTGGTCACTCTGAAACAAGATGGGTGAGTGAGTGAGTGAGTGAGTGAGTGAGTGAGTGAGTGAGTGTGTGAGTGAAGCAGTTAGTGAGTGAGTGAGTGAATGAGTGAGTGAAGCAGTTAGTGAGTGAGTGAGTGAGTGGGTGAGTGAGTGAATGAGTGAGTGAAGCAGTTAGTGAGTGAGTGAGCGAGTGAGTGAGTGAGTGAGTGGGTGGGTGGGTGAGTGAGTGAGTGAGTGAAGCAGTTAGTGAGTGAGTGAGTGAGTGAATGAGTGAGTGAAGCAGTGAGTGAGTGATTGAGTGAATGAGTGAGTGAAGCAGTTAGTGATTGAGTGAATGAGTGAGTGAAGCAGTTAGTGAGTGAGTGAGTGAGTGAGTGAGTGAGTGAGTGAGTGAGTGAGTGAGTGAGTCGGTCAGGTGGAATGGGGTTTAACACCGCATCCAAGATTATTGCACTTGCAGGTGTGTGGTTGCTTGTACTAATCCTGACTAATGCCAAATATTATAGTGTCCACTGAGATACCATTCAGCAGTTAAACACGAATACCCCACTCAGACACAGTTTTTGTTGTTGTTTGTTTGTTTGTTGCAATAGTCCAGCTATATGACAGCGGACTGTAAATAATCGAGTCTGGACCAGACAATCCATTTATTGATATCATGAGCATCAATCCACACAATTGGGATTGATGACATTCATCAACCAAGTCAGCAAGCCTGACCACCCGATCCCGTTAGTCGCCTCTTACAACTAGCATAGTCGCCTTTTAAGACAAGTATGGGTTGCTGAAGACCTACTCTAGCCCGGATCTTCACGGGTCCTCAGACACAGTAGTCGACAAGTCTTTGTTTTAGCCCCTTAATGCTTAGCGCCAGGCAGGGTAACAACAAGTGCCATCTTTTAATGTCTTTTTAGTATGATGCGCCAGGGATCGACACCAGACCTTCCACAGACTTTACCACCAAACAACTGTGGTGGTATAGTGGGCGGATTGGGTGAGTTGGGTTGGGTGAGTGAGTGGATTAGCACTGAGGTGTGAGAGCCATTGATTAGGTGCTTGTGTGAAGGAGTAAGTGAGCGAGCGGGATGGAGTGGGATGAGGTGTGGGTTGAGTAAGTGAGAGTGTGGCTGGGAACATGGTTGAGTGATTTGGTTCTTGTTGACCCGGGTGATTAAATTGCTAAATGAGTGAGTGGTTGTATGGTTGGTTGAGTGGTTGTATGGTTGGTTGAGTGGTTGTATGGTTGGTTGAGTGGTTGTATGGTTGGTTGAGTGGTTGTATGGGTGGGCTTTGTTGATTGCATTTCAAGTTTCTGCAAACAGTACTTCAGTATATGTAGTGACATGTCAGCTTAAACAGGAGAGAGCCAAGTTGACACATCAGTGAAGCACACAAAAATTGTTGCGGTGCTGACACAAACAAATTCACGATAACTGGAAACTCCAGGTTGATAACTTGAGTTGGAACAGTTTTGGCTTCTCTGTTATTTGGCCTCCCCGTTATTTGGGTTCTCCGTTATTTGGGTTCTCCGTTATTTGGGTTCTCCATTAATTGATTGCAATGTATTGTGTCAGGAATAGAGTGAGTGAGTGAGCTGGGTTTGACAGCAATTAGAACAGTAGTCCAGTTTCACATTGATGTGGAGGGACATGATGCTAACAAACAGCTGAATTATGGGGCCATGAGAAACATTTTCGGGGTGATCAGAGATTTGAACCCATGATCACAGGTTCCTGGCATGCCCAAGGGACGCAACTCTGCAGAGCGAAATCATAATATCATAAGAAACTGTGATGAAAGTGAGGACTCACTTGGCATTCCTCTCCGCATTGTAGAGCGCTCCGACATTAGGCATCTGGTCACTGCGCACGGTGTCCACCACAAAGATCGTCCCCTTCTTCGAGCCCGGGAAAAACAAGCCAAACATCATCTTGTTCCCACTGTGGAAAAAACAATAAAAGTGAGTGATGTTTGGTGAAAATGATTCAAGATTATTGCACTTATTTAGCACATGAGTGAGTGATTGAGTTGGGTTTAACACCGCTTTTAACAGTATTCTAGTTATATCACGGCATGTCAGCTTAATGTGGGAGGAAAGCCCGAAGTGATGCAGATCTCAGACATTTACCACTTCGGTGAAACCCACGAGCACGGGGATGGTGCTGACAAATCTAGAAACATAATCGGGGCGAACCGGGGTTCGAACCCACAATCACAGGTTTCTGGCGTGCCCAAGGGACGCAACTCTGCACAGCAAATTGCGGCACCTAAGACGACTGGGCCACCCATGCCCCCTATACAGCACATGAACATGTGTGTGTCTGGTTCCACACAAGAAGAATATTTTTGATTCATTAATGTCATACCATTTCACAATGTTTGTTTGTTTGTTGTTTAACGCCGCACTCAGCAATATTCCAGCTGTATGACGGCGGTCTGTAAATAATCGAGTCTGGACCAGACAATCCAGTGATTGACATCATGAGCACCGATCCACGCAATTGGGATCGATGACATGTATCAACCAAGTCAGCGAGCCTGACCACCCGATCCCGTTAGTTGCCTTTTACGACAAGCATAGTCGCCTTTTACGGCAAGTATGGGTTGCTGAAGACCTATTCTAACCCGGAATCTTCTCGGGTCCATTTCACAATGAGCTCGTTGGAAAGCATTTGTTTGGTGGTTGTTTAACGCTGCACTCAGCAATATCCCAGCTATATGACAGTGGTCTGTAAATGATCGACAAGCAGCCCTGATGTTGACTCAGGGGGGATGCGCACTCACCACACATGATGGTACATGTACAGGTGCTTGATGGTGCCGGGGTCAAGGTACGAGAACTGGGCTAGCGTCCGGAACTCTAAGTTGTCCAGGTCAAATGTGTCCGTTTCCTGTTGGCAGAATACACACACATATGTTTATAGGTGACAAAAGACACATTTACATACAGATTGGCATATAGACGAGCTTATATCTCCATTCTAGTATTCAAAAGAAAATAAGTGTGCATTTGGCACTGTAATAACCTTATTTTAGAAGTAATATTTTGATAACAATTCAAACTTGTTTTTGGTATCCACAGTAAAAGAGTGAGTATGGTTTTATGCCGCTTTTAGCAATATTCCAGCAATATCACGGCGGGAACACCAGAAACTGGTTTCACACATTGTAATCGAACCCAGGTCTTTAGCAAACGCTTTAACCACTAGACAACCCGACTGCCCCAACGGTAAAAGAAAGATTTGTGCAAAAGAAGCTGGGAAGAAGAAAAAGATACTATTTTTGCAACATCATTTAGGAGTACAAATAGTGATGCCGAGGGTTATCCAAAAAAAACAGACCATAAAACACACTGATTTGAACAAGAAGTTTTAAGAAGGGACCGGGATGTCAACTATTAGGCTAAAAATAATAGTGAGTGAGTGAGTTGTGTTTGACCCCGCTTTTAACAGTATTCCAGTTATATCACGGCGTGTCAGCTTACTGTGGGAGGAAAGCCCAAAGTGATGCAGGTCTCAGACGTTTACCACTTCGGTGAAACCCACGAGCACGGGTATGGTGCTGACAAACCTAGAAACATAATCGGGGCGAACGGGGATTCGAACCCACAGTCATAGGTTTCTGGCGTGCCCAAGGGACGCAACACTGCACAGCGAATCGGGCGCCTTAGACGACTGGCCCACCCGTGCCCTCGATCAAAATAATAAGAACCATCTTTAATGTCTCTTGGTATGATGCACCTGGGGATCGAACCCCGTACCGTCCCCGCTCTAGCTAGAGGTCAGCAAGGGAGACACACTGAATTCAAGATTTGCAGTTAACCCCAAGTTGGTATCCATAAAGTATTCTCAGATTTTGCAGTCTCCAGATTCACTCACCCTGCCAGCCATAACCTTGGCAAAGTCTCTGTTGACAGTCACCACACAGCCGAGTTGAACTAAGGCACGGAACAGAAGGGGAACCTGTGTCTCGTACACACCCTCGATGTCTGGGGACGACAGGTCAGCGTTGATATCACTGCAACAGAGAGGATATCAAGGATGTTATCAGGTGAACAACAATGGTATCACAAAAACAACAGTATCCTAGAAACAATAATAATATCGTGGAAACAAAGATGATATGAGCGAGTATTGTTTTATGCCGCTTTTAGCAATATTCCAGCAACACATGGCGGGGGACACCAGAAATGGGCTTCACACATTGTACCCATGTGGGGAATTGAACCCGGGTCTTCGGTGTGATGAGTGAAAGCTTTGACGAATAGGGTAGACACCGCCCGAAAGATAAGATGATATTGCATATCAATATCATGACCTATCACAATCACTTGAACAACTAACACATCACATGAATAACTAACACATCACTTGAACTACTAACACATCACTTGAACTACTAACACATCATTTGAACAACCAACACATCACTTGAACAACTAACACATCATTTGAACAACTAACACATCACTTTAACAACTGACACATCACTTGAACTACTAACATCACTTGAACTACTAACATCATCTGAACTACTAACATCATTTGAACTAAAACATTACTTGAATAACTAACACATCACTTGAACTACTAACACATCACTTGAACTACTAACATCACTTGAACTACTAACACATCACTTGAACTACTAACACATCATTTGAACAACTAACACATCACTTGAACTACTAACACATCATTTGAACAACTAACACATCACTTGAACTACTAACATCACTTGAACTACTAACATCATTTGAACTAAAACATCACTTGAACTACTAACACATCATTTGAACCACTAACACATCACTTGAACTATTAACACATCACTTGATCTATTAACATCATTTGAACAACTAACATCACTTGAACTATTAACACATCACTTAAACTATTAACACATCACTTGAACTACTAACATCACTTGAACTACTAACACATCATTTGAACTACTAACACATCACTTGAACTACTAACACATCACTTGAACTACTAACACATCATTTGAACTACTAACACATCATTTCAACAACTAACACATCATTTGAACAACTACCACATCATTTGAACTACTAACACATCATTTGAACTACTAACATCATTTGAACAACACATCACTTGAACTACTAACATCACTTGAACTACTAACATCATTTGAACAACTAACACATCATTTGAACTAAAACATCACTTGAATAACTAACACATCACTTGAACAACTAACAAATCACTTGAACTACTAACAAATCACTTGAACTACTAACATCACTTGAACTACTAACATTATTTGAACAACTAACACATCACTTGAACAACTAACACATCACTTGAACAACTAACACATCACTTGAACAACTTACGTATCACGTGAACAAGTAACGTATCACTCTAAATAAGTTACTGTAACTCAAAAGATGATTTACATCGTTTCTGTATATTCTGAGCGAACACATTAATAGAGATGGAGACAAGAGGGACTAGTTTTCTCCACAAATCTAGTTATTTTACCTTAACAACTAGTCCTAAAACAAGCTAGATTTGACCAGTCGTGTCTATCCCTGACTAAACCAGACCGCCTCCGTGGTCTAATGGTAGAGCGTCCGCCCGGAGAGCTGAAGGTCCGGGGTTCGATCCCGGGCCGCGTCATACCAAAAGACGTTAAAAGATGGTACTTGTTCTTGCCCTGTCTGGCGCTCGGCATTAAGGGGCTAAAACAAGGACTGGTCGACTCGGAGTCAGTATACTGTGTCTGAGTGGGGTATTCATGTTAAACTGCGGCATGGTATCTCAGTGTGCTAGCACTATAAATCGGCATCAGTCCGGACTAGTACAAGCAGCCACACACACACACATACACGTGCATGCACGTCGCTATATAAGTGCAATAATCTTGGACGCGACGTGAAACCCCATTTCACCTCACCTCACCTGACTAAACCACAAGCCCAACACGGCATACTGACACACACAGAAACTCAGCCCTGGTGATCAACCACTTACTTTGTATGTTCCATGTACATATGTTCTGGGACAGAATACTCGTACAGATGAAATACGGGATGTGATCGTGGCAGGGTCTTCTGAACCTTCCGCCACACTGAAAACAAGGGCACCGTTAGCGAAAGACACAACACATAGACATTACAATCGATCAAGTCTCATTTGCTTGTTATTTAACGCTACACTCAGTAATATTTCAGATATATATGATGTCGGTCTGTAAATAATCAAGCCTGGACCAGATAATCCAGTGACTGACATCATGAGGATCGATCCACAAATTCTTTTGTTTGTTACTTAACGCTACACTCAGTAATATTCCAGGTATATATGATGGCCTGTAAATAATGGAGTCTGGACCAGACAATCCAGTGACTGATTGTATGAGCAACGACCGATGCATCTTCCTGGATCAAGGGACTTAATTGACTATAAATGCCCAGTTCGGCAAGGGTAGAAACTGGACTTTTTACAGTCAAATAACTCCCTTGCCTCAGGGAGATGCAATCTACACTGTCTGGGTACAATGACATGTAAGTCACCGACCATAAGGTTAAGGTGTTAGTTTGATTCCTGTTTAATGCCGGACTCAGCAATATTCCAGCTATGTGATGATGGCTTGTAAATAATGGAGTCTGGACCAGATAACCCAGTGATTGACGTCATGAGGTTCGATCCAGAAAAATTGTTTTGTTTGTTGAACTGCATTCAGCAAAATTCCAGCTATATGATGGCGGTCTGTAAATAATGGAGTCTGGACCAGACCATCCAGTGATTGACATCATGAGCATCGATCTACGCCATTGGGATATGATAACATGCATCCACCATATCTGCGATATTGATGAAAGAAAATAGAGTCTGGACCAGACAATCCAGTGACTGATTGTATGAGCAACGACCGATGCATCTTCCTGAATCAAGGGACTTAATTGACTATAAATGCCCAGTTCAGCAAGGGTAGAAACTGGACTTTTTACAGTCAAATAACTCCCTTGCCTCGGGGAGAGGCAATCTACACTGTCTGGGTACAATGACATGTAAGTCACCGGCCATAAGGTTAAGGTGTTAGTTTGTTTCCTGTTTAATGCCGAACTCAGCAATATTCCAGCTATATGACGGCGGTCTGTAAATAATGGAGTCTGGACCAGACAATCCAGTGACTGATTCTATGAGCAACGACCGATGCATCTTCCTGGATCAAGGGACTTAACTGACAATAAATGAGCAGATTCCACCTATGCCGAACTAGGCTGGAATTATGGAGTAATATATTTTGGCTGACTAATGAGTCTATGCATAGTCCAATCAAAATCACGAAAACAACATCTGGTTTGTAAACAGCTGTGCAGATTTCGGTCGATTGCAGGATATGCAAAGCAGGTGTACCGTCAACATAGCGTCAACAGATATTTTCCAAGCCTTTTTATGTTTTTAATCAAGGTGCTGACGTGATATGATGCACTTCGTGAAGTAAGACCCGTCTTATTACAAAATAGATCTTGATTATCCATCAGATCGTCTTTACTGTTGCCATTTTGTTTGAAGCAAATGCAAGTGATATGCGAGGTGGAATCTGATTGGTTAATGGAGGGGCATTGGAGGTTGGTTGGTTGGTTGGTTGGTTGGTTGTTTAACGCCGCACTCAGCAATATTCCAGCTATATGACGGCGGTCTGTAAATAATCGATTCTGGACCAGACAATCTGGTGATTAATATCATGAGCATCCATCCACGCAATTGGGATCGATGACATGCACCAACCAAGTCAGCAAGCCTGACCACCCGATCCCGTTAGTTACCTTTTACGATAAGCAAAGTCACCTCTTACGGCAAGCATGGTTTGCTGAAGACCTATTCTACCCCGGATCTTCACGGGTCGGGCATTGGAGGAACATAACTCATAATAGCCACAGGTGAAGCTACGATCAAACCAAGAAATTCCAGCCCAGTTCGGCAAGGGTGGAAACTGGACTTTTTATAGTCAAACAACTCCCTTCGCTCGGGGAGATGCAATCTATGCCATCTGGGTACAATGACATGTAATGGCGTGTAAATAATAGAGTCTGGACCAGACAATCCAGTGATTGATATCATGAGCATCGATCCATGTGGTCCAGATATGATGACAGGTTATCAGGCAAGTAACTGAGCCTGACAACACGATACATTTAGTCGCCTCACATGATCAGCACAGGTTGTTGGGGACCAATTCCGAGCTGGAACCTCTGTGGTGGAAACAGTTCCTCCATCAATGTCAACAAGGACACCAACCACTGTGTGATGTTATGTACACTTACTCGCTCCTTCCCCATCCTTGGGATTTTTCTGGTTGACGTAGAAGATGCGAGGAATGTTGAGCTTGATGGAGTGGAGGTCGTTACCGATGACAGCCCACAGTCTGTACTGACCAGGAAGGCTGGTCTCCATCAACTGTGGACGAACAATCACTGTTAGTGAGCGAGCTAAAATTTTCATATTGGCAATATTTCAGCCATATCTTGACTATCCAATCATTGTTAGTGAGCGAGCTAAAATTTTCACATTGGCAATATTTCAGCCATATCTTGACTATGCAATCACTGTTAGTGAGTGAGCTAAAATTTTCACATTGGCAATATTTCAGCCATATCTTGACTATCCAATCATTGTTAGTGAGTGAGCTAAAATTTTCACATTGGCAATATTTCAGCCATATCTTGACTATCCAATCACTGTTAGTGAGCGAGCTAAAATTTTCACATTGGCAATATTTCAGTCATATCTTGACTATCCAATCACTGTAAGTGAGCGAGCTAACATTTTCACATTGGCAATATTTCAGCCATATCTTGACTATCCAATCACTGTAAGTGAGCGAGCTAACATTTTCACATTGGCAATATTTCAGCCATATCTTGACTACCAAATCACTGTTAGTGAGTGAGCTAAAATTTTCACCTTGGCAATATTTCAGCCATATCTTGACTATCCAATCACTGTAAGTGAGCGAGCTAACATTTTCACATTGGCAATATTTCAGCCATATCTTGACTACCAAATCACTGTTAGTGAGTGAGCTAAAATTTTCACCTTGGCAATATTTCAGCCATATCTTGACTATCCAATCACTGTAAGTGAGCGAGCTAACATTTTCACATTGGCAATATTTCAGCCATATCTTGACTACCAAATCACTGTTAGTGAGTGAGCTAAAATTTTCACCTTGGCAATATTTCAGCCATATCTTGACTATCCAATCACTGTTAAACTCCACACATGCAAAAACTGTCTGATCAAGTGAATGTTGTTTTATGCCACAATATCCTTAGTACGCTCACACACACACACTGGTTGCCATGTCGGTTATCCATGGATAAATGTTTTTGAACTTTTAAACGCCAGCATGTTTTCTTGAGAGGACATACGTATTTATACATTATGAAAATTTATAATGACGGTATGTTTTCTTGAAAGGACATCCATATTTATACATAATGAAAATTTATAATGACGGGATGTTTTCTTGAGAGGACATCCATATTTATACATAATGAAAATTTATAATGACGGTATGTTTTCTTGACAGGACATCCGTATTTATACATAATGAAAATTAATAATGACGGTATGTTTTCTTCAGAGGACATCCGTATTTATACATAATGAAAATTTATAATGACTGCATGTTTTTTATGTTTTTTCGAGAGTGCAGCCAGTCTGGAATTTTCACTATGTTTTTTCGCAATTTGTATTTTTCGTATTGATTTCCCTTGCGTGACACTATAGACATCTTGTATCATACGTTTAGTCCAAGACAGGAAGGTTGCAATTTATATGATCGGCATCAATGACAGCATTCTGCCTTATTTATTCATGAAAACTAAACTGAAAAGTTTGCAGAATTGTGTGCAGAATTGTGTGCAGAATTATCAAAATGTGGTTGCAGAATTTAAAAAAATTGACCACAAACTTTAGAATTTCTGGCTGTGGAATACAGAAGGGACGGTTAGATTGTGTTAAATAGAAAAATATATTTCTAAGGGGTTTTCTATAGATATTCTGCAGATCATGCATGGGACTGGGTGGGGGTTGGGGATGGGGGGTTTGGTTCTGCAGAAAGTCCCTGCCAAGACAGGATGAATAAGTGTGTATTGTTTTACGCCGCTTTTAGCAATATTCCAGCAATATCACGGCGGGGGACACCAAAAATGGGCTTCACACATTGTACCCATGTCGGGAATCGAACCCGGGTCTTTGGCGTGACGAGCGAACGCTTTAACCACTAGGCTACCCGACCGCCCTAAAAACAGGATGATGTCACTAAGAGGTCACATGATGTTTCTCCCCACTGACCTGTACAACTTGCCACGGCATGTCCATCATGCTGCGCGCTGTCCGCCGCAGGAACCCACCCAGCCCCCGGGCCGGCAGGGAAGCAGTGGCCGGGGTGTCGAAGTCCAGTCTCCGTCTCTTCCTCTCCTGCTTCTCCTTGGCCTGCATCTGCCACTTCTTCTTGTGGTACTCTAGCCACACCTTCCTCTCCTCCTGCAGCAGAGAGAGGGTTAGCACTGTACACAGTAAACCCTGATAAACACACCTGTGTACGCCCGATGAAAGGGGAGTTAACTTCTGTTATAAACCTATTCATTGGGATCGCTATTAAGTAAGAGACTTCTTTCTATAGGCATTAAAACCTATTGTGAGGTTTTACTTTCCAGTCGTGTTAAATCTCATAAACAGGGTTGTGTAATGTCCCTGGGATTTTATATAATATCCCAGGGATTTTATAGGATATTCAAGTCATATCTGCTATAATATCCCAGGGATTTTATATAATGTCCTGGGTATTTTATTAAAATAACTTCCGTTCAGATTGTAACATGTAGTGAAATGTAAAATCAAATGACAAATGTTTTCTTTATATTCCCGAGGATCGAAATCGCAACCTTCATATCTGTAGCCCAGTGAGTGTACTAACGAGGCTACAGAGGTGTTGATAAGCCTCACTGGTTTTTAGAATGTCCTTTTCAAGATCCGTACGCCAGCAAGAGATATTTTACGTGCGTTTCCTAAGGTTCATGGAAAGTATGTTCGAAACATAAAAATGTTGATAAATGTTGATTTAAGTTTCTTTTTTACGGTTTATAAGTATGGAAAAACACTTTCCCTCGGTTTTGGTAGACAGAGCTTCGCCCCCTTGGTTTTTCCCTCTCCCCAGGGCATGCTCTGTCTACCAAAACCTCGTGTGCATGTTTTCTCCAATACATAAACACACCCCTGTGTGCCCCAAAGCTCCTTCCCAGCATGTGACACCTTCGTTACTCTCTCCGTAACATCGCTGCAACAAGTGTGGCCATTTCAAGAATCTTGAAATTTGCCCCCTAACCCCAAATGAAGTAATGTTTATACTTTTGTTTATACCTTTGGGAATGCAATCACAGTGAATTTAGAAAAGCTTTACGACTGACCATATTTCCCAGATGAATTTTACTTTTTTTAATAGAATGGAGGGGAGTTAACCCTGACAAACTCATCTTCGTACTGCCAATGGGAGGGGAGGTAACCCTGACAAACTCACCTACGTACTGCCCATGGGAGGGGAGGTAACCCTGACAAACTCACCTTCGTACTGCCCATGGGAGGGGAGGTAACTCTGACAAACTCACCTTCGTACTGCCCATGGGAGGGGAGGTAACCCTGACAAACTCACCTTCGTACTGCCAATGGGAGGGGAGGTAACCCTCACAAACTCACCTACGTACTGCCCATGGGAGGGGAGGTAACCCTCACAAACTCACCTTTGTACTGCCAATGGGAGGGGAGGTAACCCTGACAAACTCACCTTCGTACTGCCCATGGGAGGGGAGGTAACCCTGACAAACTCACCTTTGTACTGCTCATGGGAGGGGAGGTAACCCTGACAAACTCACCTTCGTACTGCCCATGGGAGGGGAGGTAACCCTGACAAACTCACCTTCGTACTGCCCATTGGAGGGGAGGTAACCCTGACAAACTCACCTTCGTACTGCTCATGGGAGGGGAGGTAACTCTGACAAACTCACCTTCGTACTGCCCATTGGAGGAGGAGCACCAAGTACATCTCTCCAGTTCTGTGACAGGTCAGACGTCTGAGAGTCCAGCTGTGTGTTTGGTGTGTCCGTGTCGGAGTTGCCCCGTTTCCTCTTGTGGGACACGGCAAGCCCCGACCTGGGAGGACGTCCTCCGATGTCCTCCATGTCCCCTATGCCATTCTGGGAGGACGATAGAATGTCCTCGGAGTCCTCCTCCATCCCCATCTGGAAGCATTGATTGTTTGTTTGTTTGTTGTTTAACGCCGCACTCAGCAATATTCCAGCTATATGACGGCGGCAATATAATCGAGTCTGGACCAGACAATCCAGTGATTAACATCAAGAGCATCAATCCACGCAATTGGGATTGATGACATGCATCCACCAAGTCAGCGAGCCTGACCACCTGATCCCGTTAGTCGACTTTTACGACAAGCATAGTTGCCTTTTACACTGTATTGTCTGGTCCATACTCGATTATTTTAATGTAATAACCCAATTGAAATAGAAACCCTAGAGTAAAAAATCAATTTCTCAAAAAGTTATCTGGAGCTCTGCAAACAATAACTGTGGACGTAACATAAAAGTGTTATGACATGCAGGTGTTTTTATGTCAGACAGGAGAATGATTGTCATTGGTCGTGTTACCTCTAGTCTTCATTCATCTAACAACATCTTAACATTCCACATCTGTATCAAATATCCATCCCCTGGAAACATGTACTTTCAAACCCATGTGAACTGATGACTAAAGCTAAACTATTAAAATTATTCAATTATCTCATTAATTTAGATTTAGACAACTGTCAACGTGCATGTTGACGGGGAATTAGCTCTTGGGGGAATAAAGGACAAAATCGACGTCACTGTCCCGGAACGCTTTTTATCATCCAAAACTGACTCCCACAGGAGATATCGCTTGGATTAGATCATAATACCTATTTATAAAGGCAAAACAACAAACATGATCCACGTAACTACAGGGGCATAACTCTTACATCGTGTCTATCTAAACTTCTAGAGAAAATCATTCTAAGTAGAATAGAAAATTATACACCTGTCAAAGCGCATGTTGACGGGGAATTAGCTCTTGGGTGAATAAAGGTCAAGATGGACATCACTGTCCTGGAACGCTTTATGCACAATGAGCAGAATACCTGCTCCGACAACACAAACACAGCGATGAGCGGACCTTCCAGCTCAGGCATACATGAGGTGAGAGGAGCTCCAGCTCAACCTCAGGACGTTTCCTATTAGTGGCACATCCTGCTCGAAGTCGTCCCTCCACCAGCACTCGGAAAACCAAGCTTGACTCACACCGTAGTAACATTGAGTGAGTGAGCGAGTTGGGTTTGACACCGCTTTTAACAGTATTCCAGTCACATCGTTGCATGTCAGCTTAATGTGGGTGGAAAGCCCGAAGTGATGCAGGTCTCAGACGTTTACCACTTCGGTGAAACCCACAAGCACGGGTATGGGGCTGACAAACCTAGAAACATAATCGGGGCGAACCGGAATTCGAACCCACAAACATAGTTTTCTGGCATGCCCAAGGGCATGCAACTCTGCACAGCGAATCGCGTGGCCTTAGACGACTGGGCCACCCTGCCCCCACTGTAGTAACAGTGTAATGGTAGCACATATATAGTAATGAACAACAATGGACAGACAATGACGTTGCTCTGAACATGGGACTTCTGGGGGTGATGAACCGCATTGCTCAGGGGATGAACAATTAAGGCTATAAATGTCATACTATAAATAACAGTAATTAACGGGAAGTGATATAGTAGCCCAGGTTGGCTGACAGTCAATATACAATGAAATGTTGGTGAGGATTAACAACGGGGATTAGCGCCTAAAACGTAATGACAATTAAGTTATGGAGACATGGAGACGACGGTCTGTAAATAATCGAGTCTGGACCAGACAATCCAGTGATTGATATCATGAGCATCCATCCACGCAATTGGGATCGATGACCTGCATCAACCAAGTCAGCGAGCCTGACCACCCGATCCCGTAAGTCGCCTTTTATGACAAGCATAGTCACCTTTTACGGCAAACATGGGTTGCTGAAGACCTATTCTACCCCGGAATCTTCACGGCTACAGGGTAATTAGCCTTTGGAGTCAAATGTAAATCAGCAGCTATCACACAACTTGACCTCGTATGACCAAATCCGACCTCAACAAAGTCTGCAGCAAGGTAACGAACCTGGGAGGTCTTTTTCGCCATCGGTGCAAATATCTCGCTGATTTTCTTCTGTTTGAACACATCATTCCTTTCCAGTAGTTTCTTGTGTAGCCAGACTGGATGTGGAATACGAGGCACGGGGTTTGGCACCTGGACATGATAAGCAGCATTAAAAAATATGCATGGCGCCAGTTCAGAAATGTCTTGTTTTTCATGATGTTTTCAAAACTGACTGGTTATGGAGGGAGAGAGGAGATTACTGTAAATCGTGAAATTAATGCGTCTCCAAAAGAATGCGACCACTGGACCCTAGCCAAAAATGCGACTCAATATGAATGCGACACCCCCTCCTCTCAAGCATCAGTGGATTTCTATCTAAAGATGTCCTCAGTCAGGTTTAGAATCCTCACCTTAATCCAACCTTACATTAATCCAATCACACACCAAATAGCACCGCTTATTAGCGCTGAGTATAGTGCAGTCGCAAAGAACAAAGGGGGCATCTGTCTGGACTTGCAGGTGTGATCAGTGATGACATAAGTGAGTAGAACTCTTGTCTTGACCCCAGCAGCGACAATTCACAGGACGTAATTAGTGTTTGAATGACATTGTTTATATACTTTATATACAAGTGCTGCTAAAAAAACAGGGGTGTGGAATACATCAGCGTATGTCTAAGTTGGTATTTTTGCTATCCAAAATGTCTTATTGTTGATATAAATGCGATGTTTAGAAATGCAAGCAAAGACCATAGCATTTTTCGCAGTTAATTCACTCTCGCGTTAATTTCAAGATTTACAGTATTTAATTGGTTTAATTTTTAACAAAATAATCAAATAAACAATAATAATTAGTAAAATTGCGAGGGTGTCTGATGCATTTGATTGACTTACCAAGCAATATATTTGCCTTCACGTTTCCACCTACCAAACACAAATACAGCCGTGCCCATTCTTGGACCACTGTGCCATGATTGGCTAACATCTGAATGGGTGGGTGCATGGTTGCATTATTGCATTATTGCATTATTGCATTATTGCACTGATGTTCTGTACTCATGTCGATAGTGCTTTTTTTAATGATAACTAAGCAATCTGTGGTGTTTACACGGGTGAAATGGAGTTAAATGGGGTTAAACGTCACATCCAAGATTATTGCACTTATATAGCGACGTGCATGCACGTGTGTGTGTTTGCGTGGCTGCTTGTACTAGTCTGGACTGATGCCGATTTATAGTGCTAGCACACTGAGATACCATGCCGCAGTTTAACATGAATACCCCACTCAGACACAGTATACTGACTCCAAGCCGACCAGTCCTTGTTTTAGCCCCCTGAAGCTGGGCGCCATTTTTAACATCTTTTGGTATGACACGGCTGGGGATTGAACCCCGGACCTTCCACTCTCGAGGAGGCGGTCTGATGTTTACACAAGTTGTATGTTTATACTTCAATAAAATGCAAAACATACTGAAGTCAATTCCTAACAAAAAGTAAACATGTACGTAATATGTATCCTTTCAGGGCCATGGCAGCCACAGTTAGCTTACCCAATGAATTCCACTCACTATAAATGGCACTATACGTGCAAGAAGTTGAGGTAGAAAAAAGTAATTTCAGTTGAAACAGTCGATTCTTAACAGTGCTTGAGAATTAACAAATTGTTTGGGGCGTGGCATGGGGGGTCATGACAAAAAAAGAAATGTGTTCTAAAATGAGGTGAATTCTGGGGTGTGGTGGCACAGAGTATGGTTTAGAGAATCGTTACATCCCTCAGCTGCGGCTGGATGAGAGGTGAAATGAATTGAGGCTACGGAGGTGGGTGATGGAGGTGGAAGACAACTCACCTGCTGCAGCGCTGCCGGGATGGTGACGATCTTCATAATGGTGCCGCCCAGTCTCTCTATGTAGTACTCCCAGTCCAGGATCTGAAACCAGAAGGGATTTCAATCAACATGGACAAAGAGTCAGTCCCGCTCCAAACACACTTCCACTCCTCCTTCAATCATTTGTAGGGATCACTTTAACTTGAACATCATCAACAACAGTGAGGATGTTTGGTTTAACATTTTACTTTGAACAGTATTTCAGTTACATCACAGTGGGTCAGGTTGATGTGAAGCCCATGGCATGGTGCTGTCAGACGACAGATGCAACACCATAAATAGACTTTGTACCAGTCATAGATTGGGCCATAGCATATTTTTAGGCTGGTATTATGGAGTTACATTTTGGCTGGACTAACGAGTCTAACCATAGTCCAATCAAAATGCCGAAATGAAATCGAAATCCGTTTTGTAAACTGCCATGAATACTTTGGTCGATTGCAGAATTTACAAAGCATTTTAACGGCCAACTCCATCTCAACAGATATTTTCCAAATCTTTTCATTTTTTTTAATGAAGGTGCTCACATGATTTGATTCACTTTTATCACAATATCGATCAGATCAGATGGTCTTGACTGAGCGCTGCCATTTTGTTTGAAGCAAACGGAAGTGTTACGAGAGATGGAATCGGATTGGTCCAGAGGAGAGGCATAGAAGGGACATAACTCGTAATAGCCACTGGTGGCGCTACGATCGAGCCCAGGAATTCCAGGCAAGTTCGGCAGGGGTGGAAACTGGATTTTTAAAGTCAGTTAACTCTCTTGCCTTGGGATGAGGATCCACCCCATACCCACACCTTCCTTACAAGTGACAACAACTATTATTGGCTGGGGGGACATTAGTAACAAAGGCAAAATTCTGTAAAATCTTAATTCTCGATTAGTTTTCAAATTTTATTAGATTCTTATCCCTTAGGCTTAAAAAAATAATAAAATTCTGGTTGAAATTATTGCGCAGTCGGGCGGTTTGGTTTTTGTTGTTGTTGTTGTTCAAGCTAGTATGGAACCAAATTTTGTTTACAATAATTTCAGGGAAATCATGATGTTCTTAAGTATGGTAGGATTTAACTGCCAGGGTTGTGTGATCAAGACATGGTAATTTAAAGATTTTTAAATTTGTTTTTTAAATGGAAATATAAACGAAACATGCGCCAGATTTTATGATGATGCGGGTGGTGCCTGAGAACCAAGACAATTACTTTTTTAAGCCTTAATGTGATCCATTGGGACTACGGCGCACGTGCCCAAAAACATAAGGCGTAGGTAGCCCTGTGGTTAAAGGGTTCGCTTGTCAAGCCGAATGTGTGAAACCAATTTGTGTCCCACGATATTGCTGGGATAGTGACAATAGTGGCATAAAATCAAACTCACTCACTCACTCCAAAACATAAGGCAGGGTCTACAAGGAAGAGTGAGTGAGTGAGTGAGTGAGGTTTCTGGAATCATAGGTTTCTGGCGTGCCCAAGGGACGCAACTCTGCACAGCAAATCGTGGTGCCTCAGACGACTGGGCCACCCGTGCCCCCAAGTGAGTGAGTGAGGATGTTTTCACGCCGCTTTTAGCAATATTCCAGCAATATCACGGCGGGGGACACCAGAAATGGGCTTCACACATTGTACCCATGTCGGGAATCGAACCCGGATCTTTGGCGTGACATGGGAACACTTTAACCACTAGGCTACCCGACTGCCCCGTCAATAAGGAAGAGATTTGTCTGGACTCACCTCTCGTATATCAAAGTGGGACATATCAGCTTTCTTCAACCATTTTCTCAAGAAGTGTTTTTTGACACTAGGTTCAGCTTGGAAAATGGCTAAAGGAATAGCTCTGGAAAACAAAACATTTCAATTAAGCTTCTAAACGTTGAACTCAGAGCTGCAGATAAACTGCGTATTTGTGTAAATACATTTTAAAAATCACAACCCAATTAAGTTTGTGTTGCTTGTGTACAAATACGCATGAAAATTTATTAAAAAAAACAATAGTACAATAACACTGTCCAACATTAACAATGCAGAGTTTCAGCTTGCGTAGCTGAATCTTGATACATCTTCATCTATTGATCAAGGTATCACCTATTAATAATGCACCAATGCGCAAAGTGGCCATAACCCTGCAAAACATATAAATTCTCGATGGAAGCACCCAAATTTTTTTTTCTCATTTTCGCTGTTCAATAGCTTTCAACAGCCCAGGGATTAAAGGTGTGTGTAATACCATTTGTAAATTTGTTCTGCTTTATTACAGATAAACCAGGCGACTATGTTTGTCGTAAGAGGCAACTAACGGGATCGGGTGGTCAGGCTCGCTGACTTGGTTGGTGCATGTCATTGTATCCCAATTGTGTGGATTGATGCTCTTGATGTTAATCACTGGATTGTCTGGTCCAGACTTGATTATTTACAGACCGCCGTCATATAGCTTGAATATTGCTGAGTGCGGCATTAAACAACAAACAAAACAAAATATATAAACTAGTCACCACCATAGTTTTTTGACTATGGTGCACACCCAAGCATAATACACACCCCTCTCTAGTGGACTCAGTATTTTGGAAAAATGTTTTTGCGAATATTATGCACAGAAAAAAATTTCACCATACCCCTTCAGGGAGTTCCGGTAAACGAATGGGTGATAAAAAACTTGGTCAGTACAAATTTGAAAGTTGAGATGAAAAATCACCAGACATGTTGATTTACCGTTTAAATTGTATTTTTTGTTCTGCTAGGCATTAAGATTACCTTGTATATCGTAAACTAAACCAGAAACAGCAATCTGCTGCACACACATTTTCTTGGAATGGACTGGTGATTCTGTTAAAACTTACCCAATGATATAACTTTAAAGGATTTTGATGCAAGGATCAGGAAAATTTGTATCTGAAACTATTTTCTTATCAGGAATAATATATCCCAATATCATGTTATTCTAGTTGCAGCTTTTACTAAATATATTCCAAATAATAATATTCCTAAGCGTAGCACTTCGGTGCAGCTGATCGCTATTGTCGCTTATTTTTTTTCACATGGGACAATTTGACCAGTCACTGTCGAGGTTCCTGCACATGTGATTGCTGTAAAGCAGGGTAAAACCATACTCACTAACCACCTACTGAGCTGAAATGGAAGCAGTTTTAAATTTTGCCTTACCTCTCAGTGACGGGGGCACCCTCAGGTTTCTTGGCGATGATGAACCGACAGGCCAGTCCAGCGTCCTTGACCATCTGGTCTCCCAGAAACTGTGGAATACACAACAGAGAATCCATAAAAAGTAGCCATTTTGGACATCAAATCAACTTGGAAGACAATACTGAAATGTGAATATCGAAACCATGTGTAGTGAGTGAGTGAGTGAGTTTGGTTTAGCGCCGCTTTTAACAGTATTCCAGTTATATCACGGCGTGTCAGCTTAATGTGGGAGGAAAGCCTGAAGTGATGCAGGTCTCAGACGTTTACCACTTCGGTGAAACCCACGAGCACGGGTATGGTGCTGACAAACCTAGAAACATAATCAGGGCGAACCGGGATTCGAACCCACAATCATAGGTTTCTGGCGTGCCCAAGGGACGCAACTCTGCACAGCGAATCGCGGCGCCTTAGACGACTGGGCCACCCGTGCCCCCCTAAACCATGTGTAAGCCACGAGGGATATCGACTGTGTAGAATCTCTGAAGATACTGTTTTCCTGATCACCACTGGTCAGTTGGCATTATTACACATTTACATACTGCAGGTATCCAGATACTAGTACCTGCTCAAATACGGTTACCGTATTCAACGTTATAAGCGCCCAGGGCGCTCTCAAAATTAGAATATTATTTTGGTGAAAAAAAAGTTGAGTTGAAAGATAAATTTCGTGGTTTATGCCGACAGCCTGAAATGTTTATGTACGACAGATATATTTTTCCAGAATTTAATTGCCCATAATTAAGTGTGCATATAACGCACGAGTGCGGATTATACGCGAATAAATAAGTCTTGTGTACATTAATCAATCTGAAGGGGTGCTAATTGGGATTGTTCACTAGCCAATATATTAGCAAATATCGCCGTGGGCGTTTATTAGAGCGGGGCGCTTATTACGTCGAATACGGTATACTTGTATCCCGACCAGTGGATCTGTTCACATTCCAGTTATCATTCTCAACTCCCTGGGGAGTATACAACCCAAGCTGCCCCAAGGCGCTAGAGGGTTTTTACATCCACCTACATACCGGGTACCCATTCCCTGCTGGGTGAACAGAGGCACATTTGAACTAAGTCACTTGCCCAGGGTGACACCACACGTGTTTACACTTGTGTTTCGGGTGTAAGTACGTATTCGTGTTTCCACCATCTTGTCATCTGCCATCGGACGAGTGGGTTCTTTTGAGTGCACAGGGTGTATGTACTGTACGCTAGGGGTAGTGACAACACTGTAAAGACCTGTAAACATTGTTGGTCCCAAGGCTGAATAGCAACCCGGTCACTAGAGGGATACAATCTCAGCACCTGGCGCTTGCTAGCCTGGTGCTTTTGACCGTTTTCCCACTCCGCAATTAGCGTATATGTAAAGTGACTGAGTGTAAAGTGCAAATATTGATTCTAACACAGGTAAGTTTATGTAAGACCGGATTTTACTGAGGCTTAAAAAAATATAAGAATTAGTTCTCAGGCAATAACTTTCGAAAATATAGTGTGAGCGGGCGTTTTTTTGTTTTTTTTATTTTGCTTGTTCAATCTAGTATGTAACCAAATAAACAGTTGTGTATTAACAACCTGGGAAAGGGCATCCCGACATAAACAAACTAATTGCCGCCATGACCATAACACGTGATGCGCAGTAATGCAGTGCGCATGCAAAGGGAGGTAACTGTGTGCTATATTTGATCGCACTGTGTTTAAGTATTAGGATTTTTTAATTTTTTTTACAAATGGAAATAAAAATGAAACTTGCGGCAGACTTTTTGATGATGAGGGCAGCGCCTGAGAACCAAGACTATTATTTTTTTTAGTCTTATAGAACATATTTCCATTTATTTTATTCCATCAGTGCCATAACACAACAGGCGAATACCGAAGTCTTTCGTCTTTGATTGAGTGCAGGGCCAAAATATTTGACTGTTGTGGCGTTACAGCCTAGTAACATAAGCAGAGTACCCACATGGGTACACAAGGCAGTAACCATCAACCTTGGAGACAATCTCATTAAAATCAAATCTTAGTTTTCGCTACCGCTAAACAAAGATTTGAGGACATCCCATTACGGGTCACGTCAGACCGACCTTGCGCGAACTTTGACCAATGGAATGACCAGTCAGAAGGCAGCTTTCTCGTGCTTTATGGCACAAATTTCGAACTACGCTTCGAAACATATTTTGACAAATTCTCGATTACAAATTTGAAAGCTGAAGAAAAAACACATTCTGGAATGCCTAATCGATGGTCTAGATTGTAAGGATTCAGTCGTTAAACCCGTAACTATCGTTTGGAATACCCCATGTTAAAGTTTTCAAGATTGCATGATTAGAAATCACATTCCGACTGTCACTTTCATAATCTGGTAAGCGACGCACTGATTGGTCGAATGAAAGGTCGTTCTGACGTGACCCTTAATGGGATGTCTTCAGATCTTTGTTTAGCGGTAGCGAGGACTAAGCTCTGATTTTAATGAGATTGCCTTGGAGATATCCAGTCACAGTTCAAGCCGACCATCTCCTACAAACCATCTCCTCCAGGCTATCAACCCTACCTCTGCTAGTCTCTTTGCTGTGCTGATGGACGTTGACTTCTGCTCGCCATAATCATCCAGTTTACGAGACATGCTCCGGTTCTCAGCGATGAGTTCGAACAGCTCGGAGTCTGGCATGTTAGCCGCCTTGCTGTACAGCACGTCCAGCCAGTAGTCCGCAATCTTGGCCACAGCATCGTAACACTCCTCAAGTGTAATGCCTTTAAGAAATGCCTCGAACACGGACGACTGGAAGATCTTGATCAGCTGCAGCTCTCCACGTCGCTTGACTTCAAACCCCTGGATGTACAGAGAACATTCATTCCTTAAAGGGGAAGTGTACAGGCAAAAATCACTTTCTTTCTTTTTCTAAACAAAATGCAATTTTAGAATTGGTTAGTATCCGTGTTTGAAAATATACACTCATTTTTTTCACATTTCAAAGTAGGAAGCTCACAATATTGTGAAAATGATATGCCGTTATGAGGCCTTCGTTTTTCGAGCCAAACAGGCCTGAGTTATCCCCCTTAGATTATGACGTAATTGGTGCCAATTCAACTGGGTCCCTGTCTATTCTCAACGCAAAAGATATCAAGTACCAGTTTGCGGTAAAACAACATGGCCTACGACACACTCCGGCGCAGTGGTGACTCAGCATAACACTATGCTGGCTGGCATCTGAGACGCTAGAATCACACACCTGTACCTACACCACGTGAAGCGGCTCTAACAAAGCATGATGACGTCATAATGTTTATCAATTGGCACCAATGAGGTCATATTGCAAGGGGCATAAGCGATGGTGTTTTTGTTATGGAAATAGAACACTTGGTAAATGTGAAAAATATAAATAGTTTTAATGCGAAAATTATGTTGATTAATTGTGATATTTTTATATTTTTGTCTATGACACTTCTAGGTTAACACTTTTAATGTGGAAAAAGTACAAGAAAAATATGTTCATTTCCATGTGAACTTGCCCTTTAACATTTTATTCTATCTGAGGAGCTATTTGGCTTCTGTGTTATTTCCTCACACTAATTTCAGCATCCAACACAATCACGCAAGTAGCAATATTCCAGCCATATGATGACTGCCTTGAAATTTTCAAGTCAGGACCAGGCAATCCAGTGATCGACATTGTTAGCAACAATATATGTCAATGGTATGATGACACACTGACACACTCTGAACAAAATCACCTGACACCCAGTCCATTTTATCGCCTCTTCCTATTCTAAACCCCGGTATCGATGTGCTTTTGTTGTTGTTGTTGTTGTTGTTTTTAGCACAGTATTAACCTGGAATTATTGTTTTCGGGTAAAAGGAGCTACCGTATATGACCACAGATAAGCCGACCCCATAGATAAGCCGAGGTATAAACTTGGCCATTGAAATACGAAAGAAAATTATATGACCCGTAGATAAGCCGAACCTTCCGAACTTTCGGAAAGTTGTAATATATCGGACCGTCATTCAGGCGAGGTTTCTGACAGATCACGATCTGAAAAATACTATCATGGAAGTGTATCCCGTGGATAAGCCGACCCTATTCTACAGAATCTTTTTTCTGGTCCTCAAAATTCGGCTTATCTGCGGACATATATGCTGATCACTTTTATTTCAGACCCATCCAGTCCCGTTATATTTTTATAAAATATTTACGCAAACTGTGCCTACCACAGTCCTAACAAAGTCATAGACACATGTTTAACGCACCATGGCAAGTACTTCTGTTTTGATATCATCACTTCCGGTTTGGGAAAACATATTCAGTTCGACGAAAGTCCTGTGCTACTTGCTACATTAATAAGAATGTCATAGGCACTTCCTGTTTACTGACATCAATTCTGGTGATGCCCTTCAATTTCACCCGGGGCGGTTGGGTAGCCTAGTGGTTACAGCGTTCGCTCGTCAAGCCGAAGACCCGGGTTCGATTCCCGACATGGGTACAATGTGTGAAGCCCATTTCTGGTGTCCCCCGCCGTGATATTGCGGGAATATTGCTAAAAGCGGTGTAAAACCATACTCACTCACTCAATTTCAGCCAGTCACATGCTTCCTTATCTCTAGTTAAACGTGGGTCATTGCGCTTACGTTTTCTCAAAAACAGGGTTGGTTCAGTAAACAAGGAAGCAGAACTACTTGATAAATAATTACTCCAGTGACCTCGACTTTCTGTTAAGGTTGCTCGAAAGCTTCCCAGCTCAATGCTCCAGCACTGACGTCGTAAGATTATCATCACTTGTCATGTATAGAGGGGGCACGGGTGGCCCAGTCGTCTAAGGCGCCTATGATTGTAGGTTCGAATCCCGGTTCGCCCAAATTATGTTTCTAGTTTTGTCAGCACCGTACCCGTGCTCGTGGGTTTCCCCGAAGTGGTAAAACGTCTAAGACCTACATCACTTCGGGCTTTCCTCCCACATTAAGCTGATGCGCCGCGATATAACTGGAATACTGTTAAAAGTGGCGTAAAACCCAACTCACTCACTCACTCACTCATGTATAGAAGTATTCAAACACTATAACCACTGCAGGCATGGCTCTAAAGGCAAACATACTTTATGAATGACCTTCACAGTGGCCTTGACCTTACATGACACTCATGACCTTTGCTAATCTGGGCCCCGACCTACACCAGCATCCTACAGAGACGAGACAAGCCTGTCCCATAAGCCCCAACATAAGTTATTTGGGACCATTTATAACCAAGGTTCTCCATGGTTCTCCGAGAACTAAGGATATACTGTAGGATATGAGTGAGTGAGTGAGTGAGTTGGGTTTAATGCCGCTTTTAAGAGTATTCCAGTTATATCACGGCGTGTCAGCTTAATGTGGGAGGAAAGCCCTAAGTGATGCAGGTCTTAGACGTTTACCACTTCGGTGAAACCCACAAGTATGGAGCTGACAAACCTAGAAACATAATCGGGGCGAACAGGGATTCGAACCCACAATCATAGGTTTCTGGCGTGCCCAAGGGACGCAACTCTGCACAGCGAATCGCGGCGCCTTAGACGACTTGGCCACCGTGCCCCCTAGTGAGTGAGTATGGTTTACGCCGCTTTTAGCAATATTCCAGCGATGTCAGAGCAGGGGCACAAGAAATGGGCTTCACATATTGTACCCATGTTGGGAATCAAACCCAAATTTTTCGGTTTGATGATCAAACGCTTTAACCGCAAGACTACCCAAACGCTCCTGTAGGAACACATGTGTTACCTTTAGCTCAGCCAGCGAGCCATCAAAGTTGAACACTGCGTATCTCTTCTTAAGCTTCTTGCCCTCCTCTTTTGAGGCAGGCAAGATCATGGCCAGGTATGGTCCATCCACCTCAAAGAAGATGGAGTTCTCGCTGCGCAGGGAGTAGTTGAGAGAGCCTTGATCCTCCAGCTCCTGGTACTGGTGGTTGGTGAAATGGTCCTGAAACATTGAGATTGGAGTCAGGGTTTAGTGGTACTGAAACATGGAGATTGGGGTTAGGGTGTAGTGGTACTGAAACATGGGGATTGGGTTGAGGGTTTAGTGGTCCTGAAACATAGAGATTGGGGGTGAGGGTTTAGTGGTCCTGAAACATGGAGATTGGGGTTAGGGTTTAGTGGTCCTGAAACATGGAGATTGGGGTTAGGGTGTAGTGGTCTTGAAACATGGAGATTGGAGTCAGGGGTGTAGTGGTCCTGAAACATGGAGATTGGGGTTAGGGTGTAGTGGTCCTGAAACATGGAGATTGGGGTTAGGGGTGTAGTGGTCCTGAAACATGGAGATTGGGGTTAGGGTGTAGTGGTCCTGAAACATGGAGATTGGGGTTAGGGTTTAGTGGTCCTGAAACATGGAGATTGGGGTTAGGGTGTAGTGGTCCTGAAACATGGAGATTGGGGTTAGGGGGTAGTGGTCCTGAAACATGGAGATTGGGGTTAGGGGGTAGTGGTCCTGAAACATGGAGATTGGAGTGAGGGTTTAGAGGTCCTGAAACATGGAGATTGGGAGTGAGTGTGTAGTGGTCCTGAAACATGGAAAGTTGGAGTGAGGGTTTAGTGGTCCCCTGGTCTCAAAAGTAATGGTTGGTTAGTTGGTTGGTTGTTTAACGCCGCACTCAGCAATATTCCAGCTATATGACGGCGGTCTGTAAATTATCGAGTCTGGACCAGACAATCCAGTGATTGACATCATGACCATCGATCCACGCAATCGATGCCATGCATCAACCAAGTCAGCGAGTCTGACCACCTGACGTAATGTTGTCTCTAACGACTTGTCTATTTATAGCTCACCTTGACCATCACATTCAGCATGGCGCCAGGGTAGGAAATGGTAACTTTGGCCTTCTTTGGATTCGTTGTCTTGATGACATAATTCTCAGGAAAAGTTGCTGGCAAAACACACCAGATTCCATCTGTGTCCAACTCCAGTGGGCGTCTGAAAGGTTCAACTTAAATCAACAACTCTTTCAGAATGAAGGATTGAGTGAGTAATTGAGTCAGTATGGTTTTACACCATATTTAGCAATATTCCAGCAATATCACGGCAGGGGGGGGGGGGACCTCAGAAATGGGCTTTACGATTGTACCCATGTCGGGAATCGAAGCCGGGTCTTCGGCGTGATGAGCAAACGTTTTAACCACCCCTGACCGCCCCGCTAGCTTGACAACAGTGTAAGAATCTACACTGAAATGACGCTTAGTGCAATAATGGCAATCTTGAAATTGACGCGAGTGTGAATTTATTGCGGAAAATGTGAGTGGTCTTTGCTCACATTAACTGAACTTCGCATTTATGTCCCCAAAATGACTATCAACATTAAGACGGCCTCAAATTCACATTTTGATTCCCCAATGAAGGATTGATCACAAGGAACAACTTATTAACTTCATGTCCTAAGGCCACAGTAATGTTCATCCAAGTCTTTCAGGGCACTGTAGCTCACCTGGATATGTAGTCAACAGTCAAAGGTTGACAAAATTGCCCCGAGCATTGATACTCAAATATTTTCAGCATTAATACTGAGGAATAACAACTAAAAGTAAAATAATGGTGAGGTGAGGAGAAATGGGGTTTAACGTCATGTCCAAGATTACTGCACTTATATAGCAGCGTGCATGCAAGTGCGTGCGTTTGTGGCTGCTTGTACTAGAGCGGACTGATGTGCTCCCCCACTGAGATACCAAGCCGCAGTTTAATATGAATACCCCACTCAGACACAGTATACTGACCCCGAGCCGACCAGTCCTTGTTTTAGCCCCTTAATGCCGAGCGCCAGACAGGGTAACAACAAGTACCATCTTTTAACATCTTTTCGTATGACAAGGCTGGGGATTGAACCCGTCTCTGGGTGGACACTCTACCACTAGACCACGGAGGTGGTCATTAAAATAAAGATTTGAACATAATACCGTATTCGACGTAATAAGCGCCTAGGGCGCTCTCAAAATCAGAAATAGGGGGCTCTTATTAGAATATTATTTTGGTGGAAAAAACAGTTGAAAGATAAATTTTGTGGTTTATGCTGACGGCCTTAGTGTTTATATATGACAGATATATTTTTCCAGAATTTAATTGCCCGTAATTAAGGGTGCATATAACACACGAGTGCGTATTATACACGAATAAATAAGTCTTGTGTACATTGATCAATCAGAAGGGGTGCTAATTGGGATGGTTCACTTGCCAACATATCAGCAAATATCGCATGGGGCGCTTATTAGAGCAGGGCGCTTATTACATCGAATACGGTATGTCACAAGGATAAATCATATTTAACAAGTATTTGTCACAGAGTGACGAAATATCCCCCGCCTGTACACCATAGTACCAAATATGAAGACAATCCAGCGATTAGTTCTTGAGATATTGTGGCAACACCGTTTTCCAACTCCAAAAACAGATTTGCCTGCTGTGACCTTGAAAATGGGGTCAAGGTCACCAAATCTGACAGGTGTATGCGGTGTCTGTATATACACTATAGTTCCAAATATGAAGACAATCCAGCGATTAGTTCTTGAGATATCGCGGCAACACCGTTTTCTAACTCCAAAAGCAGATTTGCCTGCTGTGACCTTGACAATGGGATCAAGGTCACCAAAACCGACTGGTGTCTGCGGTGTCTGTATATACACCATAGTTCCAAATATGAAGACAATCCAGTGTTTAGTTCTTGAGATATCGCGGCAACACCGTTTTCCAACTCTAAAAGCAGATTTGCCTGCTGTGACCTTTAAAATGGGATCAAGGTCACCAAAACCGACTGGTGTCTGCGGATTCTGTATATACACCATAGTTCCAAATATGAAGACAATCCAGTGTTTAGTTCTTGAGATATCGCGGCAACACCGTTTTCCAACTCTAAAAGCAGATTTGTCTGCTGTGACCTTGAAAATGGGATCAAGGTCACCAAAACCGACTGGTATCTGTGGAGTCTGTATATACACCATAGTTCCAAATATGAAGACAATCCAGTGTTTAGTTCTTGAGATATCGCGGCAACACCGTTTTCCAACTCTAAAAGCAGATTTGTCTGCTGTGACCTTGAAAATGGGATCAAGGTCACCAAAACCGACTGGTGTCTGCGGAGTCTGTATATACACCATAGTTCCAAATATGAAGACAATCCAGTGTTTAGTTCTTGAGATATCGCGGCAACAAACAGGTGGGACGTACGGACGGACGTACGGACGGTCGTGAATACTATATCCCCCGCTTCGCGCTTTCGCGCGGCGGGGGATAATAATCATTATCATATTACAAGGCCTAAAATAAATGAAGTATATTAAGGAATAGCAGTTACCCAATTTGTTCGACAATCTCTCTGGCCTTCTTGATGATGCTGGCTCCAGTGAAGCAGACAATACCCGCCATCTCCATGCTGTACCACCGAGCTCTGAAAACATACAACGCTTCAGGATAAAAAATAATAGTCTTGATTCTCAGACACTGACACATCATAATAAAGTCTGCTTCACATTTCTGTTTTTATCTCCATTCTTAAAAAAGAAAAAGAAATCCTACTACTTAAAAACAATGCGATCCAATATAGCACACAGTTACTTCCCTTTACATGGGCACTGCGTAACTGCACATCTCGTGTTATGGTAATGGCGACAATAGGAGTTTGTTTGTTTGTTTATGTATTGATTACCCTTTGCAGGTTGATGGTACATAACTGTTTATTTGGTTACATGCTAGTTTGAACAAGCCATAAAAACACACAAAAAACACCGCCCGCCCACACTATATTTTCAAAAGTCATTGCCTGAGAACCAATTCTTTTACTTTTAAAGCCTTGGTAATATCCCCACTTGCCCTTTATAAATGTAAATAATCGAGTCTGGACCAGACAATCCAGTGATCGACATCATGAGCATAAATAATCTACGCAATTGGGATATGATGACATGCATCAACCACCCGATCCCGTTGGACGCCTCTCATAACAAGCATCCTCAACTTATGGCAAGCATAGATTGCTGAAAACCTGTTCTCTACCAGGATCTTCACAGGTCTCAAACTAAGTACTCTTAGACGGCAGTCTGTAAATAATCGAGTCTGGACCAGACAACTCAGTGATAGACATCATGAGCATCGATCTATGCATTTGGGATATGATGACATGCTTTATTCAGGGCAGTGTGTTTAACCACCCGATCCCTTTAGTCGCCTCTTACGACAAGCATGGGTTGCTGAAGACCTTGACTTTATGTCATGGCAAGGGGATTTATTGCGCAAAGCAATAACAATAAAAATAACTTAATCCCTATTTTGGTGACTACTTTCTGTAAATACTAATGCTGTTTTTCCTGCATGATACCAGAATTCTTCATTTTAGATAGGTCTCACTGAACATTTTCCGAAACATTTGTAACTAATTCCTTATTCAGTTGTTTGTAATAATCAGAGAAGTTCACATTTTAGTGACAACTCCCTGCATAGTTCCCCATATATTTATAACATTCAGAATCAAATCCAAATCCTTTTTTTTAATTATTTTAATGGTTCTTCTCATTTGTACATTCTTTCTAGGCAACTTTTCTCCAATTCACATATTTGGTCAAATCATATTTTGGTATTATTTTTATGCTAATTAAATTTCTAATTTTCGCATTCTCCCTTGATAATTTGCCTACAGTTAAAAAACCCAAACATTTGGACTCAAATCCTTTTTCATTTAATACTCATGATCACAGAATTCCTAATTTTGGTGAACACCCACCCCTTCCTCATGACGTAGCCATAGAAGGAGTTGAGGATGCACTTGTGAGCCAGCTGCAGAGAATCGTACAGCACCACCATGCCGTTGCTTCTCTTCGTCTCCGCAGCATCTTTCTTGGACTCGGCCTCGCTCAGCTTCTTCTTCCAAACTTTGGTCAGGCCCTTGAACTCGTACCGGCGATCACGGAAAGCTCGCACTGTGTCGACGTAGAAGGAGTTTTCTCGCTGGCAGATGGTAGCTGTTTGTTCTTGCATTCTTGTTATCTTGGTCTTCTTGTATGCCTTCCGACAGTACTCTGAACATTGAATGTGTCAGAAGGTTAGATACAGAAAACATCAGACAATAGACTGGGGTTGGGTTTAAATTTCACTAGTTTTTCAGTTATATCGCAATCCAAACCCCCTCTTGCCCATCAAATATTGGTAAGCAAGGAGCCCTGTCAGCAGTGTGAGGGATCTGTTCACAAGACCAGGAGACCAGGAGTCTAGGAGACCAGGAGACCAGGAGTCCAAGGAGTCCAGGAGCCCAGGAGACCAGGAGTCTAAGGAGTCCAGGAGACCAGGAGTACAGGAGAACAGGAGACCAAGAGACCAGGAGTCCAAGGAGACCAGGAGACCAGGAGTCCAGGAGACCAGGAGTCCAGGAGTCCAGAAGTCCAAGGAGTCCAGGAGACCAGGAGTCCAGGAGACCAGGAGTCCAGAAGTCCAAGGAGTCCAGGAGTCCAGGAGTCCAGGAGTCCAAGGAGTCCAGGAGACCAGGAGTCCAGGAGTCCAGGAGACCAGGAGTCCAGGAGTCCAGGAGACCAAGGAGTCCAGGAGTCTAGGAGTCCAGGAGTCCAGGAGACCAAGGAGTCCAGGAGACCAAGAGTCCAGAAGTCCAAGGAGTCAAGGAGACCAGGAGTCCAGGAGTCCCAGGGACCAGGAGACCAGGAGTCCCAGGGACCAGGAGGACCAGGAGTCCAGGAGTCCCAGGGACCAGGAGGACCAGGAGACCAGGAGTCCCAGGGACCAGGAGTCCAGGAGTCCCAGGGACCAGGAGGACCAGGAGACCAGGAGTCCCAGGGACCAGGAGTCCAGGAGTCCCAGGGACCAGGAGACCAGGAGTCCAGGAAACACCACCATTTTATCCAGTGTTGTGTTGTGGGGTCTGTCTAGGTTTAACATTGTGTGCCTGTGGTTGGCAAATTGGTTTGATAACTTGGTTTAAGCTACCGCTAAACAAAGATCTGAGGACATCCCATTAGGGGTCACGTCAGAACGACCTTTCATCCAACCAATCAGAGAGTCACTTACCAGATCATGAAAGTGATAGTCGGAATGTGATTTCTAATCATGCAACCTCAAAAACTTTAACGGGGTTTTCCGAATGATAGTTACGGGCTTAACAACTGAATCCATACAATCTAGACCAACTATTAGCCATTCCAGAATGTTCTTTTGTTCAGTTTTCAAATTTTTAAGTGAGAATTTGTCAAAATATGTTTCGAAGCGTAGCCGCCAATTTGAAATTAGTGCCATAAAGCACGAGAAAACTGCCTTCTGATTGGCTAATGTCGACTTCTTGTAAGTCATTTCATTGGTCGGTCAGAGTTCGCGAAAGGTCAGTCTGACGTGACGCATAATGGGATGACCTCAGATCTTTGTTTATCGGTAGCGAAAGCAAAGATCTGATTTAAACGAGATGGTCCCACCACTAAATCGCAACATATTGAGGGACTCTGTGCAATCTCATTAAAATCAGATCTTTTATTCTGATTCGATACATCCCTGCATAAAAAATCTGAGGACACGTCCATTGTAGGTCACGTCAGGTGATCCCTGAGCAAACTTAGACCGTCCAATCATAACGAAGGATGTGTAGGTTCTTGTCATGTCACTTATCTGGACATGTCACTTATCTTGTCAAGTCACTAATCTTGTCATGTCACTAATCTTGTCATGTCACTAATCTGGACAAGTCACTAATCTTGTCATGTCACTAATCTGGACAAGTCACTAATCTTGTCATGTCACTAATCTTGTCAAGTCACTAATCTTGTCAAGTCACTAATCTTGTCATGTCACTAATCTTGTCAAGTCACTAATCTTGTCATGTCACTAATCTTGTCATGTCACTAATCTGTACAAGTCACTAATCTTGTCATGTCACTAATCTGGACAAGTCACTGATCTTGTCATGTCACTAATCTGGACAAGTCACTAATCTTGTCAAGTCACTAATCTTGTCATGTCACTAATCTTGTCATGTCACTAATCTGGACAAGTCACTAATCTTGTCATGTCACTAATCTTGTCATGTCACCAATCTTGTCATGTCACTAATCTGGACAAGTCACTAATCTTGTCATGTCACTAATCTTGTCAAGTCACTCATCTTGTCATGTCACTAACCTGGACATGTCACTAATCTGGAGATGTCACTAATCTTGTCAAGTCACTAATCTTGTCATGTCACTAATCTTGTCATGTCACTAATCTGGACAAGTCACTAATCTTGTCATGTCACTAATCTTGTCAAGTCACTCATCTTGTCATGTCACTAATCTGGACATGTCACTAATCTGGAGATGTCACTAATCTTGTCAAGTCACTAATCTTGTCAAGTCACTCATCTTGTCATGTCACTAATCTGGACATGTCACTAATCTTGTCAAGTCACTAATTTTTTCAAGTCACTAATCTTGTCATGTCTGGTCATGTGATTAATCTGGACATGTCACAAATCTGGACATGTCACTAATCTTGTCAAGTCACTAATCTTGTCATGTCTGGACATGTCACTAATCTGGACATGTCACTAATCTTGTCATGTCACTAATCTGGACAAGTCACTTATCTTGTCATGTCTGGACATGTCACTTATCTGGACATGTCACAAATCTGGACATGTCACTAATCTTGTCAAGTCACTAATCTTGTCATGTCTGGACATGTCACTTATCTGGACATGTCACAAATCTGGACATGTCACTAATCTTGTCAAGTCACTAATCTTGTCATGTCTGGATATGTCACTTATCTGGACATGTCACTAATCTGGACATGTCACTAATCTTGTCATGTCACTAATCTTGTCATGTCACTAATCTGGACATGTCACTAATCTTGTCATGTCACACACATGTCACCCACCTGCCAGTCGTTTCTTCTCAATGGCAGCTTGCTCGTCTTTCGGCAGTTGGTGGAATGCTCTGGGTTCTCCCCCAGGGAAGTACGGGGGGAACTTCTCATTCTCAAGCTGTTGCTGAATGCGATGAAACTCATTCCGTGACGCCGGCACTGAAACAAATATTCAATTCCTAGGTTTGGACATTGACATTTCTTTGTCATTTAAAATTCACTTGGTTTGTCTGCAACTTCACATATTATGATGTGTGTACATCTAGATGATGACTTTCTGTAAATAATCGAGTCTGGACCAGACAATCCAGTGAATGATATCCTGAGCATCGATGACATGCATCAACTAAGTCAGCGAGCCTGACCACCCAATCCCGTTAGTCGCCTCCTATGACAAGCATTGTCCTTTGTAAGGATAATATATATGGATTAACAACTTCTTTATTACAATTAGGAGCGATTTTTTTTAAATGGAAATAAAAACGAAACATGCGGCGAACTTATGATGATGTGGCCGGTGCCTGAAAACCAAGAATATATTATTTTTAGCCTTATATATTTGCATAAAGGATGAAGTGAGAACTTACTAAACTCTGCCCTCCACATCCAAGGCATCTTGCGTTGACAGAGAGCTCCTGGCTTGTTGAAGTCGCAAGCTGCACATGTTGCCTCGTCCACAATGGCTGGTGGCTGAAAATAAGGCGAATATGTCGCACATTAGTAAGTTCATTTTTTGAGTTATTTTATACTGTTCTTTCAGCACCAGCGAGGATTCGCAGGGATGGAAACTAACCAAACAAGCCCACAGGTCCAGTGGGGTTTTACTTCATGGCCGACAACTACAAGCAGGGCAAGTCTTCCCGAGGCAAGAGAGTTAACTGACTATAAAAGTCCAGTTTCCACCCTTGCCGAACTAGGCTGGCATCATGGAGTTACATTTTGGCTGGACTAACGAGTCTATGCATAGTCCAATCAAAATCGTGAAACGAAATCGAAATCCGGCTCGTAAACTGTCGTGCAGATTTTGGTTGATTGCAAGATTTGCAAAGCATGTGCACCGCAAACCAATTCTTTTGTTTTTTAAAGCATTTTTTTACATTGAAATACTATGCACCATCTGTGAAAAAATGCTTAAAAAAACAAAAGAATTGGTTTTTCTGGCAATGACTTTTGAAAATTTGCTTGTTCGAACAAGTATGTAACCAATTAAACAAAACGTGCAGCAGACTTTATGATGATGCAGGCCGTGCCCGAGAACCAAGACTATTATTTTTTAACCCAAAGGTGTATTTGCCTACAGTATTTCAGTTATTAGCGGGACGTATCTGAAAAAGATTTGTTTTGTTTGTTTGTTGTTTTACGCTGCAGTCAGCAATATTCCAGCTATATGACGGCGGTCTGTAAATAATCGAGTCTGGACCAGACGATCCAGTGATTGACAGCATGAACATCGATCCACGCAATTGGAATCGATGATATGTATCAACCAAGTCAGCGAGCCTGACTACCCGAATCCCATTAGTCGCCTTTTACGACAAGCATAGTCGTCTTTTACGGCAAGTATGGGTTGCTGAAGACCTATTCTACCCCGGAATCTTCACGGGTCTATCTGAAGAAGAAGATGGTGCACCTGCAGTCTGTTGGTGAGGATGATGTTAGGGTACATGGCCCCCACATCAAGATGGTATATGATGGGGTTCTCCAGACGGTTGGGGCAGTCTCGTAGCATCTCCAACTTCTCCACAACGTCACTACACACCTGAAACATAAATCGTTCATTGCATCCTGAAACCTTTACATGTATTTACAGCAGAGCAGCTTCTTGACGGAGGAAATTGACAAAGGTCCAAAAGCAAATCCCCAGAAGACAAAACCTGGAAAGAAATTCTTTTATATATTACCCACTGAATGAAAACTGAAGTATTGTGCATGTCTTCCATGGATAGTTTGTTTTGTTTGTTTGTTTGTTGTTTAGCGCCGGACTCAGCAATATTCCAGCTACATGACATTGGTCTGTAAATAATCGAGTCTGGACCAGACAATCCGGTGATTGACATCATGAGCTTCGATGTTACACTGATTTGGGGCCATACTTCCTGGAAATGCGCAAAGAATTTCTTGATCAATGAAACCTGAAAAATAATATAATATGTCTGACTGTAGCTCTTAAAGTTTGTTTGTTTGTTTGTTGTTGAACTCCACACTCAGTAAATATTCCAGCTCTATGAAATGTGTTAGAAACAAATTTAGATTTGTTTGTTGTTTCTACTAGGGTTGTCACATTTCATACATGCTGTTTGTTTGTTTGTTGGTTGTATACAACAGACTCAGAAATATTCCAGCTCTATGACGGTGGTCTGTAAATAATCCAGTCTGCACCAGACAATCCAGTGACTGACATCATGAGCATCGATCCACGCAATTGGGATTGTTAATCCGTACTATTGTGACACTGTTGTCATTGCAACAAATAAAGTCCTTTGACGTTTATTCCCACCATGGCTCATTTGTGTAATCACCGGAATTACTTCTGCTTCCTGTACAAACCGGACCATAAACCGGACCGAGCCGGCATATTAACAAAACCAAATATTTTAATAGTTGTTTAAGGCCGCACTCAGCAATATTTCAGCTATATGACGTCAGTCTGTAAATAATCGAGTCTGGACCAGACAATCCAGTGATTGATATCATGAGCATCCATCCACACAATTGGGATCGATGACATGCACCAACCAAGTCAGCGAGCCTGACCACCCGATGCCATTAGTCGCTTCTTATGACCAGCATTGGTTGCAGTGGACGGATTCTAACCTCTGTGTTTGTTTGTTTACAGTCAAATTTACCTCGTCAAAGTTTGTGACTGTGTCAAGGGGTATCTTCTCCTCCACCTCGATGGCGTGCTTCATCGTCCGCTCTACACTGTCAATGAGAGTCTTGAAGGCTTCCGGCACCTACATAAACACATGGAAATAATCACACATCGTCAAGACTTCACAAGTTTGGATACTCTATGCAGAGCTCCACATAACTTTTAGAGCAATTGAGTTTTTACTCTAGGGTTTCTATTTTAATTGGGTTATTACATTTTTCATTGGGTAACCATTATTTTTTCACTCATCTATTCATCGCTCTATTGAGGTTTTCCTAAAATTAGTGAACATTTTAAGATTAAAAAAAAAGAAATAATGTTTTAGATGATAACTGTTCTAAATAAATATGCTTGACCGAGAAAGTAAATTAGCTCGTAATTGGGTTTAGGAAATTAGCTCCTTTGTACGCATGCTGAAAAAGCTTCATTGGGAATTAAGCGAGCTGTTTTTATGCATTTGTGTTTTTCGATCCATGCATTTGGGATACGATGACATGCATCAACCAAGTCAGCGAGAACAACCACGTTAGTGGCCTCTTACGACAAGCATGGGATGGCCGACCTCATGGTATAATTTGCATTTGCCCCAGTTTCTATACATGAGTGACGTAGTTTATTATGATATTCCTACTGGCGCGTGAGATGGTTTTACATCACTTTAAACAGTATCTTTGATAAATCACAACATAACACCATGATGTGAGAGGAAAGCCAAAAGTGATGCTGATCTTAGACGTTTACCAATAAGGGAAAACCACGAACACAGGTGTGTTGCCGAAAAGCCTGAAAGATCATCAGGCTTCAAACCAAGGACAACAAGTTCCTGGCGCGACTAAGGGATGTAACTCTGCACAGTGAAGTGTGGCATCTTAGACACACCCAATAGCACCGACTCACCATTCTGAATCTGCAAGGAATGTCAGCCCGGAACACCCCCGACTCTAGAGCCTCCACATGACCGCCGACGTACGTCTCGGAGTCCAGCACGTGGCCATCCTCGGTCAGCTTGTTCAGCACGGACTCCTGCTTGTTAGGGAAGATGATGTTAGCGTGGTAGGCTTGCACCATCAGCAGCGCCTCACACAGCGTCCCCGAGCCCTTCCGCAATACCTGGCCAGAAATACAGAACAACTTAGAAACAAATTTAGATTTGTTTGTTGTTTCTACTAGGGTTGTAACGATTCATCCATGCTGTTTGTTTGTTTGTTTGTTTGTTGTTTAACGCCGCACTCAGCAATATTCCAGCTATATGATGGCAGTCTGTAAATAATTGAGGCTGCACCAGACAATCCAGTGATGGACATTATAACCATCGATCTACGTAATTTGGATACGACATGCATCTACCAAGTCAGGGAGCCGGACCACCCAATCCTGTCAGTCGTCTGTTACGGCAAGCATGGGTTGCTGAAGACCTCAATGCCATAGTGTCTGCTTCAATGCCATACAGTGTCTACGTCAATGCCATACAGTGTCTACGTCAATGCCATACAGTGTCTACTTCAATGCCATACAGTGTCTACTTCAATGCCATACAGTGTCTACTTCAAAGCCATACAGTGTCTGCTTCAATGCCATACAGTGTCTGCTTCAATGCCATACAGTGTCTGCTTCAATGCCATAGTGTCTGCTTCAATGCCATACAGTGTCTGCTTCAATGCCATACAGTGTCTGCTTCAATGCCATACAGTGTCTGCTACAATGCCATACAGTGTCTGCTTCAATGCCATACAGTGTCTGCTTCAATGCCATGCAGTGTCTGCTTCAATGCCATAGTGTCTGCTTCAATGTCGTATAGCGTCTGCTTCAATGCCATACAGTGTCTGCTTCAAAACCATAGTGTCTGCTTCAAAGCCATAGTGTCTGCTTCAATGTCATACAGTGTCTCCTTCAATGTCATACAGTGTCTGCTTCAATGTCATACAGTGTCTGCTTCAATGCCATACAGCGTCTGCTTCAATGCCATAGTGTCTGCTTCAATACCATACAGTGTCTGCTTCAAAGCCGTAGTGTCTGCTTTAATGTCGTACAGTGTCTGCTTCAATGTCATACAGTGTCTGCTTCAATGCCATAGTGTCTGCTTCAATGTCGTATAGCGTCTGCTTCAATGCCATACAGTGTCTGCTTCAAAACCATACGGTGTCTGCTTCAAAGCCATAGTGTCTGCTTCAAAGCCATAGTGTCTGCTTCAATGTCATACAGTGTCTGCTTCAATGTCATACAGTGTCTGCATCAATGCCATACAGCGTCTGCTTCAATGCCATAGTGTCTGCTTCAATGCCATACAGTGTCTGCTTCAATGCCGTAGTGTCTGCTTCAATGTCGTAGTGTCTGCTTCAATGCCATACAGTCTGCTTCAATGTCATAGTGTCTGCTTCAATGCTATAGTGTCTGCTTCAATGCCATACAGTGTCTGCTTCAATGCCATACAGTGTCTGCTTCAATGTCCTATAGTGTCTGCTACAATGCCATACAGTGTCTGCTTCAATGCCATACAGTGTCTGCTTCAATGCCATAGTGTCTGCTTCAATGCCATACAGTGTCTGCTTCAATGCCATACAGTGTCAGCTTCAATGCCGTACAGTGTCTGCTTCAAAGCCATACAGTGTCTTCTTCAATGCCATACAGTGTCAGCTTCAATGCCGTACAGTGTCTGCTTCAATGCCCTACAGTGTCTGCTTCAATGTCCTACAGTGTCTACTTCAATGTCCTACAGTGTGTGCTTCAATGCCATACAGTATCTGCTTCAAAGCCATACAGTGTCTGCTTCAATGCCATACAGTGTCTGCTTCAAAGCCGTAGTGTCTGCTTTAATGTCGTACAGTGTCTGCTTCAATGTCATACAGTGTCTGCTTCAATGCCATAGTGTCTGCTTCAATGTCGTATAGCGTCTGCTTCAATGCCATACAGTGTCTGCTTCAAAACCATACGGTGTCTGCTTCAAAGCCATAGTGTCTGCTTCAAAGCCATAGTGTCTGCTTCAATGCCATACAGTGTCTGCTTCAATGCCATACAGTGTCTGCTTCAAAGCCATACAGTGTCTTCTTCAATGCCATACAGTGTCAGCTTCAATGCCGTACAGTGTCTGCTTCAATGCCCTACAGTGTCTTCTTCAATGCCATACAGTGTCAGCTTCAATGCCGTACAGTGTCTGCTTCAATGCCCTACAGTGTCTGCTTCAATGTCCTACAGTGTCTACTTCAATGTCCTACAGTGTGTGCTTCAATGCCATACAGTATCTGCTTCAAAGCCATACAGTGTCTGCTTCAATGCCATACAGTGTCTGCTTCAATGCCATACAGTGTCTACTTCAATGCCATAGTGTCTGCTTCAATGTCGTAGTGTCTGCTTCATTGCCAAAGTGTCTGCTTCAATGCCATACAGTGTCTGCTTCAATGTCGTAGTGTCTGCTTCAATGCCAAAGTGTCTGCTTCAATGCCATACAGTGTCTACGTCAATGCCATACAGTGTCTACTTCAATGCCATACAGTGTCTACTTCAATGCCATACAGTGTCTACTTCAAAGCCATACAGTGTCTGCTTCAATGCCATACAGTGTCTGCTTCAATGCCATACAGTGTCTGCTTCAATGCCGTACAGTGTCTGCTTCAATGCCATACAGTGTCTGCTTCAATGCCATACAGTGTCTGCTTCAATGCCATACAGTGTCTGCTACAATGCCATACAGTGTCTGCTTCAATGCCATACAGTGTCAGCTTCAATGCCATGCAGTGTCTGCTTCAATGCCATAGTGTCTGCTTCAATGTCGTATAGCGTCTGCTTCAATGCCATACAGTGTCTGCTTCAAAACCATAGTGTCTGCTTCAAAGCCATAGTGTCTGCTTCAAAGCCATAGTGTCTGCTTCAATGTCATACAGTGTCTGCTTCAATGTCATACAGTGTCTGCTTCAATGTCATACAGTGTCTGCTTCAATGCCATACAGCGTCTGCTTCAATGCCATAGTGTCTGCTTCAATGCCATACAGTGTCTGCTTCAAAGCATTAGTGTCTGCTTTAATGTCGTACAGTGTCTGCTTCAATGTCATACAGTGTCTGCTTCAATACCGTAGTGTCTGCTTCAATGTCGTATAGCGTCTGCTTCAATGCCATAGTGTCTGCTTCAAAGCCATAGTGTCTGCTTCAAAGCCATAGTGTCTGCTTCAATGTCATACAGTGTCTGCTTCAATGTCATACAGTGTCTGCTTCAATGCCATAGAGCGTCTGCTTCAATGCCATACAGCGTCTGCTTCAATGCCATAGTGTCTGCTTCAATGCCATACAGTGTCTGCTTCAATGCCGTAGTGTCTGCTTCAATGTCGTAGTGTCTGCTTCAATGCCATACAGTGTCTGCTTCAATGCCGTAGTGTCTGCTTCAATGTCGTAGTGTCTGCTTCAATGCCATACAGTGTCTGCTTCAATGTCATAGTGTCTGCTTCAATGCTATAGTGTCTGCTTCAATGCCATACAGTGTCTGCTTCAATGCCATACAGTGTCTGCTTCAATGTCCTATAGTGTCTGCTACAATGCGATACAGTGTCTGCTTAAATGCCATACAGTGTCTGCTACAATGCCATACAGTGTCTGCTTCAATGTCATACAGTGTCCGCTTCAATGCCATACAGTGTCTGCTTCAATGCCATACAGTGTCTGCTTCAATGCCATACAGTGTCTGCTTCAAAGCCATACAGTGTCAGCTTCAATGCCGTACAGTGTCTGCTTCAATGCCCTACAGTGTCTGCTTCAATGTCCTACAGTGTCTACTTCAATGTCCTACAGTGTGTGCTTCAATGCCATACAGTATCTGCTTCAAAGCCATACAGTGTCTGCTTCAATGCCATACAGTGTCTGCTTCAATGCCATACAGTGTCTACTTCAATGCCATAGTGTCTGCTTCAATGTCGTAGTGTCTGCTTCAATGCCAAAGTGTCTGCTTCAATGCCATACAGTGTCTGCTTCAATGCCATACAGTGTCTGCTTCAATGCCATACAGTGTCTGCTTCAATGCCATACAGTGTCTGCTTCAATGCCATACAGTGTCTACTTCAATGCCATACAGTGTCTGCTTCAATGCCATACAGTGTCTGCTTCAATGTCCTACAGTGTCTGCTTCAATGCCATACAGTGTCTGCTGCAATGTCCTACAGTGTCTGCTTCAATGTCCTACAGCGTCTACTTCAATGTCCTACAGTGTCTGCTTCAATGTCCTACAGTCTGCTTCAATGCCATACAGTATCTGATTCAATGTCATACAGTGTCTGCTTCAATGCCGTAGTGTCTGCTTTAATGTCATACAGTGTCTGCTTCAATGCCGTAGTGTCTGCTTTAATGTCATAGTGTCTGCTTCAATGTAATACAGTGTCTGCTTCAATGCCGTAGAGTCTGCTTCAATGCCATACAGTGTCTGCTTCAATGTCCTACAGTGTCTGCTTCAATGCCATACAGTGTCTGCTTCAATGTCCTACGGTGTCTGCTTCAATGCCATACAGTGTCTGCTTAAATGACATAGTGTCTGCTTCAATGTCCTATAGTGTCTGCTTCAATGTCCTATAGTGTCTGCTTCAATGTCCTATAGTGTCTGCTTCAATGTCCTATAGTGTCTGCTTCAATGCCATACCTCATCGGGTTCCATGGGGATGATGGTACACAGGGCAAAGATGAAGGGATGGACGTATTTGACGTAGAGGTAATATGTCGCAACAGCATCCGAAACAGAGTAGTTCGCCAACACCTGGAGAGAAGAAAACGCAGCAACTGAGAATATGAATTACTGGTATGTAAATTTCAGATTTGCAAGTATTATTAAACATTTGATTCCAGGAAATTTCAAACTGTGAAACCTCCAACAACACCAATAGCACCCGAAGTAGCGATTTTCTTAATGTTTTATAATTTCTTTTCTTCTGTGGTTGACACATTTAACCTCAATCTACGCAATTGGAAAATGATGACATCCATCAACGGCAAGTCTGAGCACCCGATCTCGTTGGTCGCCTCTTGCGACAACCATGGGTTGCTGATGACCTATTCTAACCTTGACATTCATGGAATAAATAACAACAACACATACAGTAGAAAAAACTTTATGTGTCCAATTATTCGCGCATCCAGTACCATGACATTCCAGTGTTCCCATTTTAATTTGTTTCAGGAATTGAGTGGCAAAAGTGTTTGACTTTTATTTTATTTTTTTCTAAATGTCAGCAGCAGCACCCGAATGGTTCACAAAGCTGTAACAAAGTACCTGAGGTTCCTCGCTCGCCATCCGGCACATCTCCTCTGGATCCAACTCCACTGGATCATACCGCAACTTCGCCTGGACAAAGTTACACGGTTCAAATATGAAACATTAAAATTCAAGGCATGTTCAAGGTGTTTCAAGGTTTTCAACTTTCATTTTTAAGGTTGGGTTTTTAGCCATTGTCTGTAAATATGTTTTTTTTAAATCCAGCATACTATATATTAGTGGTAAGACCTACAAAGCCATTAATTTTGATACTTAACAAGCATACGTCATTTTGTACAAATCTCAAGGCTTATTTCAAGCCGTTGGTGTTTTTCAAGGCTTTTCAAGGTTGACACTAAAAATCAAGGTTTTTTTCAAAAGAAACCTTACAATTCAAGCCTTTTCAAGCCTCCAAGCATCTTGAGTGAGTTTGAATTTAGTGTATGAGTGAATGTTGTTTTACACAAATCAGCAATATTTGAGCAATATTATTCAGTAAGTTTGTTTCATAACGCTGCACTTGACAATATTCCAGCTATATGACGGTGGTGTGCAAAAATCAAGGCTGGTCCTGACAATCCAGTGACTGATATTGAAAACGACATGACACACAATCAGCCATGTCACCCTTTGATCGCCGCTTACAACCAGGTCGCTGGGGATGAATTTTACCCAGAAATCCCCATGGGATGTAACCTGTCTACAGCAAAGTCTGACAAACAACAATCCTCGTCCTCGCAGCATGAGCCACGAACCAGCTGAGCCACCGAACCACTGAGCCACCAAGTCTGACAACTCAATAGGTTAAGTGAGTGAGTGAGTGAGTTGGATTTTAACGCCGCTTTTAACAGTATTCCAGTTACATCACGGCGTGTCAGCTTAATGTGGGAGGAAAGCCCGAAGTGATGCAGGTCTAAGACATTTACCACTTCGGTGAAACCCAAGAGCACGGGGATGGTGCTGACAAACCTAGAAACATAATCGGGGCGAACCGGGATTCGAACCCACAATCATAGGTTTCTGGCGTGCCCAAGGGACGCAACTCTGCACAGCGAATCGCGGCGCCTTAGACGACTGGGCCACCCGTGCCCCCCAACAGGTTAAGGCTTTGCAACAACGATCGAGCAGTTGAAGTATGAGTGATTGAGTTTGGTTTAACGCCGCTTTAAACAGTATTCCAGTTATATCACGGCGTGTCAGCTTAATGTGGGAGGAAAGCCCGAAGTGATGCAGGTCTCAGATGTTTCCCACTTCGGTGAAATACACGAGCACTGGGTATGGTGCCGACAAACCTAGAAACATAACCGGGGCGAACCGGGATTCGAACCCACAATCATAGGTTTCTGGACTATAGCCACTATGAGATGCTAAAGAATAGTAATATGAAATTGATAGTCATCCAGGTTGCAGTTACACTGACATATCTTTCTAAAACCAAAACGCAGAAGACACTGGGATAATTTGACCTTTTATGAAGAAAACATCATAGATTTTAAAATAAATCTGTAATTTTCTATAATTCCTGACCGACTGATTGGTTACCTTGGCAACAGCCTTCAGATTCTGACTTCCAACAGGCAGGTAGCTGTCTCGTTTCACCCATCTGTAATAAACAATTTGTGTCAATTAAGGGTCTGATTGGTAACTGACTTACAACCGACCCTCCATGTTTTCTGCTAGGCACTGACCAGAGGACCAGCATTGAAGTCAAGCCCTGAAGTCAACGGTGGTAGACATCAAAGGTGACTGGTCCTGAACAGCGAACAGAAAGCCTTCTGTTTCACTTTTCAGGCCAGCTGATTTCATCCAAGCGAAGGACTCTGCAGGGTTGCTGATCTTTTCAACACACTGCACATTAACTCGATGCAGTGGTCGTTCAGATATGCCCTCCTTGAAAAACTGAGTCAGGGCTGATTTGATATGGCACTTTGCTTGGTTGACACTCATTTCTGTACTGTCCAGTTGTACAGAATGATCAACAAAATCAACACTGACATTGAGATTATGTCCCACATCCTTGGCTGGTTTACGAAAACTGTGGAATGTCTTGTTTTTATCCTTGACATGCTTCACAAGAGATCATCAGACAAATAAATGTGTGCAAAAGTGCACAAAACAATTCTATCATGAAGAGCCCCAACGTTAATCAAACCACGCCCTCCCATTATGATTGGTAAATATATAGGAAAATTAGGGAGAGCGAGGGTGGTAGGATCTACTGCCTGACTTGATTTTTCGTGTGAGGGTGTCAATACCTTGAATTTCTTGTTTCGTCCAATCAACAACACCAAAGGAATATGAAAGGAAGGGTACAGCGTAATTGTTATTATTATTGTTATTATTATTATTATTATTATTATTATTATTATTATTATTATTCCACAGTTCACCTGAAGCAGTCCATGTGTATGCAGTGCCTGGACTTGTATTCCCCTTGATTGTCCTTCTGGAAGCCGATTTCCCGGAACATATCCATGTCATGGACAGCTGCCCGCGCCTCCACGAACGGCCTGTTGGGCAAACAATGTTTCACTATTTTTCCACACAGATTTGACCTTCAAACATGTCATAGTGAAAGTGAAAGCATATTCAACTCTTTTATCACCATCATCTCGTTACCATGACAACATACCAATCAAAGAAGTCTCCGTTGTATGTTACACAGATTTGGGGTCGTACTTCCTGGAAATGCTCAAAGAATTTCTTGATCAATGAAACCTGAAAAATAATATAATATGTCTGACTGTAGCTCTTAAAGTTTGTTTGTTTGTTTGTTTGTTGTTTAACACCGCACTCAGCAATATTCCAGCCATATGACGGCGGTCTGTAAATAATCGAGTCTGGACCAGACAATCCAGTGATTGACATCATGAGCATCAATCAACGCAATTGTGATACGATGACATGCATCAACCAAGTCAGCGAGTCTGACCACCCGATCCCGTTAGTCGCCTCTTACGACAAGCATATTCGCCTTTTAAGGCAAGCATGGGTTGCTGAAGGCCTATTCTTCCCCGGATCTTCACGGGTCAAGCTCAAATAGAAACTGGCCTGGGTTTATACTAGATGGAAGAGAATTTCATTTCTATCAGTGTGTAACATTATTGTAGCAGATCCTGGAACAACTAAGGGATGGAACTCTGCACAGGGATTTACAAACAATGAGAACTTGATAGAAGACCATAGAAGATAACATCAAACTTAGAAACTGACCTCATCTGGCTCATTGAAAACAATGAAAGGTCCCTCAAACTCAGGTCTCGGTGTGTACTCGAAGTCCTCCACGTCTTGAGAAACTATCTCCCTGTTACATATTAAATAGCCCTGAAATGCAAACATGGATTCTCTGTATTAGATAGCCCTGAAATACAACCATACAATATCCGTGTTTTAATAAACCAGAAACACATCCAAAGATGCTTAGTAACATGTGGTCCTGAAGACCATCCATAGCTTTTCTCAACATCATACACCCCAGAAACACATGCACAGATGCTCTGTACCAGATGGTGCTGAAGGCCACTCCATAGCTTTTCTCAACATCATACACCCCAGAAACACATGCACAGATGCTCTGTACCAGATGGTCCTGAAGACCATCCATAGCTTTTATCAATATCATAAGCCCCAGAAACACATCCACAGATGCTCAGTACCACATGGTCCTGAAGACCATCCATAGCTTTTCTCAACATCATACACCCCAGAAACACATGCACAGATGCTCTGTACCAGATGGTCCTGAAGACCATCCATAGCTTTTCTCAATATCATAAGCCCCAGAAACACATTCACAGATGCTCATTACCAGATGGTCCTGAAGACCATCCATAGCTTTTCTCAATATCATAAGCCCCAGAAACACATCCACAGATGCTCAGTACCAGATGGTCCTGAAGGCCATCCATAGCTTTTCTCAACATCATAAGCCCCAGAAACACATCCACAGATGCTCAGTACCACATGGTCCTGAAGACTATCCATAGCTTTTCTCAATATCATAAGCCCCAGAAACACATCCACAGATGCTCAGTACCACATGGTCCTGAAGACCATCCATAGCTTTTCTCAATATCATAAGCCCCAGAAACACATCCACAGATGCTCAGTACCAGATGGTCCTGAAGGCCATCCATAGCTTTTCTCAATATCATAAACCCCAGAAACACATCCAAAGATGCTCAGTACCAGATGGTCCTGAAGGCCATCCATAGCTTTTCTCAACATCATAAACCCCAGAAACACATCCACAGATGCTCAGTACCACATGGTCCTGAAGGCCATCCATTGCTTTTCTCAACATCATTCACCCCAGAAACAAATCCACAGATGCTCAGTACCAGATGGTCCTGAAGACCATCCATAGCTTTTCTCAATATCATAAGCCCCAGAAACACATCCACAGATGCTCAGTACCACATGGTCCTGAAGACCATCCATAGCTTTTCTCAACATCATACACCCCAGAAACACATGCACAGATGCTCTGTACCAGATGGTGCTGAAGGCCATCCATAGCTTTTCTCAACATCATACACCCCAGAAACACATGCACAGATGCTCTGTACCAGATGGTCCTGAAGACCATCCATAGCTTTTCTCAATATCATAAGCCCCAGAAACACATCCACAGATGCTCAGTACCACATGGTCCTGAAGACCATCCATAGCTTTTCTCAACATCATACACCCCAGAAACACATGCACAGATGCTCTGTACCAGATGGTCCTGAAGACCATCCATAGCTTTTCTCAATATCATAAGCCCCAGAAACACATTCACAGATGCTCATTACCAGATGGTCCTGAAGACCATCCATAGCTTTTCTCAATATCATAAGCCCCAGAAACACATCCACAGATGCTCAGTACCAGATGGTCCTGAAGGCCATCCATAGCTTTTCTTAACATCATAAGCCCCAGAAACACATCCACAGATGCTCAGTACCAGATGGTCCTGAAGACCATCCATAGCTTTTCTCAATATCATAAGCCCCAGAAACACATCCACAGATGCTCAGTACCACATGGTCCTGAAGATCATCCATAGCTTTTCTCAATATCATAAGCCCCAGAAACACATCCACAGATGCTCAGTACCAGATGGTCCTGAAGGCCATCCATAGCTTTTCTCAACATCATAAACCCCAGAAACACATCCACAGATGCTCAGTACCAGATGGTCCTGAAGGCCATCCATAGCTTTTCTCAACATCATAAACCCCAGAAACACATCCACAGATGCTCAGTAACATGTGGTCCTGAAGGCCATCCATAGCTTTCCTCAACATCATAAACCCCAGAAACACATCCACAGATGCTCAGTACCAGATGGTCCTGAAGGCCATCCATAGCTTTTCTCAATATCATACACCCCAGAAACACATCCACAGATGCTCAGTACCAGATGGTCCTAAAGACCATCCATAGCTTTTCTCAATATCATAAACCCCAGAAACACATCCAAAGATGCTCAGTACCAGATGGTCCTAAAGACCATCCATAGCTTTTCTCAACATCATAAGCCCCAGAAACACATCCACAGATGCTCAGTACCAGATGGTCCTGAAGACCATCCATAGCTTTTCTCAATATCATAAGCCCCAGAAACACATCCACAGATGCTCAGTACCACATGGTCCTGAAGACCATCCATAGCTTTTCTCAATATCATAAGCCCCAGAAACACATCCACAGATGCTCAGTACCAGATGGTCCTGAAGGCCATCCATAGCTTTTCTCAACATCATAAACCCCAGAAACACATCCACAGATGCTCAGTACCAGATGGTCCTGAAGGCCATCCATAGCTTTTCTCAACATCATAAACCCCAGAAACACATCCACAGATGCTCGGTAACATGTGGTCCTGAAGGCCATCCATAGCTTTTCTCAACATCATAAACCCCAGAAACACATCCACAGATGCTCAGTACCAGATGGTCCTGAAGGCCATCCATAGCTTTTCTCAATATCATACACCCAAGAAACACATCCACAGATGCTCAGTACCAGATGGTCCTAAAGACCATCCATAGCTTTTCTCAATATCATAAACCCCAGAAACACATCCACAGATGCTCAGTACCAGATGGTCCTAAAGACCATCCATAGCTTTTCTCAATATCATAAACCCCAGAAACACATCCACAGATGCTCAGTACCAGATGGTCCTAAAGACCATCCATAGCTTTTCTCAATATCATAAACCCCAGAAACACATCCAAAATTCTGCCAGTCATACATACACACCTGCCCATCTATCATATAGGATATCCTCTACTCGTAGCTATCATATAGGATATCACAGATACCTGTCCATCTATCATATAGGATATCACACATACCTCCCCATCTATCATATAGGATATCACACATACCTCCCCATCTATCATATAGGATATCACACATACCTGTCCATCTATCATATAGGATATCACACATACCTCCCCATCTATCATATAGGATATCACACATACCTGTCCATCTATCATATAGGATATCACACATACCTGTCCATCTATCATATAGGATATCACACATACCTGCCCATCTATCATATAGGATATCACAAATACCTCCCCATCTATCATATAGGATATCACACATACCTCCCCATCTATCATATAGGATATCACACATGCCTGCCCATCTATCATATAGGATATCACACATACCTCCCCATCTATCATATAGGATATCACACATACCTCCCCATCTATCATATAGGATATCACACATACCTCCCCATCTATCATGTAGGATATCACACATACCTGTCCATCTATCATATAGGATATCACACATACCTCCCCATCTATCATATAGGATATCACACATACCTCCCCAACTATCATGTAGGATATCACACATACCTGTCCATCTATCATATAGGATATCACACATACCTCCCCATCTATCTTATAGGATATCACACATACCTCCCCATCTATCATATAGGATATCACACATACCTCCCCATCTATCATATAGGATATCACACATGCCTGCCCATCTATCATATAGGATATCACACATACCTCCCCATCTATCATATAGGATATCACACATACCTCCCCATCTATCATGTAGGATATCACATACCTGTCCATCTATCTTATAGGATATCACACATACCTCCCCATCTATCATATAGGATATCACACATGCCTGCCCATCTATCATGTAGGATATCACACATACCTCCCCATCTATCATATAGGATATCACACATACCACCCCATCTATCACATAGGATATCACACATACCTCCCCATCTATCATGTAGGATATCACATACCTGTCCATCTATCATATAGGATATCACACATACCTCCCCATCTATCATATAGGATATCACACATACCTCCCCATCTATCATGTAGGATATCACATACCTGTCCATCTATCATATAGGATATCACACATACCTCCCCATCTATCATATAGGATATCACACATACCTCCCCATCTATCTTATAGGATATCACACATACCTCCCCATCTATCATATAGGATATCACACATACCTCCCCATCTATCATATAGGATATCACACATACCTGACCATCTTTCATGTAGGATATCACACATACCTGCCCATCTATCATATAGGATATCACACATACCTCCCCATCTATCACATAGGATATCATACATACCTCCCCATCTACCATATAGGATATCACACATACCTGCCCATCTATCATATAGGATATCACACATACCTCCCCATCTATCACATAGGATATCATACATACCTCCCCATCTACCATATAGGATATCACACATACCTGCCCATCTATCATATAGGATATCACACATACCTCCCCATCTATCACATAGGATATCATACATACCTCCCCATCTATCATATAGGATATCACACATACCTCCCCATCTATCACATAGGATATCATACATACCTCCCCATCTACCATATAGGATATCACACATACCTGCCCATCTATCATATAGGATATCACACATACCTGTCCATCTATCATATGGGATATCACACATACCTGCCCATCTATCATATAGGATATCATCATAATCTGGTCTATCTGGGCATCAGGGAACTTCAGGGGTAGTTTTGTTGTCTCAATGTCGTACGCAAACACCACTGGATCCTGAAATATTATTAAAAGAATATCATGAGGATGAACAGTTTTGAAGTAATAGGTGAGGTAAAATGGGGTTTATTATTATTATTATTATTATTATAAGATTATTGCACTTATATAGCGACGTGCATGCACGTGTATGTGTGTGCGTGTGGCTGCTTGTACTGAAGCCGATTTATAGTGCTAGCACACTGAGATACCATGCCGCAGTTAAACATGAATACCCCACTCAGACACAGTAAACTGACTCCTAGCCGACCAGTCCTTGTTTTAGCCCCTTTATGCCGAGGGCAAGACAGGGTAACAACAAGTACCATCTTTTTACGTCTTTTGGTATGATGCGGCTGGGGATCGAACCCCGGACCTTCCACTCTCTGGGCGGACGCTCTACCATTAGACAATGGAGGCGGTCCTTTGAAGTAATATGTTGGCACCCTGTAAATAATTGAATCTGGACCAGACAATCCATTGATTAATTATGTGAGGAAAGGTCCACCCCATCGGGGTATGATGACACTATCAACCAGGTCAATCGAGCCTGACCACCCGATCATGACGAACGTCGGGAGGTTTCCGGGGGTCTATTCTAACATGGGATTATCACTTATCTGACTAGTCTGTACTGATTGAGGTGAGGTGAGGTGAGGTGAGGTGAGGTGAGGTGAGGTGAGGTGAGGTGAGGTGAGGTGAGGTGAGGTGAGGTGAGGTGAGGTGAGGTGAGGTGAGGTGAGGTGAAGTGAGGTGAGGTGAGGTGAAATTGGGTTTAACATGTACATCGAGTCCAACATTATTGCACTTATATAGCGACGTGCATGCACGTGTGTGTGTGTGGCTGCTTGTACTAATCCGGATAGTGCTAGCCCGCTGAGATACCATGCCGCAGTTTAACATGAATACCCCACTTAGACGCAGTACACTCACTCTGGGCAGACCCTCTACCACTAGTCCAGGGAGACCTGAAGACCTATTCTACCCCGGATTTTAATGGGTCATTACTTCAACTGCACCAAGTGCTTACCGGTCGGTCAACAAGATCCTCCCGCTGCCGTATCTCGGGGGGCGCGCCCCCTCTCCCCCTCACAGAGTACCAGTGACCCACAAAAATCTTCAAGTCAATGGACACACGGACATGGTAGGGGACGTCATACTCCCTGGAAAGGAAACAAAAGCGAATTGTAAAGACTATTCAAACCTTCGTATACTTTAAGTCATACAGAGAATCTCACCCGAGTGTCTTTTGATATCAAATATATCAACACAAATTGATAAAAGTGAAAACTCTGAGGTTTGTTGAGGGATGATATATTTGATATCAAAAGACACGAGGGTGAGATTCTGTTTATCATCCAACATCATTCTTCCAACTTTTTCAATTTGTAGACAGTAATAAACAGTGTCTTAAGTGTAAAAAGTACTGCTAACAGCTTCAGTAGCAGAGCCATTAGTGATGTCATTTGATTGTGACGTCATGGTAACCAATGATGTCACAATGGTCTGAAAAGCATTGCGATGCAATTTCATTGCAGTGATATCTACAATGTATCGCTTTGATGAGATCAAGCCATATCACCTGTGGGAGGCAATTTTGGATGATAAAGTGTGGTCACATTCTGTGACACATGCAAGGCGATATTACAGTGCGAAGGTACCCAAACAGAGGCCTCTTAGGGCCATTTGTTTATATTTTTTTCTTAAAATCTAAAAAAACTAAGTTGAAATTTCAAGATACTAAGAAACTGATACTGACCTGATGTCAATGTTGCTGCCGAGTAATTGACCTGATGTCAATGTTGCTGTCAAGTAATTGACCTGATGTCAATGTTGCTGCCGCATAACTGACCTGATGTTAATGTTGCTGCCACGTAATTGATCTGATGTCAATGTTGCTGCCGCAAAACTGACCTGATGTCAATGTTGCTGCCACGTAAATGACTTGATGTGAATACTGCTGCCACGTAATTGACCTGACGTGAATATTCCTGCATGAAATTGACCTGATGTCAACATTCCTACCACCTAATTGACCTGATGTGAATATTCCTGCCACGTAATTGACCTGATGTGAATATTCCTGCCACGTAATTGACCTGATGACAATGTTGCTGCCATGTAATTGACCTGATGTCAATATTGCTGCCATGTAATTGACATGATGTGAATATTGCTGCCACATAATTGATCTGATGTGAATTTTGCTGCCACGCAATTGACCTGATGTCCATGTTGCAGCCAGCTAATTGACCTGATGCAATATTGCTGTCACGTAATTGACCAGATGTCAATGTTGCTGCAACATAATTGACCTGATCTCAATGTTGCTGCCACGTCATTGACCTGATGTCAATGTTGCTGCCACATAATTGATCTGATGTGAATTTTGCTGCCACGCAATTGACCTGATGTCAATGTTGCTGCCAGCTAATTGACCTGATGCAATATTCTGTCACGTCATTGACCTCATGTCAATGTTGCTGCAACTTTTGACCTGATGTCAATGTTGCTGCCGAAAAATTGACCTGATGTCAATGTTGCTGTCACGTAATTGACCTGATGTCAATGTTGCTACCACGTAATTGATGTGATGTGAATATTGCTGCCATGTAATTGACCTTATGTCAATATTCCTGTCACGTAATTGACCTGATGTCAATGTTGCTGCCACATAATTGACCTGATGTCAATGTTGCTGCCAAGTAATTGACCTGATGTCAATGTTGCTGCCACGTAATTGATCTGACGTCAATGTTGCTGCCAAAAAATTGACCTGATGTCAATATTGCTGCCCCATAACTTACCTGATGTCAATGTTGCTGCCACGTAATTGATGTGATGTGAAAATTGCTGCCACGTTATTGAACTGATGTCAATGTTGCTGCCATGTAATTGACCTGATGTCAATGTTGCTGCAACATAATTGACCTGATGTCAATGTTGCTGCCACGTAATTGATGTGATGTGAATATTGCTGCCATGTAATTGACCTCTTGTCAATGTTGCTGTCACGTAATTGACCTGATGTGAATATTGCTCCCACGTAATTGACCTCATGTCAATGTTGCTCCCAGCTAATTGACCTGATGTCAATGTTGCTGCCACGTAATTGATGTGATGTGAATATTCCTGCCACGTAATTGACCTGATGACAATGTTGCTGCCATGTAATTGACCTGATGTCAATATTGCTGCCATGTAATTGACATGATGTGAATATTGCTGCCACATAATTGATCTGATGTGAATTTTCCTGCCACGCAATTGACCTGATGTCAATGTTGCAGCCAGCTAATTGACCTGATGCAATATTGCTGTCACGTAATTGACCAGATGTCAATGTTGCTGCAACATAATTGACCTGATCTCAATGTTGCTGCCACGTAATTGACCTGATGTCAATGTTGCTGCCACGTAATTGATCTGATGTGAATTTTGCTGCCACGCAATTGACCTGATGTCAATGTTGCTGCCAGCTAATTGACCTGATGCAATATTCTGTCACGTCATTGACCTCATGTCAATGTTGCTGCAACTTATTGACCTGATGTCAATGTTGCTGCCACATAATTGACCTGATGTCAATGTTGCTGTCACGTAATTGACCTGATGTCAATGTTGCTACCACGTAATTGATGTGATGTGAATATTGCTGCCATGTAATTGACCTTATGTCAATATTCCTGTCACGTAATTGACCTGATGTCAATGTTGCTGCCACATAATTGACCTGATGTCAATGTTGCTGCCAAGTAATTGACCTGATGTCAATGTTGCTGCCACGTAATTGATCTGACGTCAATGTTGCAGCCAAAAAATTGACCTGATGTCAATATTGCTGCCCCATAACTTACCTGATGTCAATGTTGCTGCCACGTAATTGATGTGATGTGAAAATTGCTGCCACGTAATTGACATGATGTCAATGTTGCTGCCATGTAATTGACCTGATGTCAATGTTGCTGCAACATAATTGACCTGATGTCAATGTTGCTGCCACGTAATTGATGTGATGTGAATATTGCTGCCATGTAATTGACCTCTTGTCAATGTTGCTGTCACGTAATTGACCTGATGTGAATATTGCTCCCACGTAATTGACCTCATGTCAATGTTGCTCCCAGCTAATTGACCTGATGTCAATGTTGCTGCCATGTAATTGATGTGATGTGAATATTCCTGCCACGTAATTGACCTGATGACAATGTTGCTGCCATGTAATTGACCTGATGTCAAGATTGCTGCCATGTAATTGACATGATGTGAATATTGCTGCCACATAATTGATCTGATGTGAATTTTGCTGCCACGCAATTGACCTGATGTCAATGTTGCAGCCAGCTAATTGACCTGATGCAATATTGCTGTCACGTAATTGACCAGATGTCAATGTTGCTGCAACATAATTGACCTGATCTCAATGTTGCTGCCACGTAATTGACCTGATGTCAATGTTGCTGCCACGTAATTGATCTGATGTGAATTTTGCTGCCACGCAATTGACCTGATGTCAATGTTGCTGCCAGCTAATTGACCTGATGCAATATTCTGTCACGTCATTGACCTCATGTCAATGTTGCTGCAACTTATTGACCTGATGTCAATGTTGCTGCCACATAATTGACCTGATGTCAATGTTGCTGTCACGTAATTGACCTGATGTCAATGTTGCTACCACGTAATTGATGTGATGTGAATATTGCTGCCATGTTATTGACCTTATGTCAATATTCCTGTCACGTAATTGACCAGATGTCAATGTTGCTGCCACATAATTGACCTGATGTCAATGTTGCTGCCAAGTAATTGACCTGATGTCAATGTTGCTGCCACGTAATTGATCTGACGTCAATGTTGCTGCCAAAAAATTGACCTGATGTCAATATTGCTGCCCCATAACTTACCTGATGTCAATGTTGCTGCCACGTAATTGATGTGATGTGAAAATTGCTGCCACGTAATTGACCTGATGTCAATGTTGCTGCCATGTAATTGACCTGATGTCAATGTTGCTGCAACATAATTGACCTGATGTCAATGTTGCTGCCACGTAATTGATGTGATGTGAATATTTCTGCCATGTAATTGACCGCTTGTCAATGTTGCTGTCACGTAATTGACCTGATGTGAATATTGCTCCCACGTAATTGACCTCATGTCAATGTTGCTCCCAGCTAATTGACCTGATGTCAATATTGCTGCCACGTAATTGATGTGATGTGAATATTCCTGCCACGTAATTGACCTGATGACAATGTTGCTGCCATGTAATTGACCTGATGTCAATGTTGCTGCCGCGTAATTGATGTGATGTGAATATTGCTGCCACGTAATTGACCAGATGTTAATATTCCTGTCACGTAATTGACCTGATGTCAATGTTGCTGCCACGTAATTGACCTGATGTCAATGTTGCTGCCACATAATTGACCTGATGTCAATATTGCTGTCACGTAATTGACTTCATGTCAATGTTGCTGCCAGCTAATTGACCTCATGTCAATGTTGCTGCCACGTAATTGTCCTGTCAATATTGCTGTCCCGTAATTGACCTGATGTGAATATTGCTCCCACGTAATTGACCTGATGTCAATGTTGCTGCCAGCTAATTGACCTCATGTCAATGTTGCAGCCACTTAATTGACGTGATGTCACTATTCCTGCCACGTAGTTGACCTTATGTCAATGTTGCTGTCACGTAAGTGACCTGATGTCAATGTTGCTGCCACGTAATTAACCTGATGTCATTGTTGCTGCCATGTAATTGACCTGATGTCAATGTTGCTGTCATGTAATTGACCTGATGTCAATGTTGCTGCCACGTTATTGATGTGGTGTGAATATTCCTGCCACGTAATTGACCTGATGTCAATGTTGCTGTCACGTAATTGATGTGATGTCAATGTTGCTGTCACGTAATTGACCTGATGTCAATGTTGCTGTCACGTGATTGACCTCATGTCAATGTTGCTGTCAGCTAATTGACCTTATGTCAATGTTGCTCTCACGGAATTGACCTGATGTCAATGTTGCTGTCACGTAATTGTCCTGTCAAATTAGTGCTGTCACGTAATTGACCTGATGTGAATATTGCGGCAACGTAATTGACCTGATGTCAATGTTGCTGCCACGTAATTGATGTGATGTGAACATTGCTGCCACGTTATTGACCTGATGTCAATGTTGCTGCCACGTAATTGACCTGATGTCAATGTTGCTGCCAAGTTATCGACCTGATGTCAATGTTGCTGCCACGTAATTGACCTGATGTCAATATTGCTGTCACATAATTGACCTGACGTGAATATTCCTGCATGAAATTGACCTGATGTCAACGTTGCTGCCACGTAATTGTCCTGTCAATGTTGCTGTCACATAATTGACCTGATGTGAATATTGCTCCCACGTAATTGACCTGATGTCAATGTTGCTGCCAGCTAATTGACCTGATGTCGATGTTGCTGCCACGTAATTGATGTGATGTCAATGTTGCTGTCATGTTATTGACCTGATGTGAATATTGCTGCCACGTAATTGACCTGATGTCAATGTTGCTGCCACGTAGTTGATGTAATGTCAATGTTGCAGCCAGCTAATAGACCTGATGTCAATTTTCCTGCCACGTAATTGACGTGATGTCAATGCATTTGTCAAGTAATTGACCTGATGTCAATATTGCTGCCACGTAATTACCCTGATGTCAATGTTGCTGCCATGTAATTGACCTGATGTCAATGTTCCTGCCACATGATCGACCTGATGTCAATGTTGCTGTCACCAAATTGACCTGTTGCCAATATTGCTGCCACCTAACTGATCTCATGACAATGTAGCTGCCATAAATTTGACCTGAGGTCAATGTTGCTGCTACAAAATTGACCTGATATCAATGTTGCTACCACGAAATTGACCTGATCTCAATGTTGCTGGCATGTAATTGACCTGATGTCAATGAGACCATGTAACTGACCTGATCTTTATAGCAAGGTCACGATACACATCACTATACACATATTCACATCAAATCATGAGGAAACTTCTTGACAATCAGCATATTAGAGCATGTTTAAAAGGAAAAGCTAGCTGTAGACACATGTTCATAGCGGCTGTATCTAGTCGTGAGCTTGGGACGCTAATTACAACACATTTTGACAAAATTGCTAGGGGTGTCATTAAATGAGTAGTTAAAAGTAGAGACCCAAAACTTCGCACACCTTGGACGCCTTGAAAGTATATACAATAATTCATATACACGCAACTCAATGTAACACCAAAGCTAGTAGTATTAAAACACATGAATATGTTATACATACCTTGCTGAGAATTGTAAACAATTTGACTACCTTGGCAGGCAAACAATTGCAACACAATTCAAAATGGCGGCAAAAAAGACAGAGTCTTTTGACCCCTAATTAATTCACATAAAACTACACAACATGGTGAAAGTAATATGAAAAGAATACATGATCACCCTTCGCAGATCAATTTTAGAATTGTAGACAAAAACTGAAGGTATAAATTAATCCAAAAGGAGAGCTCGGCTGGGACACGTTCTTGTTGTAGTGCGACAAGCAGTGATGTGAAGAAGATGACCTTGGGTGTCATCAAGGTCACGGGACAAGGCGGTGGTCAGTGAAAGTGGGACTTTAGCACAACTACTTTATTTCTTCACCCAGGACCATCGCTGTTACGCTGTCCCTTCTAGTTGTCATAAGGTAAGAAGTGAATGCATTAAGAAGTAATGCAGGATAAGTAAAAAATATATATACAAGAAAGTATTGATATTGATACAGAAAAAAACTATCATATTGTCGCTGGAAAACTAACCATTCATTGGTGCATTGTTTCACCCTACCACGATTAAAACTGACCTGATGTCAATGTAGTCACGAAACTGACCTGATGTCAATGTAGTCACGAAATTGACCTGATGTCAATGTAGTCACAAATCTGATCTGATGTCAATGTAGACACAAAACTGACCTGATGTCAATGTAGTCATGAAACTGACCTGATGTCAATATAGTCACGAAACTGACCTGATGTCAATGTAGTCACGAAACTGACCTGATGTCAATGTAGTCATGAAACTGACCTGATGTCAATGTAGTCACGAAACTGACCTGATGTCAATGTAGTCATGAAACTGACCTGATGTCAATGTAGACACGAAACTGACCTGATGTCGATGTAGTCACGAAACTGACCTGATGTCAATGTAGTCACGAAACTGACCTGATGTCAATGTAGACACGAAACTGACCTGATGTCAATGTTGTCACGAAACTGACCTGATGTAAATGTAGTCACGAAACTGACCTGATGTCAATGTAGACACAAAACTGACCTGATGTCAATGTAGTCATGAAACTGACCTGATGTCAATGTAGTCACGAAACTGACCTTATGTAAATGTAGTCACGAAACTGACCTGATGTCAATGTAGTCACGAAACTGACCTGATGTCAATGTAGTCACGAAACTGACCTGATGTCAATGTAGTCACGAAACTGACCAGATGTCAATGTTTCTAATAGGAAACTGACCTGATGTCAATGATGTTGTCCATCTGGTCTGCTATCTTCTTGGAGACACCATCTTCTCCTGTCAAGTGGCTGAAAATACACAAACCACACTCAGCCGGGTATGCATTCTACACCTACACTTAAAGGTACAGGAGAGGAGAATAATCCTCCATACCTCAGCAGGACTGAGGTGCTAAGGACTTCTGAAGGGGACAAAATAGTTTTGCGACAGTTCATCAACACATACTGATTTCTCTGAAAGGAGACCAACAATGTGCCATTTGTACCCTTGACACATTTCTTTTCTGTACATTCACAGCGTTCCCGAGGCTTTTGAAACTGCCAGTCCTTGTGGACTTGTGGACAGGCAACTCTAAAAATTACCACTCCCTATTTATTTTTGCAAGTCCCAACTTTCAACAAAATTATGGATGAAAATTATTTAGTTTTAATTCTTTCTGCATCATGTTCAGTGCAAAGATGTCATCGCTGAAGTAACTTAGGGGCGGTAACCTGATGCGGTCAGGTAGCCTAGTGGTTAAAGCGTTCTCTCGTCACGCTGAAGTCCCGGGTTCGATTCCCGACATGGGTACAATGTGTGAAGCCCATTTCTGGTGTCCCCAGCTGTGATATTGCTGGAATATTGTTAAAAGCGGCGTAAAACCATATTCACTCACTCTGAAGTCATTTAGTTAGATCTATATGTCATTCACACAAACTTCAGTCACAATTTTCTCTTCTTTTTTTTTCAATATTCTGAGACGAAGTCGCTACAAATGGATATTTAACCTAGACAAGGGGAAACCCTGATGGGAACAGACAAGCTGACTTTGTTAAAAAAAAAAAGTATTTACCTTAATATCACCGATGTTTTGTTCAATAACAAAGAGGAGAATCAAACCCAGGCATTGTGTGTGACAAGGGAACACCTCAACAACTGGGCTACGTCCTCTCCCCCTAGGGGATATGAGTGAGTGAGTATGGTTTTACGCTGCTTTTAGCAATATTCCAGCTATATCACGGCGGAGGACACCAGAAATGGGCTTCACACATTGTACCCATGTCGGGAATCGAACCCGGGTCTTCGGAGTGACGAGCGAACGCTTTAACCACTAGGCTACCCAACCGCCTCCCAGGGGATATGAAATACTGGGACCATGAAGTCTAATACAGGGCTCCAGATAACTTTTTCAGCAATTGAGTTTTTACTGTAGGGTTTCTATTTTAATTGGGTTATTATATTTTTCATTGGGTAACCAATATTTTTTCACTCATCTATTAATCACTCTATTGGGTTTCTCCCAAAATTAGTGAACATTTTAAGATTTTAAAAAGAAATATGAAAAATAATGTTTTAGATGTATATTACTGTTTTAAATAGGCTTGACCCGGAAAGTAAATTTGCTCGTAATTGTGTTTCGGAAATTGGTGTCGTTGTATGCATGCTGAAAAAGCTTCATTGGGAATTTACGCGACCTGTTTTTATACATTTGAGTTTTTCATTAAATGCATGCGTTTCTGTACACAGGTTAATTAAAAGTAATTGGGTTTTGAGAATTTGGGGGTGTATTTTACGGAAATACGCTGCTTATCTGTAGCTCTGCTAATAGCTCACCTGGTCAGCATGGCAGTGTAGGCTTCATTCTGCTTCTCTCTCTCCTTGTTCTTCCTGACGGCAGGAAAGATCTCCCTCTTAACTTTCATGAGATCCTCGACACTGAGGAAGGAGAGCTTGAGGTACTTCCGCTTCAACCCCACCAGGTGATTATGCTGAAACAGTAGCCAACATACTGACTGACTGGGATTTACCCAATCTCATTAAAATCAGATCTTAGTTCTCGCTGACGCTTAACAAAGATCTGAGGACATCCCATTACGGGTCACGTCATATCGACCTTTCGCAAACTCTGACCGACCAATAGAATTACTGAGCAAGAAGTCGACATTAGCCAATCAGAATGCAGCTTTCTCGTGCTTTACAGCACTTATTTCGACTATGCTTCGAAACAAATTCTCGCTTACAAATTTGAAACTCAAACATTCTCGAATGGCTAATATATGATCTAGATTGTATAGATTCAGTCATTAAGCTGGTGAATATCGCTCGGAATACCCCGTTTTAAAGTTTAAAGTTCAAGGCTGCAGGATGAGAAATCACATTCCAACTGTCACTTTCATGATCTGGTAAGCAACGCTCTGATTGGTTGGATGAAAGGTCGTTCTGACGTGACCCCTAATTGGATGTCCTCAGATCTTTGTTTAGCGGTAGGGAGAACTAAGATCTGATTTTAATGAGATTGGGATTTGCCAGGGGTATTAATTTTGGGGGTCCGAGGGACTGAAAGCCGTATTTGCTGACCCCTACATCTTTTAAAACAAAGACATGATGTATTAGACCTGTTACTCAAGACCCTGCACAAAATCAATTCTGTAAAATATCGTTATGCTGGGAGGAAGCTTTTTCTACTTTCTCCTCAGTCATAATTTTCAAGGCAAAGCACTGTAAACCACACTGACGTTTGGTTTAGTGCCATTTTCAACAATATTTCAATGCATGTTAGCTTGATGTGGGAGAACGCCCAAAGTAATGTAGGATGCATCTTCCCGAAGCAAGAGAGTCCAGTAGCCTTTTTATCAAAGTCTTGTTTCCACCCTTGCCACATCAAGCCCACTTTCCTGTGCTAAATATAATTGGACTATCACACATATCGATAGTCCAATCAGAGGACGTTTCACAAAATCAACATCCCCGACTGGTACACCTTCGTATGCAAGTGAATTACCGCTGCATGTTTTTGTTGACACAGATGTTTTTTCATCTTTAAAGCCCCCAACAATTCCCTATGTTTTTGTGCCAGGGATTAAATCGCGAATGCCATCTTTGTCAAGCGATACAAGATAAGAACAGCGATCTGATTGGATATCACGTTATCATTACAGGGGGCACAACTCGAGATCTACAGGAGGTGGCGCCAGGGTCGTGCCAAGAAAAGTGGCCTTGATGTGACAAGGGTAGAACCTTGGCTTTGATATAGGCTAGTGGACACGCTTGCCTCCGGAAGATGTGCAGGGCGTTGACCTCTCTGGTTATCGAACAAGGGTGAGGTGCTAGCAAACAAAGAGGTGAGGTGAGGTGAGGTGAAATGGGGTTTAACGTCGCATCCAAGATTATTGCACTTATATAGCGATGTGCATGCACGTGTGTGGCTGCTTGTACTAGTCCGGACTGATGCCGATTTATAGTGCTAGCTCACTGAGATACCATGCTGCAGTTTAACATGAATACCCAATTCAGACACAGTATACTGACTCCGAGCCGACCAGTCCTTGTTTTAGCCCCTTAATGCCGAGCGCCAGACAGGGTAACAACAAGTACCATCTTTTAACGTCTTTTGGTATGACGCGGTCGGGGATCGAACCCCAGACCTTCTGCTCCCTGGGCGGACACTCTACCAATAGACCACGGAGGCGGTTAACAAACAAAGAATCACAATCCGAATGAATCTTAAATTATGGCACGCTAAGGTACGCAATTCTGAATAGCAATTTCACAACAATCAGATTTACCAAGTCAAGATCTTCTTTCACAACACTTTCAATAGTGGCAATTTTCCCGGAGAACTTTCGTGTCAGAAATGAAGCCACCTCTCGCTCACAGTCCTGCTTTGTGGCCACGTAGAAGTAGGCCTTGAAAGGCAATGTCACCTAAAAAAACAAAAAAACGTCGCTCAAAAATTGGTAATCTGAGAAAATTTCAAATATTTAATGTCACTGACAGAGCAAACAAAATACAGAGCTCCAGATAAGCTGCGTATCTGTGTAAAATATGCATCAGAAAGGCAGAAATATGCAGTAAAATAAAACTTGTGCGTATCAAATAAGCAACGATTACAGATACGCTACAAAAATAAAACTTGTGCGTATCATCAAAATATTGTGAAGTAACCCTGCGTATTCGATTAGCAAATCAGCAACTTGTTTTGAAATTATAGACGGGCATTCCGTCAACCTTGCCAAACTCCACGATGACAGTTACATCATGATCATTTGCCACCACACTTTCTTGTGGAAGTATCGTGGTATTTTTGAGTCCTATAAAGCTCTCGAACCTACACGACACCAGTTTGCAGGGACTAGATGAATGGTGTTTTTAAATATTTAACTTAAATACCCACATGTGTAAAAACTAGTGGGTAACAGAAATTTGAATACCCAGATAGAATTACTGATACCCAATGAATTAAAATGCATGGGTAAAATACCCACAACACCAAAAGCTTATCTGGAGCTCTGAAAATAGTAATATATTCTACCTCTTTTATTCAAGAACATTTTGACAGGGCTTTTTTCTGAGCCTCTGAGTATATACTCTCAAGTTATCATCGACACTGGGTATTTATAGTTTTCTTTGGGTATTCAAAACATTTTAACTCCCTTGGGTTGATTGAGTATTTATAGACCAAAAATAGCCGATTTAATCACGAAAATCTTCAGGCTTTGGACGGCAAGACGCTACTACCCACACAACTGATTATGGATAGCTAACAATGAAGAGGACATGTGTTGAAAATCTGACAGCCAAAATACAGGATTCATGGCAATATATATCATATACCGTAATTGACATAATAAGCACCCAGGGCGCTCTCAAAATTAGAAATAGGGGGCTCTTTTTAGAATATTACTTAGGTGGAAAAAACAGAGTTGAAAGATAAATTTCGTGGTTTATGCTGACAGTCTGAACTGTTTATATACGACAGATACATTTTTCTAGAATATAAATGCCCATATTAAGGGTGCATATAACACACGAGTGCGTATTATACACGAACAAATAAGTCTTGTGTACCTTGATAAATTGGAAGGGGGGCTAATTGGGCTTGTTCACTAGCCAAAATATAAGCAAATATCGCCATGGGCGTTTATAAGAGCGGGGCGCTTATTACGTCGAATACGGTAACAGAATTACTCGCAGGTATTATGCAGATGATCCATATAACACTAAAATGAATTGTTTGATAGGCTTTACTTAGAAGTTGACGGATGACAAACAAAGTAGACACAATTTATGGATAACAACTTTTTTAACACTGTAAAGGCGACGTTTCGGTATAGATCCTTATACCGTTGACAAGCAAGGACAACGGTATAAGGATCTATACCGAAACATCGCTTTTTGCAGTATTAAAGAAGTTGTTATCCATAAATTGCACTAAAATGTACTGAAAATGATCCTGAGAGCCAGGAATTTCCAATGTCAATGCATTATGGCCGCACATACCTTAAAACGTGCTCCATCGTCCTGGATGAAATAATAATCAACAGCACTGACCAGTCGCTTATCTTCATCAAGCACATCCGTCTAAAACAAAACAATTAAAAAAGTCACAACAGTTTCTTGCTCATCAAAATTGCTACGTTTTCATTAAATCACATTAATTTTTTAAAAACTTTAGGTTTTAGTGTTTAACGTCGCTTTAACAGGTTTACAGTAATATCACCGCGAGTCAGCTTAATGTGGGAGGAAAGCCCGAAGTGATGCAGGTCTCAGACGTTTACCACTTTGGTGAAACCCACGAGCACGGGTATGGTGCTGACAAACCTTTTTGTTTGTTTGTTTGCTTGTTGTTTATCGCCACACTCAGCAATATTCCAGCTATAGTCTGGACCAGAGAATACAGTGATTGACATCGTGAGCATCGCTCCACGAAATTGTGATCGATGACATGTATCAACCAAGTCAGTGAGCCTGACCACCCAATCCCGTTAGTCGCCTTTTACGACAAGCATAGTCGCCTTTTACAGCAAGTATGGGTTGCTGTAGATCTATTCTACCCCAGTAGTCTTAGAATTATCTGCCAGACAGTCGAGCAGATGGAGGAAAATTTCATGCAGCCCCACAGAAAACTTACCAGCCACGGGCAGGCGGGCAAGCAGTTATATCAGACACTGGAGGCCTAAATCACGTGCATCTGACAATCTATGAACATAATAAAGGGCTGCTTTTTCTAATTCAGGCTTCAAAGTTACGACTAAAACCGTCGCCAATGCGACCTAAATTTCAATTTGTCTACTGTCTAAAATTCAGAGGTAGCCAAATGACTACCTTGAAAAATATCTTGTGGCGACTAACTTCTATTGCTACAGGTTGTAGACACAAAATAAACACGTCTGCTACTATTTGTACTCGCAAAATATTCCTCCTAAAGTCAACAATGAACCGAAATGCATAAATATTAATGTAATTAGTATTTTATTTTAGTTGTTAGTTTATTGGATTTTACCACTGGCTACCTGGAAGAAAATACTTGTAGCCATATGGCTACTTGGTAAAAATTTAAACTTTGTGGTCTGTAATTGACATGTAAAACTTAACTCTACACATCTACCGCAAGAGTGAGTGAGTGAGTTGGGTTTAACGCCGCTTTTAACAGTTTTCCAGTTATATCACCGCGTGTCAGCATAATGTTGGAGGAAAGCCCGAAGTGATGCAGGTCTCAGACGTTTACCACTTCGGTGAAACCCACGAGCACGGGTATGGTGGTGACAAACCTAGAAACATAATTGGGGCAAACCGGGATTCGAACCCACAATCATAGGTTTCTGGCTTGCCCAAGGGACGCAACTCTGCACAGCGAATCGCGGCGCCTTAGACGACTGGGCCACCCATGCCCCCTCTACCGCAAGAACACGCCATATATATATAATAAGGATGATGCGAACATTAAGCGAAATTCATGCATATTCATTGTCCAAACAACTCTTTGAGACTGAAGGACGAGAAGGAATGAAACAGCAAACGCGCAGGCTCGCTCGCCTGTTTTTTCCCCGCTCGCCTCGGTTCCACAACTTTAATGTCTTAGGGTTTCATTTCTAACTAGCATTTTTCCAACTGTGTCTCCCCGTTCTCAGGGAATTTATGTTTTAATTTGGCGGTAACGGACCATGTCATTTGAAACAGCTGCCATCTCCCGAGCATATATATTACTTCCGGTTCGTTACCGTCTGACTGTTGCAGTACTTCGCGCCTCTTGTCTTGATTGACAGCCCTATGAACTTTGTTTTTTACCATACTCTCAGTTGATTGGCTATTGACTGTGTAGGGGTGGCAAGTTATGTGCATAAATTAAACGGTCACCTGATTCATGTCACGCCACAGTATGTATTCCTGCACCCGGAATGTTTATCAATCTCGTCATTTTTGTCTGCTTTGATATATACAGCTGTTTTTGGTTAAACTGTTGTAGATAAAACATGTTTTCGTTGTCGAATTTAATAATAAGCATTGACTGTGTATTTGTAAACTTACAGGATGCATATTAATGAGCCAGCCTGTTTTCTCCTGGGGGTCCTTGTACCGATCAAACCCGAAGCGAAGGTCAATTTCATCATTCAAGGTCGCTCTGCTTAGTCGTTTTTCAGTGCTGTCTTCTCGCCTGGAGAAAAGAAACTATAATTATATTTTTAGGCCATGATATTGATTGTCAACAAACCAATAAAGGTTGTATTTGATGCAACTATAGCCGTGATAATAATGAAGTTGTTCTCCATAGTACACCTTGTGATTGCATCAAAATTGTTAATGCTGATCAAGACTCACAATCGAGAGAGTGAGTGAGTTGGGTTTAAACTAACACCTAGTTTCTAAAATGAACATACTTTACAGCGGTAGAAACTAACGTTTATGGTCCACTAGTCCTTATAATGATAACATATAGCAAAACCCTTAAAAATGGCAAATTTCTACTTGTCCCTATGATACCTTAACTGTTTGGCAAGGACTATAAGACTAGTGCCAATTTCTAACCCTGTTTTAAACATGTTAAAGAAAAAAAACAGTTGTTAAATCATACTTATAAAATATAATACAAAAGAAGACAAGAGATTTTCTTCATTTTCTGATACTGCTGTAATCTAGACTTGCCAAATATTATATTCTTGCATCAGCTGTATTGGATATATTTGTTTCAGGGTCTGCATGACAGACTAATCCAGGGGTTCATTTAACAAATTTGTCTGTTGCCATCATGGCTTGCTGCTTTTAAAAGTTACTGGCCCTTCTCCAAACTGACTGGCCTACAACTTAATGTGGAGACAGCAAAGTGGCTGAACCTGAGGTGGTATAGCCACCTAGCAGAGCTCTGAAAATTTGAGAACTCCTTACCCCAAAGACGTTTTTCCAGCACTCAAAGATAAAATCTAGGCTTCCATTTACCTCAATTCGTGGCGATTTATGATCAAATAAAGAAGCTGTTGTACACAACATTACAAAATGGCACCGGTTGTACTACTACCAGGGGCGGTTTGGTAGCCCAGTGGTTAAAGCGTTCACTTGTCACGCCGAAGACCCGGGTTCGATTCCCGACATGGGTACAATGTGTGAAGCCCATTTCTGGTGTCCCCCGCCGTGATGTTGCTAAAAGCTGTTTAAAACAATACACACTCACTCATTCTACCAAGATGATAATACTAAAAAAAATTAAACATTCACAGAGAAGGGGTGAAATTTGGACTCACCAGACAGGCCATCTACTTTATGTTTCAGCAAGCCCTTTGTAATTATAACTGGCCATGGGCCAACAGGCCAGTAGTTAAATCAACCCCTGCTAATCCTTAGCATATGAGCTGACAATGACCCTAGCTGCAGTAACTGCACCTCTGAGCTGCTCTATATAAACTCAGAGCTACAGATAAGATGTATATTTGCGTAAAATACCCCCAAAATTTATTCAGAACCCAATTACTTTCAATTAACTTGCGTACAGAAACACATGCATTAAATGGAAAACTCAATTGTTTGAAAAAAGCATGTGTAAATAACCAATGAAGCTTTTTTCAGCATGCGTACAACGGAGCTAATATCGGAAACAAAATTACGAGTTAATTTACTTTCTGAGTCAACATGGTCAACAGTCAGGGTGGCCTCTAGCCTACGCGGCAATTCAATTCCCATAACTCTGTGTAGAAATTCAATTTGGCCTGTTTTTACATTTATTCCACTTTTTGTTCATGTTGTTATCTCAAAAGTATTAACTGACATGAAGAAAGACACAAAGAGTAAAATACATTCATTATGTTTGTATTAGTGTACTTTTGAAAAATAATTAACAGTAATCTTGACTTAGAAAGGGAAAAAGGTCAAGCCTATTATTTCATTTATTTTTTTTATAACTCAAAATGCTTGCTCATTTTGGGAAAAAAACAATAGTGATGAATAGTTGAGTGAAACAATATTGGTTACCCAATGAAAAATGTAATAACCCAATGAAAATAGAAACCTTCGAGTAAAAACTCATATTTTCAAATTTTGCCAAAAAAGTTATCTGAAGCTCTGCATGCTAGGGTAAATTTGTGTACAGAGGAATTTGATGGAGTTGCTTTGTAGTGACTTTGAAATAAGCTAATGCAAAGTATGTTTCCTGACGATAATTAATCAATAATCATTGTGGGGTTTTCAACTTTTGGACCTGGTGTCACAATGTGACATGTAAAATGAAACATTTTGACTTTGTTTGTTGTTAAAACGCTGCACCAAGCAATATTCGTGCACTATGACAGCGGCCTGTAAACAATCGAGCAAGGCTGACACTGTTGAACAGCTGATTATTTTGGATGTTTATCATGTTTATAGCTTGTCAAACATTTAATAATACTATTCGACATTGCCATGATTACTGAAAACATGAAAATACACATAATCATGTTCATAAGTGATCTGATCGTAAATATCACTGACAATGTCAATGTTTTGACCTGTTCATGTGATTGTATTTCAGCCAAAACAAGACAATTCAACGCGAAAACGACAACATAACTAAAGATCATAAACTGCGATCCTACCCCGTGGAATCTCCGGAACCTTGATCCTTCTCGGACTTAAACCGGCCAGAGTTCTGTAGTACCATTTTGTGATCGTTGGTACTTATACGTTCATTATATCCTTTTGGTTAGCGAGTCCACACTTTGCTTACTTCAACTTTGGCGGGAAATAAACACAGTCCTTGACATTGGCTAAACTCTTTAAATGTTGTATTGGTCAAATATTGCGAACTATGAATCGGAATTAATCTAACCTCTAATCAAATATTTAATTTGCTACCTTGCTATAATATAGTTTAAAATAGTCCACTATTTTCGAGATAATTTCTGCAATATCGTTGTCAATCAGTAACTATAAAATCAGATATTGTCAATTTCGTTTCGCATTCTGTTATGTGTTATTTTCAACATGGCGGCGCCCATGAGAAGCGCACTACCTGCTCTTCTATCAACATTTTCAAGGTTTTTTTGCTGTGTTTCTTCGAGTGTAACAACTCTAACCCAGTTTCGAATAGAATAAACACAATGTATACAGTTAGATATGTGTGATCGTAGCTGGAAACCATAAGTGCATGTATACAATGATGCAGGCCAAACGCATATGTCAATATAAGATCTACATGTAGATCTAATATCCTTGCAATGCGGTGCGCAGAGTAAACTGGCTTCCTAAATTTTTTATTATTTTTTTGTTAGAGGCAAATTGGAGAGAAAGTTCGTGTTTTTCTTACGGATGAGGAAGGTACGAAGTACTTGGTGCCACCTTGATTAAGTTAGAAGCCAGTGTTAAAAAAACAACTAGATAATAGGGCTAGGACGGGTAACTAGGGTCGAGTTGGTACTAAGTAGGATAGGGGTACCCACATGACTATCGGGACCCGTGGTTAGTCACATGATTATATTGTTTAATGGCAAAAATTATCTAGAACGGCAACAATGCAGTTTACCCACCGCAGCCCGAGCTCTACCATCCGCTCAATTACCGCGCTATAGTTCCACCGCTGTCTCGCTATACCATTACCGTGCCTCACGCTCCGGTGACACCCATTTTCGGTCTAAGGGAAACTTCCACGTCTTTACAATCCAACCCCTTTTTCGGTCTTTGGGAAACTTACACGTCTGTATGATCCAACAACCTTTTTTGGGTCTTTAGGGTAGCTTGCTTTGGGCAAGGGTTAGCCATAAATTCTTACCTTTTCAAGCGTTAATCCGGTTAATCCGATTGGTCGGTCATGTTGACATAAACAATGGCGGATGTGGTTTCAAGAAAAGATGAATAGGAGAGCGGACCGTGACATCACACACATGCGCAATTCATTGTTTACTGAATTACGCATGCATGTTAATGGGGTGCTAATGACCGTTAAACGAGCACTGATTACATGTGATAGCGCTTGTGATCTAGCCACAGCGCTAATTGGATCTGAAAAAGTGCGCCAGGTCAAGTGCACTACTCCCTCTTGAACTCTATGGTTACACTATAAGTGACAAATGTTCACATTTCTTTCCGACTATGCCCACATTCCTTCTGACTTTATATGTTTGCATAAAGATAAAACTTCAGCCAACTTCAGCGTATGGATGGCCAGATCATTTTATACCTGTATCTAAATACATTTTGACAGGACTGCGGTCAAACGTTTCCAAATTGGACATTTTATACCTATCTCTTGAGACCTACAGCGGGTACCCGGGTAGGGTCGGGTAATAGGGAGTGGGTGCCCGGATAGTAAATTTGGACTCGTTCCAGGCCTACTAGATAACAATATGAAGGCCCAGGGGCCTATATGTAAATGCCTGGTTCAAGAAAGCCATAGCTCTCTCTCGCCTACCCAGAGTTACTTGAGGCCAGGGTAGTATGTCACATCTGACACAGTTCATTCATGTGTTTCATCTGTTTTATTTTGGATGAGTCTGCACATTAGGGGGGGCACGGGTGGCCCAGTCGTCTAAGGCGCCGCGATTAGCTGTGCAGAGTTGCGTCCCTTGGGCACGCCAGAAACCTATGATTGTGGGTTCGAATCACGGTTCGCCCCGGTTATGTTTCTAGGTTTGTCAACACCAAACCCGTGCTTGTGGGTTTCAACGAAGTGGTAGACATCTGAGACCTGCATCACTTCGGGCTTTCCTCCCACAATAAGCTGACACGCCGCGATATAACTGTAATACTGTTAAAAGTGTCGTTAATCCCAATTCACTCACTCACTGCACATTAGGTACACAAACCTTTCATTGAGCTTGTTGAGAAAGTATCATAAAACGGGAAAAACTATTTCCATTTGCATATTTATCCTCTACTTGTGTCATTAAAGCCCTACGGAGAGCTAGTGATATGGTCACTTTGATGAGTGAAGTTATATTGTCATGCACCTCACTGACACAGTTGTAGTGGTATATCTGTATAATTTTGCCAAACAAAAATATGCACCGAAAGGCCTGCATAAGGAAAGTGTGTTTGTCTGAAAATAAGCAATGATAAAAGAAAACTCTGGTCACATGATAACTTTACATTTGTGGTGTGACCGCAGGAACAGAACATTCTGTCCCGGAAGAAAGAGAGCAGAAAACAAAGCTTCAGAATGATCAACGCCCTGTCCCTTTAAGTGGTACCAAATCATGAAATAGCAGCATTCTTTCCTAAACATGCAACCCGTGAAGATCTGGGGTAGAATAGGTCTTCAGCAATCCATGCTTGCTGTAAAAGGCGACTATGCTTGGCGCAAGAGGCGACAAAAGGGATCGGGTGGTCAGGCTCGTTGACTTGGTTGATGCATGTGTTGTATCCCAATTGCGTGGATCAATGTTCATGATGTCAATCACTAGATTGTCTGGTCCGGACTCAATTATTTACTGAACGCCGTCATACAGCTGGAATATTGCTGAGAGCGGCGTGAAACAACAAACCAAAACCTAAACATGCGTTCAAATTTTCTACATCACAGAGAATGTGATCTGCAATTTTTTGTGCGGAAGTTTTCAGTTTTTATGCACATAGGATGCAGAATTTTGCATCCAGTAAATCCTTGATAATCCCCAGTAAATCCTTGATGATCCTCAGTTAATCCTTGATAATCCTCAGTAAATCCTTGATGATCCTCTGTAAATCCTTGATGATTCTCAGTAAATCCTTGATAATTCTCAGTAAATCCTTGATGATCCTCAGTAAATCCTTGATGATCCTCAGTAAATCCTTGATGATCCTCAGTAAATCCTTGATGATCCTCAGTAAATCCTTGATGATTCTCAGTAAATCCTTGATGATCCTCAGTAAATCCTTGATGATTCTCAGTAAATCCTTGATGATCCTCAGTAAATCCTTGATGATCCTCAGTAAATCCTTGATGATTCTCAGTAAATCCTTGATGATCCTCAGTAAATCCTTGATGATTCTCAGTAAATCCTTGATGATCCTCAGTAAATCCTTGATGATCCTCAGTTAATCCTTGATGATTCTCAGTAAATCCTTGATGATCCTCAGTAAATCCTTGATGATCCTCAGTAAATCCTTGATGATCCTCAGTTAATCCTTGATAATCCTCAGTAAATCCTTGATGATCCTCAGTAAATCCTTGATGATTCTCAGTAAATCCTTGATGATTCTCAGTAAATCCTTGATGATCCACAGTAAATCCTTGATGATCCTCAGTAAATCCTTGATGATCCTCAGTAAATCCTTGATGATTCTCAGTAAATCCTTGATGATCCTCAGTAAATCCTTGATGATCCTCAGTAAATCCTTGATGATTCTCAGTAAATCCTTGATGATCCTCAGTTAATCCTTGATGATTCTCAGTAAATCCTTGATGATCCTCAGTAAATCCTTGATGATCCTCAGTAAATCCTTGATGATCCTCAGTAAATCCTTGATGATTCTCAGTAAATCCTTGATGATCCTCAGTAAATCCTTGATGATCCTCACTAAATCCTTGATGATTCTCACTAAATCCTTGATGATCCTCAGTAAATCCTTGATGATCCTCAGTAAATCCTTGATGATCCTTAAGGTTAGGCACCCTTTGCCATTACTTTGAAGTAATATTAAAACCATCTCACTCACTTCTCTTTTCAGACTAAGTTTGGGTGGACTGAAGACATCCAGATGCGTTCACACTCAGGTGTGCCCTCTACTCTTCAGGACCTCCAGTCAAGTCTGGTGAGACACAGGCTTGCGGTGCCCAAGATAAGGGCTGTATCTTCATCCAGGGATAATTTTTATTAAAAATTTTTTTACATTTTTTTTTATTGTTCCCAGAGTTGAAGATTAATACAATATTTCGTCAAAAACATAGTTTGGATAGCATAGAATGGCACAATACACTCATTAAAAAATTAAAGGGTTGGAAACAAACATTGTCCTATTTCAAAGGGTTGCAACACACAATCAGACCCAAACATGGCATGTATCAACAGAGAGCTAAGAATCAAATACTGACAATAAAGGTGACCATTTTCTGGTAAAGTTATTTTTGTCATCCTTTTTTATAGCAATAAATTATCCAGGGATAAAATTTAAGAATAATCAACTAGCTACAAGGAAATACAGATCAGTCTGTCCTGAGTGTATGAATGGTGTCGTTCTCGAGCCTTCGGAAAGTAACCCTTGAAGATCCGGGGTAGAATAGGTCATCAGCAACCCATGCTTGCCGTAAAAGGTGACTTTGCTTGTCATAAGGGGCGTCTAACGGGATCGGGTGGTCAGGTGCGCTGACTTGGTTGATGCATGTCATCGAATCCCAATTGCATGGATCGATGCTCATGATATCAATCACTGGATTGTCTGGTCCAGGCTCAATTATTTACAGACTGCTGTCAAAAAGCTGGAATATTGCTGAGTATGGCATTAAACAACAAACACAGTGTTTGAAAATAAATACAAATTCCAGGCGGCCATCAGGACCCACAGACATTAGAAGCTGAGAGCACTTACTAAACCCTTAAGGCCCTCATTTAGAAACTGCAGGTGATGTAAATTTACCGAAGGCCATCAGGACCCACAGACATTAGAAGCTGAGAGCACTTACTAAACCCTTAAGGCCCTCATTTAGAAACTGCAGGTGATGTAAATTTACCGAAGGCCATCAGGACCCACAGACATTAGAAGCTGAGAGCACTTACTAAACCCTTAAGGCCCTCATTTAGAAACTGCAGGTGATGTAAATTTACCGAAGGCCATCAGGACCCACAGACATTAGAAGCTGAGAGCACTTACTAAACCCTTAAGGCCCTCATTTAGAAACTGCAGGTGATGTAAATTTACCGAAGGCCATCAGGACCCACAGACATTAGAAGCTGAGAGCACTTACTAAACCCTTAAGGCCCTCATTTAGAAACTGCAGGTGATGTAAATTTACCGAAGGCCATCAGGACCCACAGACATTAGAAGCTGAGAGCCCTTACTAAACCCTTAAGGCCCTCATTTAGAAACTGCAGGTGATGTAAATTTACCGAAGGCCATCAGGACCCACAGACATTAGAAGCTGAGAGCCCTTACTAAACCCTTAAGGCCCTCATTTAGAAACTGCAGGTGATGTAAATTTACCGAAGGCCATCAGGACCCACAGACATTAGAAGCTGAGAGCCCTGACTAAACCCTTAAGGCCCTCATTTAGAAACTGCAGGTGATGTAAATTTACCGAAGGCCATCAGGACCCACAGACATTAGAAGCTGAGAGCCCTTACTAAACCCTTAAGGCCCTCATTTAGAAACTGCAGGTGATGTAAATTTACCGAAGGCCATCAGGACCCACAGACATTAGAAGCTGAGAGCCCTGACTAAACCCTTAAGGCCCTCATTTAGAAACTGCAGGTGATGTAAATTTACCGAAGGCCATAAGGACCCATACAAATTTGAAGATCTACCTGCCACGGGCCTCTGGGCAGGTGATTATTTCAAACACTGAACAGGGGGCACGGGTGGCCGCAATGCGCTGTACAGAGTTGTATCCCTTGGGCCCGCCAGAAACCTATGATTGTGGGTTCGAATCCCAGTTCGCCCCCGATTATGTTTCTATGTTTGTCAGCACCATACCCGTGCTTGTGGGTTTCACCGAAGTGGTAAACTTCACTTCAGGCTTTCCTCCCACATTAAGCTGACACGCCGCATATAACTGGAATACTGTAAAAAGCGGCGTTAAACCCAACTCAGTCACTCACTCACTCACTCACTCACTCACTCGAACACTGATTAACAAACAAACCATTGGCGAGGGGCAATTCATAGATAGATAACCTTTAATTCCAAGTAAGGTATTTTATTTAATACTCATTGACATTTTAAGAGAGAAAATGAAGAAAAATTATGATATGTCAACCTTTCAGATAAACATCACTGAAGCCTCATGATGTCATGTAATCAGTTTGTGGCGTCATGAACAATGCATGACAGTTGTTTTTGAGAGTGCCGCAGGATGTGCCCTTTGAAATTTAAGTGTGCAAGCAAGAAATATACTTTTGATCCATGATCTACTTTAGTTTTGATTCGTCACATAGGTAAAATATGTGGACCCCTTGTTTCCCCTGCCATGATATTGCTGGAATATTGCTAAAAGTGGCGTAAACCCATATTCACTCACTTCGACTTTTAAATGCCTATCAAAGACTTGATCAGGGTTATGACCAGACCCCACTTGCACAAAGCGATCTTAGCGCTAAGATGATCGTCACTCCTACACTTTAACATAGGCTTACAATAGTTGTAGAACTAAGATCGCTTTGTGCAAGTGGATCCAGGGTCCCGTTCCACAAAGCCATCTTAGCGCTAAGACGATCTTAACTCCCATACTTAAACATAGCTTTACGATGGTTGTAGCGCTAAGATCGCTTTGTGCAAGTGGATCCTGGATCCCTTGATATCATCAAGTTCAACATTGCTTAAAAGCAACCAATGTGTTTCCTAATGATAAGTTGATGGCCTTGACCTTTACAGGGCTGCTCCGATGAAGAAGAAGAAGAAAGCAGACTCGGCAACAATCATAGCTCGGGAGACGAAGAGGAAGAAGAAGTTTGAACGACAGATAAAGAGGCTGGAGAAGTATGGCCGGCAACTGAAACCAATTGAAGAAATTGTTGGAGATGCCCAAATCAAGGCTGATATTGAGTAAGGATCTGTGCTGTGATTGTAGATTACTTGTTTGTTGTTTAACGCCGCACTCGGCAATATTCCAGCTATGTGACGGCGTTAGGTAAATAATCGAGTCTGGACCCGACAATCTAGTGATTGGCATCATAACCGTCAATCTACGCAATTGGGATATGATAACCTGCATCAACCAAGTCAGCGTGCCTGACCACCCGATCCCATGAGTCGCCTCTTATGACAAGCATAGTCACCTCTTATGACAAGCATGGGTTACTGAAGAGGTTAGAATAGGTCCCCAGCAAACAATGCTGGTCATAAGAGAGGCAACCTCTCTCTCTCCTTCCCTCCCTCCATTCCCCCTCCCCCCATTCCCCCCTCCCCCACTTCCCTCCCTCCATTCCCCCTCCCCCTCTCTTACATCCCCTTTGGAATTTAAAGTTAGAATAGGTCTCCGGCAAAATAGGCTGGCCATAAGAATACACATTTGATTATGTATTTGTTGTAAACATCAAGCATGTTAACACTGTTTCACTCTCACCTCTCTCCCAGGTCACGTAGACGTGAGAAGACGGTGATGACGTTTGAGGACAGTGAGTCCCGGGCACTACTGACGAAAGACTGGACCCGTTACTGCATGACCAGACACCAACACGAGCTGACGGCCATCAGGGCGGCGATGAAGTCCCAGCAGAGGGCGCTAGATAGTCTTCTGGAAGAATCAGAGGAACTTTACCAGAAAGCAATCCAGGTAGCCCTGAATATACTAACTATATCGTCCACTCCAGATATTGCCTTGCATATATCTTCCACACCTTATAATTCCCTTATAATTATAATGCCTGAATATATCTTCCACTCCTTATAATGCCCAGAACACACTGACTATATCTTCCACTCTATATTTCGCCCTGAATATATCTTCCACTCCTTATAATGCCCAGAACACACTGACTACATCTTCCACTCTATATTTCGCCCTGAATATATCTTCCACTCCTTATAATGCCCAGAACACACTGACTATATCTTCCACTCTATATTTCGCCCTGAATATATCTTCCACTCCTTATAATGCCCAGAACACACTGACTATATCTTCCACTCTATATTTCGCCCTGAATATATCTTCCACTCCTTATAATGCCCTGAACACACTGACTACATCTTCCACTCTATATCTTCCACTCTATACTTCGCCTTGAATATATCTTCCGCTCCTTATAATGCCCAGAACACTATGACTATATCTTCCACTCTATATCATGCCCTGAATATATCTTCAACTCTATATATCGCCCTGAATATATCTTCCACTCCTTATAATGCCCTGAACACTATGACTATATCTTCCACTCTATATTTCGCCCTGAATATATCTTCCGCTCCTTATAATGCCCTGAACACACTGACTACATCTTCCACTCTATATCATGCCCTGAATATATCTTCCGCTCCTTATAATGCCCAGAACACACTAACTATATCGTCCACTCCAGATATTGCCTTGCATATATCTTCCACACCTTATAATTCCCTTATAATTATACTTCCTGAATATATCTTTCACTCCTTATAATGCCCAGAACACACTGACTATATCTTCCACTCTATATTTCGCCCTGAATATATCTTCCACTCCTTATAATGCCCTGAACACACTGACTACATCTTCCACTCTATACTTCGCCTTGAATATATCTTCCGCTCCTTATAATGCCCTGAACACACTGACTATATCTTCCACTCTATATTTCGCCTTGAATATATCTTCCGCTCCTTATAATGCCCAGAACACTATGACTATATCTTCCACTCTATATCATGCCCTGAATATATCTTCAACTCTATATATCGCCCTGAATATATCTTCCACACCTTATAATGCCCTGAACACTATGACTATATCTTCCACTCTATATTTCGCCCTGAATATATCTTCCACACCTTATAATGCCCTGAACACACTGACTAGATCTTCCACTCTATACTTCGCCCTGAATATATCTTCCGCTCCTTATAATGCCCAGAACACACTGACTACATCTTCCACTCTATACTTCGCCCTGAATATATCTTCCACTCCTTATAATGCCCAGAACACACTGACTACATCTTCCACTCTATACTTCGCCCTGAATATATCTTCCGCTCCTTATAATGCCCAGAACACACTGACTATATCGTCCACTCCAGATATTGCCTTGCATATATCTTCCACACCTTATAATTCCCTTATAATTATACTTCCTGAATATATCTTTCACTCCTTATAATGCCCAGAACACACTGACTATATCTTCCACTCTATATTTCGCCCCGAATATATCTTCCGCTCCTTATAATGCCATGAACACACTGAATATATCTTCCACTCTATATTTCGCCCTGAATATATCTTCCGCTCCTTATAATGCCATGAACACACTGACTATATCTTCCACTCTATATTTCGCCCTGAATATATCTTCCGCTCCTTATAATGCCCTGAACACACTGACTACATCTTCCACTCTATATCATGCCCTGAATATATCTTCCGCTCCTTATAATGCCCAGAACACACTAACTATATCGTCCACTCCAGATATTGCCTTGCATATATCTTCCACACCTTATAATTCCCTTATAATTATACTTCCTGAATATATCTTTCACTCCTTATAATGCCCAGAACACACTGACTATATCTTCCACTCTATATTTCGCCCTGAATATATCTTCCACTCCTTATAATGCCCTGAACACACTGACTACATCTTCCACTCTATACTTCGCCTTGAATATATCTTCCGCTCCTTATAATGCCCTGAACACACTGACTATATCTTCCACTCTATATTTCGCCTTGAATATATCTTCCGCTCCTTATAATGCCCAGAACACTATGACTATATCTTCCACTCTATATCATGCCCTGAATATATCTTCAACTCTATATATCACCCTGAATATATCTTCCACACCTTATAATGCCCTGAACACTATGACTATATCTTCCACTCTATATTTCGCCCTGAATATATCTTCCACACCTTATAATGCCCTGAACACACTGACTAGATCTTCCACTCTATACTTCGCCCTGAATATATCTTCCGCTCCTTATAATGCCCAGAACACACTGACTACATCTTCCACTCTATACTTCGCCCTGAATATATCTTCCACTCCTTATAATGCCCAGAACACACTGACTACATCTTCCACTCTATACTTCGCCCTGAATATATCTTCCACTCCTTATAATGCCCAGAACACACTGACTACATCTTCCACTCTATACTTCGCCCTGAATATATCTTCCGCTCCTTATAATGCCCAGAACACACTGACTATATCGTCCACTCCAGATATTGCCTTGCATATATCTTCCACACCTTATAATTCCCTTATAATTATACTTCCTGAATATATCTTTCACTCCTTATAATGCCCAGAACACACTGACTATATCGTCCACTCCAGATATTGCCTTGCATATATCTTCCACACCTTATAATTCCCTTATAATTATACTTCCTGAATATATCTTTCACTCCTTATAATGCCCTGAACACACTGACTAGATCTTCCACTCTATACTTCGCCCTGAATATATCTTCCGCTCCTTATAATGCCCAGAACACACTGACTACATCTTCCACTCTATACTTCGCCCTGAATATATCTTCCGCTCCTTATAATGCCATGAAGACACTGAATATATCTTCCACTCTATATTTCGCCCTGAATATATCTTTCACTGTTTATAATGCCCAGAACACACTGACTATATCTTCCACTCTATATTTCGCCCTGAATATATCTTCCACTCCTTATAATGCCCTGAACACTATGACTATATCTTCCACTCTATATTTCGCCCTGAATATATCTTCCACTCCTTATAATGCCCAGAACACACTGACTACATCTTCCACTCTATATATCGCCCTGAATATATCTTCCGCTCCTTATAATGCCCTGAACACACTGACTACATCTTCCACTCTATACTTCGCCCTGAATATATCTTCCGCTCCTTATAATGCCCAGAACACACTGACTATATCTTCCACTCTATATTTCGCCCCGAATATATCTTCCGCTCCTTATAATGCCCAGAACTCACTGACTATATCTTCCACTCTATATTTCGCCCCGAATATATCTTCCACTCTATATATCACCCTGAATATATCTTCCGCTCCTTATGATGCCCAGAACACACTGACAATATCTTCCACTCTATATTTCGCCCTGAATATATCTTCCGCTCCTTATAATGCCCAGAACACACTGACTATATCTTCCACTCTATATTTCACCCTGAATATATCTTCCGCTCCTTATAATGCCCAGAACACACTGACTATATCTTCCACTCTATATTTCACCCTGAATATATCTTCCGCTCCTTATAATGCCCAGAACACACTGACTATATCTTCCACTCTATATTTCACCCTGAATATATCTTCCGCTCCTTATAATGCCCAGAACACACTGACTATATCTTCCACTCTATATTTCACCCTGAATATATCTTCCGCTCCTTATAATGCCCAGAACACACTGACTATATCTTCCACTCTATATTTCGCCCTGAATATATCTTCCGCTCCTTATAATGCCCAGAACACACTGACTATATCTTCCACTCTATATTTCACCCTGAATATATCTTCCGCTCCTTATAATGCCCAGAACACACTGACTATATCTTCCACTCTATATTTCACCCTGAATATATCTTCCGCTCCTTATAATGCCATGAACACACTGACTACATCTTCCACTCTATTTTTCTATGTTATATACACTGAATGTGTCTTCGCTCCACAGATCGATGAGATGCTTCTCCCCCTAGAGATGAAGGGCCCTGTCGAGACTCCACCAATCAAAGATTATGACCCTGTTGATGGAGACTACCTAGACACAACCAAGAGGTATGACAGGTGAAGAGGAGGAACCTTGGATACAGTGATCATCAGACAACAGTGCAGGTCATTGGAAGGACCAGCTTGCCTCATTGGCACAAAGGGCCTGGGAAAATCTGGGGTAGAATAGGTCTTCAGCAACCCAAGGTGACTATGCTTGTCGTAAGAGGCGACTAACGGGATCGGGTGGTCAGGCTCGTTGACTTGGTTGATGCATGTCGTCGTATCACAATTGCGTGGATCGTGCTCATGTTGTCAATCACTCGATTGTCTGGTCCAGACTCGATTACCTACAGACCGCCGTCATACAGCTGGAATATTGCTGTGTGTGGCGTTACACAACAAACAAACAAACAAACAAACATTGGCACAAAGTCTCCAAAGCATCCTGAAGATATAATAAACTGACTATTAGACTTTCGTTCACATTGTCAAGAATGCAGGCATATTGTTTCTATTGTTTGATTAGGTTTGGTTGGTTTGTTGTTTAACGCAAGCATGGGTTACTGAAGACCTTTTTCAACCAGGATCTTCACTTGTTTGACTATTGACACTGAAGGATACTGAAGGATAACGTGTACTTTAGGAAACAGGATGTTAGGAAGTATTTATGTAATGCTGTACTGACTTGTTTGACCGTGTGTGGAAGTGAATAAAAGAAATATGCCTCCTTGCTTGTTTCTTTCTTGAAGCTCTGGGTGGGGAGGAAGCCTTGTGGTTAAAGAGTTCTCTCGTCACAATGAAAACCCGGGTTCTGCTCTCCACATGGGTAGAATGTGTGAAGCCCATGTCTCCTGTGCCCCGCCATGAGATTGCTGGAATATTGCTAAAAGAGGTGCACTCACTCACTCACTCACTCACTCACTCACTCACTCACTTCATCACTCACTCACTCACTCACTCTGCCAAGGTTCCTACAGGCTTGAAAAGCCTTGAATTTTTATGTCCCTCTTGAAAAGCCTTGATTGTTGGTGTCAACCTTGGAAAGCCTTGATTGTTGGTGTCGAGCTTGGAAAGCCTTGATTGTTGGTGTCGAGCTTGAAAAGCCTTGATTGTTGGTGTCGAGCTTAGAAAGACTTGATTGTTGGTGTCGAGCTTGGAAAGCCTTGATTGTTGGTGTCGAGCTTGGAAAGACTTGATTGTTGGTGTCGACCTTGGAAAGCCTTGATTGTTGGTGTCGACCTTGGAAAGCCTTGATTGTTGGTGTCGAGCTTGGAAAGACTTGATTGTTGGTGTCGACCTTGGAAAGCCTTGATTGTTGGTGTCGACCTTGGAAAGCCTTGATTGTTAGTGTCGACCTTGGAAAGCCTTAATTGTTGGTGTCGAGCTTGAAAAGCCTTGATTGTTGGTGTCGACCTTGAAAAGCCTTGATTGTTGGTGTCGACCTTGGAAAGCCTTGATTGTTGGTGTCGACCTTGGAAAGCCTTGATTGTTGGTGTCGACCTTGGAAAGCCTTGATTGTTGGTGTTGAGCTTGGAAAGCCTTGATTGTTAGTGTCGACCTTGGAAAGCCTTGATTGTTGGTGTCGAGCTTGGAAAGCCTTGATTGTTGGTGTCGACCTTGGAAAGCCTTGATTGTTGGTGTCGAGCTTGGAAAGCCTTGATTGTTGGTGTCGACCTTGGAAAGCCTTGATTGTTGGTGTCGAGCTTGGAAAGCCTTGATTGTTGGTGTCGACCTTGGAAAGCCTTGATTGTTGGTGTCGAGCTTGGAAAGCCTTGATTGTTGGTGTCGACCTTGGAAAGCCTTGATTGTTGGTGTCGAGCTTGGAAAGCCTTGATTGTTGGTGTCGACCTTGGAAAGCCTTGATTGTTGGTGTCGAGCTTGGAAAGACTTGATTGTTGGTGTCGACCTTGGAAAGCCTTGATTGTTGGTGTCGACCTTGGATAGCCTTGATTGTTAGTTTCTAGTGCCAGCCCACTGAGATACCATGACACTACTAATATTTGACATGAATACCCAACTCAGACACAGTATACCGACCCGAGCCGGCCTTTCCTTGTTTTAAATATAATCCGAGTGCCAGACAGGGTAACAACAAATAACCTATTTTGATGTCTTGTGGTTTGACGTGGCCAGGTGATTGAATCAACAACCTCCCGTTCTCCGGACAGACATTCTATTCACAAGACCTCTTCAACGATCTAATATGATATTTCTGTAAACTCTGGTCATTGAGGACCGACAATTTGAGAATTATTGATGGGCGTAAGTGGGGACTTCATGGACTGTGGGGGCGGCCGGGTAGCCTAGTGGTTAAAGCTATCGCTCGTCACGCCGAAGACCCGGGTTCAAATCCTGACATGGGTACAATGTGTGAAGCCCATTTCTTGTGTCTCCCGCCGTGATATTGCTGGAATATTGCTAAAAGCGGCGTAAAACCATACTCACTCACTCATTATTTACCCCCTAACTAAGAATGACAATTACCTAACAACGGTGTCGATCTGGCGTCTTTATACAATGACGACATCGTCCGTTGGTTATTGTTACATATGGTGTGGACAAAATATACAATGTCATTCTTATTTCATTAGATCATTGACACAAAGACTAAAAGATATATATTTACAAAATTGGTCTCAATCTGTATCTGAATCAAACAAATGTATTTATTACAACATGGTCAAAATTATTTATATCCAGAACAGTATACTTAAGAATTGACCTTCACTTTGTGTGAGTTCATTGGAGTATGAACCTTCATAGAGTGAGGGCCAAACTGTATGAACGTCGGAGCTTGCGATCTAGGCACGGATCGAGTCGATACTACGATAGTTTAGATGTGCATTTCTTCGTTTGTTCATTAGGATAGGCCGTAGCGAGGATATTCGTGAACAATCATGCAGTCACGCTCTCTGACATTTCTCAATATATACTGAAACGCTGAGACCAAGAATAAAGGTTCAAAATGATCAGAAAGAACGCTTATGTATGTTTTCGTGCAAGGGAATTCCAAGGGATTTCCCCAGGAATGTGGAAGTAGTCCGCCAGTGTTTACGTCATTTCAAGAACACGGTCTCGTGAAAAACGTATGAACGTTAAATTGTGTCGTTCATACACTTATGAACGTCAATTTCGCGGTCATGTGACCGTCCTCTCGTCCAATGGAAAAGCCGTATATCGTGTAAACTTCAAATTAAAAACATTATTAGTATGTCTTTCGAAGTTGTTCGCATGACCTATGTATTGAAACTGGGCGTTACATGGGTTTTAGAAGAGAAGAACGAATTTGTCACTTGTGCGCCCTAAATGACATTGAAGATGAATACCACTTCCTTTTTATATGCCCATTTTTTGCAACATTAAGGGCTAAGTACATACCTGAATATTACTATGTCAATCCCAATTTCTTTCAATTCCCATCTCTGTTAAACATCTCGAAGTACTTACTTTTACAAAATGTATCAATGTACATCTATCATGCAATGAGACACATGAAAAATATTATCTTATAGACTCTACTGCTCTGAATGTACTACAGTAAACTACGGTTATAACGAACTCAAAGGGACCACTAATTTTAATTCGTTATAACCGTAGTTCGTTATAAGCATATATACAGCATATATACATCAAATGGCCGGGACTAAAAAATAAGTTCGTTATATCGGTCAGTTCGTTATAAGCGTGTTCGTTATAACCGTAGTTTACTGTAATTATAAGCCTGTGGTCGGGAACTACATGCCAGATGGTTGTGTTTTTTCTTATAGGAATGTGTACGTACTTCCTTTCATAGTGATCGGACCCGTGAAGATCCGGGGTAGAATAGGTCTTCAGCAACCCATGCTTGCCGTAAAAGGTGACTATGCTTGTCGTAAAAGGCGACTAACGGGATCGGGTGGTCAGGCTTGCTGACTTGGTTGATGCATGTCATCGATCCCAATTGCGTGGATCGATGATCATGATATTAATCACTGGATTGTCTGGTCCAGACTCGAATACTTACAGACCGCCGTGATATAACTGGGATATTGCTGAGTGCGGCGTTAAACAACAAACCAACCAACCAACCAACCAACCAAATCATAGTGATCGGACAGTAGCAGACCACTCACATACAACTAAGAGGTGAGTGAGTGAGTTGGGTTTAACGCCGCTTTTAACAGTATTCCAGTTATATCGCGGCGTGTCAGCTTAATGTGGGTGGAAAGCCCGAAGTGATGCAGGTCCCAGACGTTTACCACTTCGGTGAAACCCACGAGCACGGGTATGGTGCTGACAAACCTAGAAACATAATCGGGGCGAACCGGGATTCGAACCCACAATCATAGGTTTCTGGCGTGCCCAAGGGACGCAACTCTGCACAGCGAATCGCGGCGCCTTAGATGACTGGGCCACCCTTGCCCCCTACAACTGAGAGGGAGTATGAGAAAGATGAAAGGGCGGGAAAGAGAAAGAAGATAATTTCGGATCAGTCCAGGTGCAATATGTTTGTGTATCGTCTAATGATCAGTGAAGCATCGTGTTAACTTCCATTAACAAAACAAACTAAGGATCAAAACGAGGTAGACACTAATCTATAAAAATTGAATATACAGGCACAGAAACGTGACATTGGAGAAACCTGTACCCAAAGGTGTCAGAATCTGGACACGCAGTCTACAGTAAACAGTTTGTTCAGCAGACATCAATAAGCTTTTATCTGGGATCACCTGGACTAACAGCGATCCGACACGACCTACTTATATAACCACTATGTCAATTAAGGCTATAAAGTCCGACCCAAATCATCGTCAAACACATTATGCTTGTCGCCATGTCTCGAGTGATCATTGCGTTGGTTCTGGTCCTATGCTGCGCTCTGACGGCGTCCGCTGTCAACTTTCAACGTACCATCGTCGCCATCTCCAAGTACACCGACTGGGGTCAGAACATCTTTCTTCGGGGAGGACATGGTGATGAGAGCATCCGCATCAGACATGAGGTAAAGACCCAGTATCCCCAAGGCTTTTTCGATCAGACCTCCGAAGGGGACCTCTATCTGGGATGGGGAGGCGCCGAGGAGACTCAGGGCAGATACAACAGGAACACGGTTGCCCAGGGCACTCCTATGATGCACACAACAAATGACCAGTAAGTGGACATATTTCTAAAGGAGCCAGGGTATCATTTTCAGTAAGTCTGCCTGAGCAGTATGGTATTTACTTCATGGTGATTGGCTAGTTCACGCCAAATGTTCCATTTTGGGATTGTTCGCGAAGTGGTCGAAAGCAACATGTCGACATATGGACGCTTTGTTAATGGCGACACAGTCGGTTTTATGTGAAGTCGTTTTAAAAAAATGACTGACATTTTCAAATAATTTTGTGTATAGTGAAGAGTTTCCCTTAAAAACAATTAATAAACTACACTACTGACGGCCGAAATCAATCTCGACTGTGCGCTATTTATGATGAGTGAGCAGATGAGTGAGCGAGTGAGTTTGGTTTAACGCTGATTTTAACAGTATTACAGTTATATCACGGCGAGTCAGCTTAATGTGGGAGGAAAGCCTGAAGTGATGCAGGCCTCAAGATCGTCTTGACTGCGTGCTTCTGCAAATGCATCTCATTAAAATCAGATCTTAGTTCTCGCTACCGCTAAACAAAGATCTGAGGACATCCCATTATACGGGTCACGTCAGACCGACCTTGTGCGAACTTTGACCGACCAACGGAATGACCAATCAGAAGGCAGCTTTCTCGTGCTTTACGGCACTAATTTCAAATTGGCGACTACGCTTCGAAACGTATTTTGACAAATATTCGATTACACATTTGAAACCTGAACAAAATAACATTCTGGAATGGCTAATAGATAGTCTAGATTGTATGGATTCAGTCGTTAAACCCGTAACTATCGTTCGGAGTAAAGTTTTCGAGGTTGCATGATTAGAAATTACATTCCGACTGTCACTTTCATAATCTGGTAAGCGATGCTCTGATTGGTCGCATGAAAGGTCGTTCTGACATGACCCCTAATGGGATGTCCTCAGATCTTTGTTTAGCGGTAGCGAGAACTGAGGCCTGATTTTAATGAGATTGCACGTCCAGCAACTTGAATATACAAAGGTGTTCTACCTAGTTCTCCACATACCAGAAAGTTAGGGGTAGAGTTTAAAAGGCCACACGCCAGCTTAAGAAATTTGACGTGAATCTTTTCAATACCATCCATGTGTCCATATCCCCATTTTTCGCAAACAAATATTAGATAATGTAAAATTAGTACACCAAAACCTTTGACTAGGCAATCTAATAGCATATTTAAATTTCTGGATTTTTAAGGAGGTGAGCAGTCTTAGATGCGCTTTCTGTCAAAATATTTATTGCCGTCTTAAAAATTCTATTTCTACTGAAGGTATCGCCCAGATATGTATGATCATTCACAATTTCTAGCTCAGTGTTTCCATAGTGGAAGGATAATTTACTATTTCTCGATATCTCCCAAATATATGTATCTTTGCTTTGTTCAAATTCACATCTAAATTCCATATATCACGGCATACAACAGAATGATAAAACATAGACGCAAATTTGCATAATTACAGTCACCAATTGAAACGCTTGCCGGTCATAGTCAAGTAAAAGTGTTTTAAGATCATTAATAAGCAGACAAAAAAGAGGTGTCTATAAGTTGTCTCCTTGGCGGACGCTAGAATAACATAGGAACGTATGTGATAACACACCGTTCACTGACACACACGATTTTATATTTGCATACATATTGTGTACCAACTGTACAAATTTACCCTTTATACCCGATTTTAATAGTTTGTACCATAGCCAATTCTCTATACATTATCGAAGGCTTTTGTGAAATCGATAAACGCACAGTATAGTTTTTTTTGTGTAATCTTTCAAAATCTTTAGGGGGCACGGGTGGCCCAGTCGTCTAAGGCGCCGCGATTCGCTGTGCAGAGTTGCGTGCAGAAACCTATGATTGTGGGTTCGAATCCCGGTTCGCCTCGATTATGTTTCTAGGTTATTTTAATTAAAACATGTACTCTGTACCACTGAGAAAAATGACAGAAAATGATTGTCATGGCTACATGGTAAATAGGCTTCGAAAAAAATTATATGTTCAATCAGACATATGGTTTTTTTTATATAAAGAGGTCGCTATGATACTATCATAGTGTGTTTGTGTCCGACCTTAGATGTTACGCTACTTTCTGTCGTCAGTATATTATATTATTATCTGTTGGTTGTAGCTCCTTCGACCACACGAACTCATCCCTCCTCGGTCTCGTCGGAGAGAGTCTTTGGCTGGCTGATCTCTACATGGATTGTGACCAGACCGACAATGGATGGTTCGACTTCAAGGTATGTCTCTCGTGTTGCAGTCATTGTGCAGTCAAAACGCACTGGTGAAATGTTAGGATGCGCGTCTGTTGCTTAAGTCACTGTAGACAGTATCATAGGAAAGTTGTTTCATAAGCAAACTACAACTACAACAACAACAACAACAACAACAACAACAACAACAACAACAACTACTACTACTACTACTACTACTACTACTACTACTACTACTACTACTACTACTACTACTACTACTACTACTCACCGCCTCTTGTGGTAGAGCGTCCGCCCGGAGAGTGGAAGGTCCGGGGTTCGATCCACGGCTGCGTCACACCGAAAGACGTTAAAAGATGGTACTTGTTGTTACCCTGTCTGGCGCTCGGCATTAAGGGGCTAAAACAAGGACTGGTCGGCTCGGAGTCAGTATACTGTGTCTGGGTGGGGTATTCATGTTAAACTGCGGCATGGTATCTCAGTGGGCTAGCACTAATAAATCGGCATCAGTCCGGTCTAGTACAAGCAGCCACATACACACGTGCATGCACGTCGCTATATAAGTGCAATAATCTTGGACACGACGTTAAACCCCGTTTCACCTCACCTCGATCAGATCGTCTTGACAGGGCTCCGCCATTTTGTTTGAAACAAATGCAAGTGATACGAGAGGTGGAATCTGATTGGCCCACAGGAGAGGCTTGGACGCGACGTTAAACCCAATTTCACCTCACCTCATCTCACTACTACTACTACAACTATTTCACTTATATACTGTATTGTTAGGAACAGTCAAATTTTAGAGTTACATACTAGTTTTAAACCTACATCTGTGATAGTCTAGTTTCTTTACTGTCCTTTGTCGACAGCTTTTTTATTCTTAATCTATATATTGTATAATTTGATTTAGTCACGATATGGCTGAACTATTGCCGATGTGACTATAAATCCTCACTCACCCACTCACTCACTCACTCACTGTTTTAACACTGTTGCTGCCACACAGGGTTACATGGTGGATCTCCGACCAGGCTTCAACAGCGAAGGATGGGAACATTACATCGGAGAAACCACCTGCAACGTTGACGGCGACGACGTGGACGTTCCAAACACCGGCAACCACCACGCCAAGTGCGGCTACTTCAACCTTGGAATCTGGAATAACGGTCAATGCTGGGCGAAGAAGCTGGATTACCAAACAATGCTGTTCCGGAGTGCATGGTCGGAATCCTAGTCTGAGGTTCCACTTCTCAGATGGCGAACCAAATGTACCTTTTGCAGATTCGACCCATGACGGCTTAACTATTTATACGACAACTTGGCATTAATCCTTGAATTATTATTTCGTAAAAAGCAAATATATTTCGATTTTGAATTGTGCTTGAATGTGAGTGCCCTGAATAAACTCCTAGTGTAGAATCTCCGCACATCTTCTGTGTTAACAGTATAATATTGCAGTATCGGTTATCGATGTTATGATTTTTTTCAAGTGACCAGCTGTGGAGTAAGTGAGTTGGGTTTAACGCCACTTTTAACAGTATTCCAGTTATATCACGGCGTGTCAGCTTAATGTGGGAGGAAAGCCCGAAGTGATGCACGTCTCAGACGTTTACCACTTTGGTAAAACCCACGAGCACGGGTATGGTGCTGACAAACCTAGAAACATAATTGGGGCGAACCGGGATTCGAACCCACAATCATAGGTTTCTGGCGTGCCCAAGGGACGCAACTCTGCACAGCGAATCGCGGCGCCTTGGACGACTGGGCCACCCGTGCCCCCGTGTAGTGCTTTGAACATGCCATTGTAGTCTGGATATAGCGCAATATAAATAGTCTTCTTCTTCTACTTATCTTGAACCTAAAAGGAATGAGGGAGTGGGCGAGTAGGGTTTTGGGCCTCTGTTGACAAAACAGCAGCCAAACGACAAAAGGGGATGCGTCAGTGAGTTGTGTTTTACGTCGCTATATATACTATATAATAGTTATATTACTTTGTTTGATCTTCGTGTGGAAGGAAAGCAGACGTTTGCCACTGTTGATAAACCCACATGCAATGTGCGGACAAACCGATGATATAAATTCATAGCGGATTAGAACCGAGGAACATACGGTCATAGAGCGTCAAAGGGAAACAACTCTGAAGAACGAATTGCGACGCCAGAGACGACAAGGACAACCGTTCCCCAGGCATTTCATTAAAATAATGTATTATCTTGAGTGGAAGATTACCTGAACAATATTCGTTCTCTCGCAATGCCGAATATCCGGGTTCGATTCCCCAAATGGATAGAATGTCTGAAGCCCATTTCTAATGTCCCCGCCTTGGTTATACTGGAATATTGCTGAAAGCGGCGTAAAACCATACTCCCTCGCCTATAAAGTGCATCTAATAGATGGCGGGAATTTTCTAAAACAACCAAACAATAAACGAAAAATACATAAAGGCACACATACATATGACTGAATTAGTGTAACATATACTCAATTATATTATTGTAAAACATCATCCAGCGATTTCTGCATCTTTTCAAATTAATCTGACATTGTTTGTGAGTGAGTGATATACTATGTGAGTATAATTATATTTGACCTGGAAATCCCAAGGGATTCGTTTCCTTATCTACCATGTAGTTGTCCGATTTTGTACATTGAAATTTGACAAACCACAATAGAACATTACCATTTCACACCGCACCCGACTGTCATCTTTGGGCATTATGAAATATTCAAGATGTCCGACAAGATGGCCGCCAAAACATGAAAATATTGCTTTCTTGCTAATAGTATGGAATATGATACTACTTTTGGAGCTTATTTTGTACATTGAATTCGGACAAACCTCAGTAAAACATTATCATTTCACGCCGCACCCGGCTGGATAACAATGCTGCCTAGTTCTGACACAGCTTCTCCCATGCCGCGTCCTTCTGTAGACACCACTGCAGGCATGTGACCTCGACAGCTTTGTCAGGAGATGCAGGTAAACACGAGCGGGCTCACATCACCTGATATTGTTTGGACTCTAAGAAGGTAAGACGTATTTTCCTCAGGGAAACAAACCTCTAACATCTACGTTGTCGTTTAGCTAGTTCAGGATCACATTTGAAACATTCGAAAATTATCTATCGTCATCATATCAATTGTGTCTGTATTCACGAATAACGTACCGTTAGTAATGAAACGTCTCATATTTATATTTTCTTCCAGTAGGTTGGACAATATTCGACGCCGAAGAAATTCTTAAAGGAAATCGACTAACGAAGGGGACAGGGTTCATTTCACAATGCTAGCAATACTGTTAATTAACCTGTACTATGAAGTTGGATAAGCATGTAGTTAGTTTTACACCTTGACGATCCGGGGTAGAATAGATCTTCAGCAACCTATGCTTGCCGTGAAAGGCGACGATCTTTGTCGTAAGAGGCGACTAACGGGATCGGGTGGTCAGGCTCGCTGACTTGGTTGATGCATGTCATCGTATCCAAATTGGGCGGATAGATGCTCATGATGTCAATCACTGGATTTTCTGGTCCGGACTAGATTATTTACAGACCGCCGTCATATAGCTGAAATATTGCTTAGGGCAGCGTTAAGCAACAAATAAACAAATAAATAAACAAACCAGAAGCTGCTGCTCTGAATCTTTCGCTCGCTTGAGAATGTATGGAATGTTGACCTGACGTGTCAATCCCTGGATTGTCTGGCCCAGATTCGATTATTGGTTGGTTGGTTTGTTGTTTGTTTGTTTGTTGTTCAACGACGCACTCAGCTATTTTGCAGCTATATGACGGCGGTCTGTCAATAATCGAATCGCTATATAACGGCGGTCTGTCAATAATCTACCCCGGAATCTTCACGGGTCGATTCGATTATTGACAGACCGCCGTTATATAGCGATTCGATTATTGACAGACCGCCGTCATATAGCTGCAAAATAGCTGAGTGCGTCGTTGAACAACAAACAAACAAACAAACAAACAAACAAACATCATCAGTGCACACATTTTCTCATGTGTTAGGTTTAAGATACATCATCATTCAATCCAATGACATCTGATATTATTTCTAGAGATAAAAAATGAGTATGAGTGTCTTAAATGCAGATGGCGACTCTTGTTGCTTCGCTGTTCTTGGTGTGCCTTCTGACTGGATCCACCACGGCTGCCAGTGGCCATACCTCTGATTTCTGCTATCCTGGTATGGGTTGCTTCCCTTCTCAGGAAGAGATTATTAAAGTGGCAGTTTCCCTGGAAGACGGTTTTGATGCGCTCCTGTGGCCCGGCTCCCCACGTTATGGCAACATCACCATCATGAAAGATATCATATACACGAGGTTCCCAGCCTATATATATCTCGTGAGGTCAGTCGAAGATGTCCAGAAGGTGATGCTGTTTGCCCGGAAGTACGACCTCAGAGTGACCATTCAGTCGTCTGGCCACGACTACATCGGACGGTCAACGGGGGATGGTAGCATCATGATCAATCTCAGCAGGATGCAAAGGTGAGAATGAACGTATCCCTTACGTTGCTGCTTCCATAGGACGCCACTTATTTATATAGCCAACATCACCCTGGTGTCACCCTACTTTTGTGTACCCACTTTCGGTTGTGATATATACTCTTCAAAAAAAAGAAACGCAATGCCAGATTTGTGTGAGGTAGGAAAATACATTTATACGAGGAACCGTACAAGGTATTGAGCCAAAATGTTGTGGAAAGAACACTTGATGATTGTAGTCATCTCAGTTATCGGTACATAGGAAAAGTCCAAGGTGAAGGTCAGCTACCATCAACAACGCTTATGTCGCCCTTTGGAATCGATAGCGGCCTGGCATCTTCTGCCCATGGAAGAGACGAGTATGCGAATCACATCCTTAGGAATGGTAGCGCACTCGGCCTGCAACGTCTGGGGTTGTGGTTGACGTCGGCGTAGCCAATTCATCCCACAGGTGCTCTATCGGTTTCAAATTCGGGGATCTCGAGGGCCAGGGGAGAACATCAACGTTGTTGTTGTGTAGACAGGCTCTTGTGATCGTGATGTATGCGGTCGAGTGTTGTCCTGCTGGAATACACCGTTGCTGTTGGCTGCAATTGGAAGGCCGTGTGTTAGGAGAATGTCGTTGATGTATCGTTGAGCCGTAAGATTGCCCTGGATATGAACCAAACCTGTCCTGCCATGATGAGAGATTGCCGCCCACATCATAACGATATCCCCACCAAACCTGTCCACTTCCTGTACGCAGTTTCCGGCGTAACGTTCTCCCCGACCCGTGCTCTTTCATCTCCTCGACGGAAGAGACATCTTGATTCGTCGCCGAACCAGACATCTCTCCATCGCAGTTGAGGCCATACCCTGTGTTGACGACACCAATGAAGTCGCTGTTGATGATGTTGTCGACTCAATATGACGCGTCGAACAGGACGTCTTGCTCGTAGACCTGCTGCTCTTAAACCGTTTCATAAGGTCTGGTCGGAGATTCTGTGCAGTCCGGGTATTTGGGATGCAGTTTAGGTGGCTGTGGTCGTCCTTTCACGTAGGTGGCGCAGTCGGATGTAGCGATCTCGGGCGGGAGTGGTTACTCTTGGTCGTCCCGACGTTGGCCGATCACGTGTTGACCCATGCTGTTGAAACCGATCCTATAGCCTTGTGATGGTGCTGGGCGCTACATTGAAAACCCTGGCTACAGCTGATCGGGATTCCCCTGCCTGCAAGCGGCCTATGACGTTGTCTCTTTGCACCTCTGTTAATCTGGGCATGTTGTTGAACTATCACTGTTCGATTGACGCAGATGCCAGGCAATCAAAAACCCTGCACTTTAATACCGTTTATAGTGCGTGCAGCTCCATGGCCCTTTTGTTAATTCAGTGGTTGCGTTTTTCCGAATCGTACGTGTTTCCCGACTAATGGTTTGCATGTCCTTGTTGTGATCCCTTTGATCCGGGAAATTTGTCACTGACACTATAACACATAAACCCCCTTCATTTCGCACCTATTGGTCCGCTAATTTTGATTTTATGGCCAAATATATTCGTATTGCGTTTCTTTTTTTGAAGAGTATAAGTATTATAGCCAACATCACCCTGCTGTCAACCCACTGTGTACCCACTTTCGGGTTTCCATATGATTTCCAGGATCGACATAAACCTAAATTCTCTCTTGAACGCTGACGGTACCATCAGATCAGAGAGTGGAAACAATTGGGCAAGGGTCTATGAAGAGGTCAGTAAACAACACCATATTTCAATTGGTACATCATTAAGTCACCACAATATCAATGTTTCTTGTGAATAATAATGGAAACGATTTCCATAGTCACAAGAAATCTCTGCTGAACGTAAAGTCCGTTGTACGATTCCGACTATATCATAAACATGTGTATGTGGATCATCATCATCATCATCATCATCATCATCATCATCATCACCGTTTTCTGGTCAATTCATATTTATTTAATAACACGATATTCATTCTCTGCCTCAGTTTTACACAAGGGACAAGATCTTCAATTAATTTGTATCTTGGACTTCGCCACTCTACCTCTCTTGATCAATAATGTACGTGAGCTTTACCTGAGCTTCGTTAATGCTACTCGATATTTTATATCTGTGTCCACTGAGTAATGTTAACTGTTTTACCTAGAATCACTTACTGATGAGTGAGTGAGTATGGTTTTACGCCGCTTTTAGCAATATTCCAGCAATATCACGGCGGGGGACACCAGAAATGGGCTTCACACATTTAGGGGCGGTCGGGTAGCCTAGTGGTTAAAGCGTTCGCTCGTCACGCCGAAGACCCGGGTTCGAATCCCGACATGGGTACAATGTGTGAAGCCCATTTCCGGTGTCCCCCGCCGTGATATTCCTGGAATATTGCTAAAAGTGGCGTAAAACATTACTTACTTACTCACTGACTCATATACAGGCACATGACATGTTTTACCTGCTATCTTTTAGGTGAATAAGCAGGGTCGTGTTGTTGTCGGTGGGAGTGCCCACACGGTTGCCATGGGAGGGTACACCTTGGGTGGAGGTCATAGTCCCATGTCAAGGTCACTCGGTCTTGCAGTGGACAACCTTTTAGAGGTTACTATGGTAACAGCAGATGGTTCTATCGTCAATGCGTCCGCATCTGGGACAGTAAAAGTGGCCCCTGATGGATCTGTGACACACTCTGCCGACCCTGACTTGTTCTGGTCTCTAAGGGGAGGGGGAGGAGGAACGTTCGGCGTCGTGACCAGCTTTGTCTACAAACTCCATAAACCACCATCAGCATTTGGACACATGACGTGTGTGTTTCGATTCCACAGGGAGAATGACCAAGACAAAGCTAAAGACTTAATCAAATTCTACTTCGACCTTGCCAAGACCCTGCCCAATGAATGGGGAGGATACTTTCTTGGAACCAATGACTATGCTGATGTGACGTACCAGCATGTGGATTACATTGTATCAATGCTACATTATGGCCCTTCCTCTCTTCCGTCTTTTGCCAAGATCCAACCTTTGGTAGATTATCACCCAGAGTGGCAGTCAGTCAAGTGTTTTAAACAGGACTTTGCTTCATTCTGGGACTACGAGGTAACCGCACAGGACGCCCTCTACACACGCGCCGCCCTCGTAACATCACTGGTCAGAGCTGGCGACTTTGATGACAACATGGCTGCAACGATACGCGACATCGTGATGGTGCCACCAACAAACACGTCCCTCGGCTCTTGCACAAACACCCTTATCGGGGGTAATACCTATGTTCAATACTGCCTTTAGGTGTAGGTTTGCACGATTATCTCCCAAAACCCCTACATCCCATTTCCCCTACATCCCATTTCCCCTACAATTAGATAAAACAACACACGGCATTTACCTGTCTGGCATTATGAACTCACCTAAAGTAGAGATTAAGGTCTGGAGGGGATTAGGGGACTTAAAGGAAAGTTTAAAAAAAAAAAATTAATGTAAGTGTAATGTAAGATGCCTGTATGATGAGAAGATTTTGAAAAATGAACATTTTGTTATAATGTATTATGAATTTTGAAAAATGAACATTTTATAATAATGTAGTATGAATTTTGAATAATATCGTAATCGTAATTAAATATTTATCTCAATCTAGACTCTATTCGTGTTTCTTGGGTTGTTCCATTGTATGAAATAGGTGACAGACTAGGGATTAGCAGTGCCATGGACCGTGAACTTTGTTATCTTAAGCTGTAGGGGAAATGGGATGTAGGGGTTTTAGGAGGTTACCGTTTGCACGGTTGTATTATCGGGTCCACTGTGCACCTGCTCCTTATAGGCGTCATCTGTGGACAATTTTGAGTGAGTGAGTGAGTTGGGTTTAACACCACTTTTAACAGTATTCAAGTTATATCACGGCGTGTCAGCTTAATGTGGGAGGAAAGCCCGAAGTGATGCAGGTCTCAGACGTTTACCACTCCGGTGAAACCCACGAGCACGGGTATGGTGCTGACAAACCTAGAAACATAATCGGGGCGAACCGGGATTCGAACCCACAACCATAGGTTTCTGGCCTGTCCAAGGGACGCAACTCTGCACAGCGAATCGCGGCGCCTTAGACGACTGGGCCAACCGTGCCCCCGGACAATTTTGAGGCGGTGACTGGTGTCAAGATATAGGTTTTTCCCCACGAACAATGACATGTCACTTGCCGCTCATGTCACAGGTGTGATGTACGACTGATTGACTAGTTTTATATACGACGCGATTATGCTCCTCGGTTTGGGACACACATAACCATACTTATGACTTCTCTACATTGTGGGATCCAATAACCTACATTACGTGGTTTGTTTGTTTGTTTGTTGTTTAACGTCGCACTCAGCAATATTCCAGCTACATGACGGCGGTCTGTAAATAGAAAACAATATTCAGTTATGTTTTCACGTACCAACGACACGTGAAGATGTTGGTTAGGATAAATCTATAGCAACCAATGCTTGTCGTAAGAGACGACTAACGGGATCGGGTGGTCAGGCTCGCTGACTTGGTTGATGCATGTCATCGTATTCAAACTGTATGGATCGATGCTCATGATGGCAATCACTGGATTTTCTGGTCCGGACTAGATTATTTACAGACCGCCGTCATCTATGTGGAATATTGCTAAGGGCGGCGTTAAACAACAAATAAACAAATAAATAAACAAACCAGAAGCTGCTGCTCTAAATCTTTCGCTTGCTTGAGAACGTATGGAAATTTTGACCTGACGTGACCTGACGTGACCTGTGTATCTTGACAACGACATGTATCCAGCGATATGTTTTAGACTGTGTTAAACCCAAACTCTCTACACAATTCGAGTTTTTCTACGTGATAACTGGGTTTGAGTATCCTGCTCAGTGTCGAATTCAAATAAGTAATAGTTTTAATAGGACAGGGGGCACCTATTAAAACTGTTCGATTTGCCAAAGAAAGCGATTTACTATGTCCGTCTCGTTTCTGTGGGGATGTCAACTTAACTAAAGTCTGTCTTTGTCGCTTTAACTCCAGGTCACGTGAGCACCGTGGGCGACGATGACACCTCTGTGAGCCCCAACTTCAGGGCAGCTCTTGCCTCCTTGTCCTGTGGTGTAGGCTGGGCGAATAACCCAACTGATGATCCCGAGAACCTTGCCGCGGCCGACAAGCTGGAGAAGCGACTGCATAGACTGGGCCATGGTATCTACCTGAATGAGCCCCCCGCCCAGATTGACAACTGGAAAAATGACTTCTGGGGGCACCACTATCCCCGGCTCCTTGCGACGAAGAAGACGTGGGACCCCAGCAACTTCCTCACGTGTCTCTACTGTGTAGGCTCCGACCTCGGCCGAAACTACGGCAACCACCGAGGAGCGCCTATCATTGGCTGACATTAGTGTTCAGGTTTACGATTATTTGTACTAAGCATTTAATAAAATACTTCTTTCGAATCGTGTTTATTGTCATAAAAAATTGAAACTTATGTTGACAGACTTGGGTAAACAGCACATTTTTATCGATTTAACAACCGTTAAAGGTAATGAAAGTTTTGACAAGGGTTCTTGAGGGATAGGACCCAATAGGAATTCAGGGGAATACTGGTTCAAGGTATCTGAAGGTTGTACGAGTAACAAGAAGGTAATCTCTGAAAAATACATCAAGTCGATTTTAAGGGTCGGTCAGCAATGCCTATTTATGTGGCTTGATGTAACTTTTATTTGTTTGATTTGTCTGTTTGGTAACGCGTTAGAATAGGTCTCCAGCAACCTTCTGCTTGCCGTAAGAGGCGACTAACTGGATCGGGTGGTCAAGCTCGCTGACTTCATTTGATGTATGTCATCGTATCCCAATTACATGGATTGACGCGCATGATATCAATCACTGGATCGTCTGGTCCAGGCTCGATTATTTACAGACCGCGTCATATAGCTGGAATATTGCGGCGTTAAACAGCAGACACACAAAACAAACACAATTTTGGCGGCTCTCGACCCCTGAATTCGTTTTCAAGATCAAGTGCTTTGGCTGGTTCAATAGACAAAAGAAAACCCTTGGTAAATCTTCAGCTTCACAGATCGTTAATATACAAGCAGACTTAAAATTATATAACAAAAATAAATATATCTAAAGCATATACAGAACTTGCAACTTGTGTACGACTGGTACGCCCAATACATAACAGACATGTCTATTACAGCAAAGACAAAAGAGGGGCGGTCGGGTGGTTAAAGCGTTCGCTCGTCACGCCGAAGACCCGGGTTCGATTCCCGACATGGGTACAATGTGTGAAGCCCATTTTTCTGGTGTCCCCCGCCGTGATATTGCTGGAATATTGCTAAAAGCGGCGTAAAAACATATTCACTCACTCACTCAAAGACAAAAGAAATGAGGCGTGGTATTAGGACCGTTCGGAGTGAGTGATAACATTGATATGAGTGAGTGAGTTGGGTTTAACGCCGCTTTTAACAGTATTCCAGTTATATCACGGCGTGACATTGATATGAACAAACTTACGAATTAATACATTTTCAGAACATTTCCTAAAATATAAACAGTTATATCGCTTACGTACAGTGAATGAGTGAGTTGGGTTTAACGCCGCTTTTAACAATATTTCAGTTATATCACGACCTGTCAGCTTAATGTGGGAGGAAAGCCCCAAGTGATGAAGGTCTGAGACGTTTACCACTTCGATGAAACCCACCAGCACGGTTAGGGTGGTGACAAACCTAGAAACATAATCGGGGCGACCCGGGATTCGAACCCACAATCATATAGTTCTGGCGTGCCTAAGGGACGCAACTCTGCACAGCGAATCGCGGCGCCTTAGACGACTGGGCCATCCGTGCCCCTTCTTACATTCAGGATATGGTGTGTGAAATAATTAAATTTCGTGTGTTATCAGACTATCTGAGCTATTGTGAATTTGACTTATACGTAGAAATGTATTGTATATAAAAGCCTTGGTTCAAAGTCAGGACCTTTCCTGTTTTTGACAGCGGCCAGTGGAATATCAGTCTGTGAATGAGTTAAAATGTAACGTCACGCTGACAATAGTCCAGCCACATCGTGACGAGAACATGTTATATTTAATGATCCTCAAATTCTTTCGGCGATTTTACGACCGCTTCTTTTCAACAAGGCGCGGGACATCATGAGCATCGATCCACGCAAATGGGATCGATGACATCGCTACCAGGTCCGGGTCCTTGAACAGGGATAGTATTGACACTACAGCACCGAAGAGCTTCAAGTGCAGAGTAGATCAGCACTGGACTGACTAGTTTTACCAGACCATTCAGGATTATGGGTGTGTGGATTTTGTTGTGAATTATAATATAATCTAGGGAGGGCTAACAGTGAATGAATGATGTTTATTCTCGTAAATCACGGCAGTGATACAGAGATGTAATTGGACACAGGAATTAGATACAATGAAGAAAACATGTCAGTGGAACATTTCCATACATGATCTTATATAACTTGCCAGTTTTAATAGAATTTGCTTATAAGTAATGGACATCAAATGAGAGAATTTTACGGCAGAAGGATACATACAGTAGTATTGAGGCAAAAACTTGTTTCTAATTTCTGAGAGTTTTGGACATTCTAATAAAAAGTGCATTTCATCACATATAATTTTTTTACACAATGTACATTTTCTTTCCTCTCTCACAATATTATACCATCTTCCTGTTTCAATGGGTAATGGACACATATGTAAACACTAGTTTTGGTTTTGACAGTGTTGGGGTTCTTCCGACAGTGTTGAAGGACCGTACGTCCACTGTTTCTCAATTGGAAAAGGACCCTTTAATTTGAGGTTTTATTTCGGAATGCATAGCGATCTCGAGTTAACTGCCAAAAGTGTGAGATGGCTTGTGTGTAATATAACAGGTAGTTGTGGTTAGTGTTATTCGTGGAATTTCATGGAATAAGGATTACTCAGGAATTCCTAAAGGCAAGTAGTTTGCCTGTGACGTGTGACAAGTCTGGCGATGGTGCACTTGAAGCAGCCCATGATCCTGGCAACGTGCTCCTGCGTCGCCCCCGTTTGCAACAAACCGATGGCCCTGGGTTAGTGTTCCGGCACATGTTCGTTATTGTAAACGTTTTCACGTGATGAGTTCATGTTTCATACCAGAACTTCATACGGGTAACTTTGTGTAAATTTTGCATTTCTTAGTGATTAAATTCGCCTTTCTCACAAATCACGTAAAGCACGTGCACATGTTCACAAGGAATAGTTAAATCGCATTCCAGCTATGTGTTCCCAACTGTTTTCGTGCTGTTTGGCAAATTTGTTGAAAACTGACGACCATTATTTATTTGGTGGCGTTTCTTTGTCCCTCAGTTTAGATTTGATTGATTTAGATATCTATTGTGTATCATAGGACAAGGGGCGGTCGGGTAGCCTAGTGGTTAAAGCGTTCGCGCGTCACGCCGAAGACCCGGGTTCGATTCCCGACATGGGTACAATGTGTGAAGCCCATTTCTGGTGTCCCCGCCGTGATATTGCTGGAATATTGCTAAAAGCGGCGTAAAACCTCACTCACTCACTCACTATCACAGGACAAATAAGTGACTTATATATCGTTTACATATATTTCTTTGCACTCTGATTGTGGATGGAGGGGCGGACTTACCTGGTCGTGTAGATTTTATTTATAATTTGGAAAGGTACCTATCTACCAATGTTTATACTTCCAAATTTGACTTGGATAATTAAACAATTTTAAGAAGACTTTGAAGGTTTACGTTAACTTCAGGGGGGAAGGGGGACTACATCCATTGAGGTTAATGTTATGTTTTTTCATTTTAATTCCACGAGGCCTGTGGGTACCTTTAAATATTTTTGAAAAAGGTATTGGTTTTGTTTGAGTGTGGGAAACGCTTCAGATGGAAACCGGTTTAGCCATTTTTATGTTTATATTGTATTTTCTTGATGTAAATTTTGAATTTCATGAATACAATGTGTACCTTTTCACTTTGTCTTTCCCATAGGGAAATACATGGGAAACATCCAAATATATGACTATGAAGGAAAAGTTAAAATAATATCTTATAATTGTAAAGTCGTAAATAATCCATTTAAGAGGGAAAAGGTATTTAGATTCTGGCGTAAACGTAAAGCACAAATATATTGTCTGCAAGATGTACACTTTACCGCAGAGCAGGAACAATTTATAAGGCAGCAAATGGGGATACAGGGATGGTTACTTTAGCTCTTATAAAAGTAATGCAAAAGGCACAGCTATCTTATTTAAAAATAATTTTGAATTTAAAATTTTAAAAGTAATCAAAGATGATGCGAAAGGAAATTTGTTAGCACAAAATATTAGGACACAAGACATTGTTTATACTATTGTTAATACATATGGCCCGAATGAAGATAAGCCTGAATTTTATGTAAACCTAAGAGATGTTATTACAGAACTAGATGATATACTCATTTTGTGTGGGGACTGGAATTTGATTATGGATGTAAATTTGGATACGTTTAATTATAAGCATTTAAATAATCCCAAAGCAAGGAATGAAGTATTAGAAATTATGGAAACTTTTCATTTGCATAATGTATGGCGAGATGCAAATCCGTTTGATAGGCGTTTCACCTGGCGACAACCTAACCCCATTAAGCAAGCTAGATTAGATTTTTTTCTTGTATCCCACAATATAGCCCACTCGGTCAGTGAATGTGACATCCACCCAGGGCTGGACTCTGATCATTCTCTTATTTGTCTTTCAATAGATATACACGAAAGTGAAAGAGGAAAAGGCTTCTGGAAATTCAAATTTTTTTTGTAACGTGATAAAAAATATGTTGGAGAAGTAAAAAAAGAATTAAAGATGCATTAAATCAGTATGAGGACAAAACTTATGATAATAATAGAAAATATGTGTTAAACGATCAGTTGCTATGGGAAATAATACTTATAGCTATAAGGGGTGAAACAATATTAACTGAAAAACAAAAGTTCCTGTGACATTGAATAAGATTTAATGCAAAGTTATGTTTTTTTATACCAAATCTGAAACAATTTCGGTTTGCAACAGTTACAAGACTCCTGTAAGTGTTCAAATGGTTTTATTTGCCATACTGACTTCAGAAAATGCGTGATTTCATAAAAAAACATGAACATGCAAAAATGTCAATTTACAAATCAATAGCGTGTGTGTCCACCTCTGGTTGCGATGCAAGCAACACATCTTCGTCTCATGGAATGGACCAGGCGTCGCACAAAGTCCTGTTAGATATCTGTCCATTTCTGCTGGAGCATTTTTGAAGTTCCTGGAGTGTCTGTGGAACACGTGGTTGACGTCGAAGGCGCCGATCCATCTCATCCCACATGTGCTCGATTGGTGAGAGATCAGCGGAGCGAGCCGGCCAGTGGATGACATCCACGTTGTTTTGTTGAAGCGAATCCTGAACAAGTCGAGCAATATGCGC